ACGGAAATGGCCAACGACTGCCAAAAGGACAGGAAAATGACGAGCTTGATGGCCAAGACCTTGATGAAGAGCTTGTGCTCGGCGAGGGGTTTGGCTAGCTGGATGTAAAACTGAATGAGGCAGTACATGGCAATGGTGACGGAAATGGCATTGATAGCAAGAGTCTGGAGGGTCCCAAAAGATGGTTATGTTAGCTCAATCCTTGGCTGTTGTTGCCCTTGCTTATATATGAAGAGTGTAGAGAGTATAGAGAGCATGAAAGCGATGTGATTGGTATGCTTACCCAGATGTGAGCAAAAATGGGAGAGTTTGAGCTCTCGCAGTAGCGGCCATAATGCTGTGTCAAGACGGCGGTGATGGTCATGGCGACTCGGATAAAGCAGTACTGATACACGCCAATCCAGACAATGTTGAACCAGGTAAGGCCGCTCTTGGGGGTGCGCCACGGGCCTCTTTGTCCGCCGCAGCACTTGGCAAACCAGTTGATGGGCAAGACCCAAGGCGCGATGGGGCGCAGATTCCTAAAAAACTCCTTTTGCGAGTGCAAGTCGGGCGCACAGTAGTGACATAGCAGGCCGAAAAAAGACGCAATGGCAAAGGCCTCGTAGCAGTCGGAGATGACGGAGAAGTAGGTGGCTTGGCGGTACCATTCGATCTGCATGTAGGAAGAAATGGCATAGACGGGGACCATGAAGAGGATACGGATGATGCTGCCGAGGATTGTTAGCCAGATTCATGCCGACACAAAGACCGCAAAGGCCCCATTCGCATGGCTTCTTACTGTCGCTGTTCTTTGGGTTGGGTGTAGTGCGAGGCGTGCATGAAGACGAGGTACAAGCTGAGCACAACGGCGATGAGCGTGCAGCCGGCGGCGATGACACGCGCGAGGTCGTGGAAATCAAGAGGGCCGACGATCTTGACTTCGGATACTGTTGCGACGTTAGCTTCATGGTCAAATCACATCCAGCCCGTCGTGGCTCCCTGCGCCGGAGTCTGTCTCGTAGTGGCAGAAGCAAAGCCGTCGGGGAGTCGAGACGGGCATGGAGAGAGAAAACGTACTGCCCATCTCCTCGAGCGTCGAATTACACGTTAGATTCAGCATGGTGGCGGTTGCGTCATCAAGTGTTGTTTATCGTGTGTTTTTTCTTGAAGCCCACCGGGGGCAATGGCCGACCAGACAGCCAGCAGAGAGGCGCGCGCGCAAATCGGATCGTCGCTGGTTCGGATCGTTGTTCTCGTCTGCCGCTCACTCCAGCTCTTGTGCGGTCGAACCTCGCTCGAGATTAAGAGCTGAAATTCTCGTGTCGTTAAATTGCGACGGTGAAAGAAGCGCAGTTTCGAACCGTCGTTTGTCAGCTAAATTCCCTCCCTCTTTGAGCTTCTCGATGCGGCGTCCTAGTCCGGGTCGTAGTTCGGCGGAAACACTGGGGCTGGTTTGAGATGGCTCGCCGTAAGTTGCAGCCTGTGGTCGAGAATTCTACGGGCCCACGGGGGAGAGCTACGTTTGTTTGTCCTTTTGGAATGCCAGACAAAGGGCGGAATGAGGCGTGTGTCGCGGACGCTCTGGCAGTGCTGGATACCAGTAGTTGGAAGCGTCCGGAGATGGAAAACAAAGACGACGAGGTGGAACGAGCGGATAGCGAAAGGAGAAGAAAGAAGAAGAGGAGAAGGAAAAAAAAAGGAATGTTTGCCTGTGGATAAAGCAAGAATGAAGAGCGATCGACTGGACTAGAGAAATAAGAAATCAGACAAAAGTATGCATGGCAGGGATCCGGGAACAAGAGACGTCTGGGAGAAGAAAAAGCGAGAGGGAGAGGAGACTTGTAAATCCGGGCCAGGGGGGGTGCAGAATGATGAAGCGGGCTTGTACCGGTACGAGTGGCTGTCCGGGCGCTAACACGGAGGGTCGGTACAAGTGAGCGATGGGCTGTCTGGATAGCCGCTGCGGCAGGTGAATCGCTTCGACAGCGGTTCGTGGGCGGTGCTGGTGGCTGCGTTTGCCAGCGGGAGGGCGCCACAGCACGAGGCACCGGTGCTGGGCCAGGTACCGGTACGTCCAGGACAGCTACAGGCAGAGGGAGGTTCAGACACAGGCACAGGCACCCCGGGTTATAGTGCGTAGGGGTTCACTTCTCATGCGTTGGCTGTTCACTGCAGGCCCCATGCCACGTTGCTCTTCTGCAGCGGCCACAGATTCTATTTACATCGTATCGAGTCAGCCACAGCCACGGCCACGGCCAAAGCAAACCCGCCACTAAAAAGCTCACAGCACGCCCAAAACAGAAACCCAATTCAAGCCCCTCCCATGCAGCAACAGCAAAGAAAAAAAGTCACATTGACGCCTTGCATGCTTGCGTGCGCGTGTCGCCGCTAGTGCTGCGGATTTGGTGTGGCAGGGGGGGGCTGAGCCGCCGTGGTGGGAGGTCACTTGGAGCAGTCGCGCCGTTTTGCTGTTTCAGAGCTCCGTTTGCAGTGCGAGTTCTGCGGTTACAGAGACGGTTGAAACGTGAATGGCAGGCGGCAGCAGAGCAGTACCTGTACAAGCTGGCAGCTTCGTCATCATGCATGGAAACTCAATGGATTCGAGCTGTTCAATGTGCTGTTCTGCTCGCTCATTAGCTGCAGCGCCTATTACCTGCTGTACCTCGCGGAGTCCTACCAAGAACCCGCCGATCCACAGCAAAGGCGGCCTCCCGCTGCGATCACTTTTCTTTTCTACTTCACTTTGTCAATCAGGTAAATTCTTCTTCATCTTTTAATATTCCTTGCCAAGCTAGCACGTATGCAGCGGCTGGTCTACTTGATTCTCGATTCTCTTCTTTCCGCTGCCATCCCCCCCTAATACGAGTTTCAAGCCCGTGGCCGGAGATCGGGACTGCGGAGCAACTAATAATGGTTGCAGGTGCTCTATTACGCAACGCCTGTTCCTGCCAAGACGGAGTTCTGCATGTACATGTACTTGCAAATGCGAATCTCGTTTGGCCCTTTTTAGCATGTGCTTGTGCTTTCGCTTACACGTGCGTATGAAGACATATTGACCGAGTGATGCAAGATGCAAGCAGGCAAAAACATCGATAAAAAGAGGATAAAATTTCCCATCACAAGAGCAACCCAGCATTTGATCCAAAACGCAGTCAGTGCACCAAAAACGCCTTGCAGATCACCAGCAAAACGCACATCATCCCAATCCTCCTCATCAAAATCCCGCCAAGCCCTGCCTCAGCCCCCTATAAAAAGCACCAGACGCCGCCCAGGCACCCACTTTAACCCACACCACACCTACAGCGCCGTTCCCGGGCTCCCTTTTCCTCTTTTTTTTTCAGGGGCTCCTTATAAGGATGCGCGTCTCTCCCGCAGCACGTCACGTCACTGTGGGCTGCCCCTCGATGCTGTTTTGCTGCAGGATTCTGCACATCCCACTCTCCCGCTGTGCTGTATCAAAAGTATCAGAGTCCATATATGATAGAAGCAAGCATGCACGGTATTGAACATTGGCAGCATGTATCGAAACTCGGCATAATCCCTCCAGCGCCAAGCCCGCAGAGATTGTATAAAGCCTTCAATCTCCCAAATTGCCAAATTACCTTCTCTCCGCACAGCTAATCCCCGGCCCCGAACTCCGTATTTGTAACCATCACAAATTCCGCAGTATTTTTTTATGTCTCTTCTTTTGCTGCCCATATATCGCGAATTAACCACGGCATCACTTGTCGAACATATAGACGCATGTACCATCTCATCTCGACTAAGCCAGCCAATCCTCACCAGTCCCCCACAGATCATCAGCCCGCTCGCTACTCTGCACATCTGGCCTGCAAAAATATATAAACAGTAATCCTTGCTATATAGAGCAATAAATAGTAACACCGCCGCACAAACTTACACCAACGCAGCCTCCGCCACGATCCCAAATAAAATAAAAATCTCACACTTACGCGGTATCTCGCGTTCCTATAGTAGCCTACCTAGACGCATATAGTAGATGGTTCGAAAAAGGATTTCCCCTTAAACATCTCCAATGAAATAGTCAACACTTCCACTTCCTCTCACAACATCCTCACTCTTCTTAAACCTATTCACGCCCATCCCACGTAAAAAAAAAAAAAAAAGGCAGTCAGTTGATACAAGAGCAAATCAGACATCAAAATCCATACACTGCAGTACACTCGAGCACTGCCTCCCAACAGTCCTCCCCACGCGGAGTACAGACAAATGTCAGTTATGACACCGCATGGTATTACCATATTTGCCGCAAACACTTCCACAAAGCACTGCCTTGAACACCCCCAGAACATGTTCGTCACTTGCCAAAACGGGCAACATTCACGACGCCCCTCCCATCTCTTTTGCCAGGTGAGACATGAGACACTGCAGGAATACAGCCACAAAACTTCATTTCTTCTGCACTCAACTGTCAAAATCCTTCCTCTCTCTTTTTTGTCCCTACCTAACCCAGCGTAACAATACATCCATCTCGCATCCAAAATAAAGTTGATTGTCAAATATTCCTTCTCAACTAAGCCACTAGATTACGCAAGCTTGCTGGCCATAGCCCCTACGCCAAGACATTCATTCAATTATTCAATTCACTTATTTCTCTCCCTCATTTGCCGAGTTAACCGTAGCATGCGTGTAACATGAAGACAGCGGCGCGTAAAATCCCTCTTCGCCTCTCCCTTCGATCCATCAAGGATAATCGTACAGCTCTCATCCCAGTGTTAGGGTAACCCTATGCCTCGGATACCCTTTTCCTCTTTTGAAACTTTCCTTTACATATCATACAAAAATGGCCAACGTCATGAATCCTTCCAAACACCCCCAACCCGCACTACGATCAAGCAATCAATCAGACAGATTGCAAGATAAAAAAAAGAAAAGATGTGATATCGTCGTTATACAATTCCCCCTTTCCCGTCTAACCGTCCAAAGTTCATAACTAGATCCTGAAATGCAAATGCCATATAACCTTTGCTTGCTTGTTTTGATAAAAAATCCGGTTTCTTTAATACGTCGATGGATTCGAAGAAATGTGCCATTATCCGTCTCTCTGATAGGTAAACAGATAAAACACACAAAAGGGCAAGTATGTAGGTGAGTAAAGAGATAAAATATAGATATGTAAAGTTGCATTATTTTTTTTCGTCTGAATCGATCCCTCGTGGTCGTAGAGACCGCCGTAAAAGAAAAAACAAAACCATGAATAAGTAGAGAAAAAAAAAAGACAAATAGTAGTGTACAGAACGATATCAAGTTCCGCGCCTGACAAATGTGGTAAAAATGTTCTGTAGCGCGGTATGATAGTAGAAGGCTCCGATTAATCAAAATAGGCAATCAAGTTGGCTAGAGCCATCGTACCGACGCTTGACAAAAATCGACCACCCTCTCTCTCTCTTTCTTGGGCTATCGTCGCACTCTCTTCTCACGGTCGCTTAACAAGGCCCCGTCGGCTTCGTCGCCTCTCCTCTTGCGGCCTCGGTCATCCCTATGTTCCCTGCGCTGCTCCTCTGTACGCTGTGTTCCGTCTCTCTGGTTTCCGCGGTTGACTCTATTGCCGCTTCTATCATCACCGCCCCTGCTTCCAGCCCCGCCATCGTTCCTATGTCGTGACTCTCGGCCACTGCTCGGTGTTGCCGCTGCTGCATCCCGAGAGCTGCCGTCTCGGGTCGACCTACGATTGTCCCTATCTTCGCGAGCTCCTCCTTCAGTGCCGCCAGCTGATCGCCTCTCTCGGTGCTCACTGTGTTCTTTGCCTTCGCCTCTTTCTCGTTCTCGGCTGCTCCGGCGAGACGGCCGCTTGGAGCGATCGTTTCGGCCATCCCGATCTCGTCGGGCCCGTTCATGCTCGCCACGTCCTGATGCCTCTTCTCCGTTCAATGTGCCACCTCGCGCAGACGAGTCATGCCATTGCGCTTCTGGGCGATCCGGCGTTGGAGGAGCCATGTCTCCTCCGGCCAAAACTTGAATGTCAGAATGACCAAGCATTTGTCGGGGAGGGTTGGAGCGAGGGCCAGTGGGCCGTCCCTCGTTGGGCATGGAAGCCTGAGCTTGCTGGAGCATATTGTTGATGCCTGCTAGCTGTCTTCGTCCACCACCCGACCTGGACGGTCTGTCGCCACCAGATGCAGGGCCCGTGGGCACGTTAGGCTCCAGCGGAAGAGAGCCCGTGGACATCCTAGGTCCTGACCTCTCAGCGTTTCCGGATGAAGACATTGACTGGCGGTTATGACTGTGTCCATGTTGTCCATGTTGTCCGTGTTGTCCATGGCCGAAGGGAGGAGGCCCTGGAGGAGGTGGTGGTGGAGGGGGGGCGTTGGGTAAGGAGGTGCTGCCCATTTGAGCAAGTCGATCGGGATGCACTCCAGATGATGCGCCCGCACCACTACCCTGGGAAGAGGGTGGATTCTCTTGTGCACCACCGCTGCCGCCAAAATTCCTCATTCTATCAGCTTGTGGCCCGGCAGGAGTGCCCGAGGGAGCTGATGGTCCATTGTTATTGTGCTCATAGCCGCCACGCCGATTGCGTCCGGATGCAGGACCTGAAGGAGGATGTCGTTCTTGTGAAGGTGCTCTAGGCGCGTCGGGGGCACTGAATCGATTGTCGGGTCGGTTTGACATCACCGGCGGCCCGCCTGGTTGATTATTTCTGGAAGCACCTCGTCCTCGTCCTCTTGGTCCCAGAGGGATATCCGGGGTAGTTGTAGGCACCGGGTTCAGCCGTCCGTAGTTTTGATCTTGATACAGTGGCGGCCTATGATCAGGCTCCTGTCCGAGGGCTGATCTATGGAATGCTGCCGAAGACGAATCTCGAATCTTATCCATGTGGGCTCGATCTCCGTCGCGATCCGCCCCCTTACTACTACGATAGTTTTCACCACCGCCACCACCTGGTGAGCGACCACGAGCACTTCTTCCAGCTTGTCGACTATCTTGCTGAAAGTTGTGCCCATGTCTATCCTCGTATGGGCCAGACGGAGGACCATGTTCGTGTCCGTATCGTCCACTTCGTCGAGGTGACTGAATCCGAGGGCCTCTCTCGCGTCCATCACGCCCGTGCGTACCGTCGTCGCGATCATCGATCAAGGCCGCTCGCTCAGGGTTGATGGCTTCGGCCGAATCCTGTGGCCCTGGTCTACGAGAACGAGGCCCGCGATCCTGCTCTGGACCTCGACGGGTTCGATCCGTATCATCTTGAGCAAATAGCGCCGCCCTCTGAGGGTTCATGGCTGGCTCAGATGCGTCTGCGGGGCCAGAAGGAGCCGTAGGTAGCTGAGAAGACGTGTCATTCGGCCGATCTTGGGATCTATTAGCCCAGGAGTCTCTTGAGCCCCACTCGCGGTCTTGTTGTCTTGGGCGAGGTGGCAAGTCTGTTGGGCCAGCATCCCGAGGCATCGTTTCGTTTCCGCGCCGATCTACGTATTCGCGAGAACGGTCCGGTCGATCTGATTCGAGATTTCGAGGTTCCCGAGGCTCCCGAGGTTCTCGAGGCTCCCTTGCGTCACGATGTTCTTTGCCCTCTCTAGCATCACGGCCATCCCAAGTCTCTCGCGGCTCCCGCCCATCGCGCTGCCTGTGGTTTTCTCTCGAGTCTCTCATATCCCGGCGATCATGTCCGCGATTCTGAGGGTATCGTTCTTGGGTGAAATGACTCGGTATCGGAACATCTGGTCTACTAGGGAGATTATGTGCCGGCCTGTCAGGTAGCGTATGGGAGCGAGGATCGTTTCTAGGCCCAAACGAGCCCGCACCACCTTGACCGGCGGCCATTGGAGTAGACGACCGGGGAATGCCAGATGCGTCTTCCCGAGTCATTGAAACGTCTCTCTTGGAGCCAGAAGGTTTGACAGGTAGAGCGGAGTTGGACTGGGACTTTCCGTCCTGGACTTCTCCATCTTCTCTTTCAGCCGTAGACGGCCTATTTGCTGGTGATCTGTGATTTTGGGAGTCAGAGCCGGACTTAATAAGACATTGATGATTAGAAGTAAACCGATTCACGTACCTCGCGGTGTGTGGCTGAAAGTCTGTAGCCGTAGCACGTAGATTCGTTGCAGCTGATGTCGATTTATCAACTTCCGACTGTGAGCCGCCGCCCTATTGTTTGAAGCATTAGTGATCTGCACAGATAGCAGTCTTATTGTTGAGAGATATTCACCGCATTGGGCCTGAAAGCCTGAACCATGACCCATCTCGACTTTCTCTTTTGTAGCTCGGACATGGCACCTTGAGCGGCAACTGATAAATCCACTCTGTGGCCTTCCTCGCTGTCGGGCGATGTCTTGGGTGCGGCTTCTTGTTTGGTAATCTTTTGGAGCTGCGTCGTAAATTGGGTGGCCATAAAATCGATGGCAGGGAAGTAATCCAAAACAGCCTTGAGAACGGTAATGGCGTTTCTGATGTGCATCCACTCCGTCCCGGCCAAACAACTTTTCAGTGCTGTATTCAAGTTCTTATGCCAACGGAACAAGAGATCTTTGAACTGAGCATGCTCCATCAAAGTATCCGGTTCCCCGTCCTCCTTGAGACTGACAGCGAATCCAAGATATGGCCGGTCGCTAGGCCCCTTGCCTTCCTTATCATATGCGCCTAAACGAGGCTGATCTTTGTTGTGCCTACCTTTCTCCGTCGTCTCGTTCTTGTGCCATCTGGATAGATCTCGGAGTATCAGGTTGATAAGCCTTCCAAGGTATTCAGCTTCTCTGACAGAGCTGGTGAAGATTAGTGCACGCAACCGGTTGGCGTTGAAGAGTCGATCATAAAGTGACATGAGCTTAAAGTTCGGCGCTCTCAGTTCATGCAGTGCAAGGATAAATTTATAGGTATACTCGGTATCTGCTGGGGACAATAGAGCTCTGGGGAGGAAGCATTGTTCCAATAAAATATCAGAGAGGCTGTCGGTCTTGATTTTGGAGTCGGGACATATAGACTGGAACTGCTCGGCCAAGCATTCCATCCATTTGGTTCTTCGTTGGCGGTGTTCCTTAAGCTCCATGGAGAGGCTGAGCTGCTGTTTCAAGAGTTCCTGTCTCTTTTCATTCTTTCGCTCTTGGCCTCTGCGGGACATGTCCGAACGATCTCTAAGAATGGCTTGGCCTTCGCTCTCGAGTCGATCTTTCTCTTCTTTGTACATGTCTTCGGGACAAAAGAGGTCGCCAAGCTGCAGGGTCCAGAAGACAGAATAGAGTTCCGGGTTGATCTTTTGCCAGACTTCTGGACGCACGGCCTCTTTCAAAGCTTCGACTATAGGCTGCAGAGGGGCAAGTGTCAATGATTCGTCGAGTTTCTGCTTGTATTTTGCATCAGTCGTCGAACGTGAGCCAGGGGAGGCGTCATTATTTCCCACCTGTTCATCATTTGCGGAGGCTGCTAGACCTGACTTGTCTTTCGGTTCGTCGCTCATAGAGACATCCCCCTCCTTGTCGGTAGCTTCCTGTGTAGACTGTGAGTTCTCCTTTGTACTTTCCGCTTCCCTCTGACCCCAAGGATAAAGTCGGTGCGAGAGGCTAGATCTGCCAATCAAGAAGGCGATGCTTGTATCTAATCCATATGAACTAATCAATTCATTGATTGATGGAACCAAAGCATCAAACGCCGAAGGATCAAGGTTGCTCCAGATAAAATCAAGATATTGTATGAGGATCTGGTGAGAATCGTCGATGACGGCGGACAAGTATTTAATGTGGGCTTCATCTTCGGGCACTTGATATATGGCTGACTGGCGATACTGTGCGAGATTAAGAAGCACACGGGCAGCGAGTTTCGAATCGGTGAGGGCCAGTATAAGCCTCTTGGAGCTCTTAACACTGTCGAAGCGCCTGTCCTGGCCTCGAATCAATGTATGGCGGCGCAATCGTTCTCCACCAGCCATGGACAGAACCTGAGCATCGGTAAAGTCCACAGAGTCGACAATGCCGCCCATGGACGTGATGAATTCTTTCAAGATGATCAGATCGGTAGAATTACCGCGTTGAAGCTGATCGTTGACGTATTGAAGAACAGGAATGGGATCAATGGCCGAGTAGCGCTTGAAAATTTTACCCGAGAACCTTGACAGAGCTTGAAGCCATTTGCTGGTTGTAAGTGCATGGTCGGCTTGTGTGCGACTTCGAGATTTGCCAAGAGAGTTCATCAGAGACCAGACAAGGACGTCGTAGGAGAGGTCGGTAAAATATTTGGCACATTCGACAAAGCCTTCTATCAGGTTGGGGTAAGACTCAAGCTGTTCAAATGCAACCCGAAAGACGACTCCAGGAGAAGAATAACTTGTTTTGGCTAGTTGCTTAGCCATCTCACTGATGTTTGTAAGCGAAACACGCTTCATAGTTCCTCGTGTCTCTGCAGTAGCACGAGCAAACACTGCACGCATGGTAGGTAAGCGAGATATCTGTCCCTCAAACCATTCCGCGTAGATAGAGTATCGTGTAGTTAGTGGATATCTGCGGAGCATGTCCCAAACAGCGTTGACGACGGCTACATTGGCTTTTGTATGGCTAAGAGCCGGCACAAGGAGCCTGCGAAGAAGGTCATGCCATCGGGAATAGTTCGACTCAGATGTATCCTCACTCAGACTTTTGTTTCCAATGCTAGCCAGCTTAGAGAGTAGAGTCTCGTCCTTGCCAATGCTAACGCCAGAAATGTTGAGAAAGGTGTTGCACAAAGTGAAGACGTCGTCCACAGTTTGACAGACCGGAATGTTATCGGCCCATTCATCCCAGTAGAAACGGTAATTTTGGCTCTCGTTAGTATCCCATTTGTCCGGATATGGCCATCGCCAGATCTTCTTAACTGGTAGTCGGGTAAGCCGAACACTTCCCTTTGCAACGCCACTCTGATCTGCGGAGAAGATTTCTTTGGTTGGGCAGTCGACTTCGGCTCCTTTGTTGAAGGGCTTTGGGCGGCTATCGTTGAAGACTTTTTCCAAAGAGACATGCAATACACGATGAATTCGAGAAAGGACTTCAGGGAATAGCTCTGGAATCCATGGGAACTTTCCAAGAATGAAGAGTGACTCTGGAATGGCGCCGATTGTCAAAAGTTGAACAAGTAGCCTCACTTTTTGTTCCAATGGCTCCGGAAGGCTCTTTGAGTCCTCGTGAGCTTCTGCATTTCCAGATGTCTTCTGCTCAGGCTCCGCTTTCTTCAACGGCTCTCGCCTGGAAGTGTTGGTTGGCGTGGGATTATCGTCGTCGCCCTGAGGAAGAACACCCGCCATGAGCAGAGCATTCATTGGGCCACCTCGCGATTCCTTCTCTTCCTGCTCTATTACTTTGGTTTGCTCTTCGCGGACATGCTCCATGTTTTCGTCAGGGGGCGACAAATGGGGGTAGATGTCGGTGAGCGAGATGAAGCCGACTTTGATAAGAAGCGCGGCCAAATAGAGCAGGTTGGCAGGGAGCACATCTAGTTTATCCCGAAGCTCGCTGTTGTAAAAGAGCAATTTGAATCCCAAGAGCTGCGCAGCAACCTTATTGCCTGGAGGTGGGAGAGTCTTTGTCTCTTCTATCCACTGGCGCTCGATATCGGTAGTCGATTCGCTGCTATTGCCATTGGTGAGCTTTGGCCGGTAGGAAGCCAAATTTGATGGCTCCCTGCCGCCCAGTTCGAAGAATGCTGCCAAGTGGACTTCGCGTGCTCGGGCCCAGAAAGCAGTATCTCGGGCCAGTCTCTGTTGTGCATTGAGTTCCTCATCTTCTTCGGTAGTATTCCAGTAGAGGTAATCCGGCTGAGCCCAGGTTGGTAGGCCACCTGTATAGACTGAGGAGCCAAGTGTGAGATGCGAGCGCGGCCACCAAGAGCTGATGCGCAGAAACTTGACGAAGAATTTGAATTGCTTAATCAGAACGGCGGCAGCGACATCAAGAGTGACGTCAAGCACTCGCCCAACATCCAAGTCAAAGGTTCCAATCAGAGCCTTTACCCTCTCAAAGGTCTGTTCTGCGAGTTCTGGAGCGGGTGATGGTATACTACTGGTTGTGAAGAGCTCAGTGACAAGCTTCGAGTAGCCCTCCGTCTCTTCACGCAGGAGGTTATAGTTTGCTTGCCGGTAGAGTAGGTTTGTCGCCTGCCTCACACCGAGCCTGGCAAACGTGTCCCGAATAAGCCCAAGCTGCTGAAGCAAAGGCGCATCGAGCACTTGCCGCATAAGCGCAGGGGACACCTCGGTGGCAACAAGAAAGTCGCGAAGAGAAGGGCGATATATTTCAGGCTCATTATCCATAACAATGGCCAGCGAATCGAGAAGCAGCGTATGGGGGGCGACGTAGGAATCCTTATTTACCTCTGTCGCTTCATCTCCCAAGATCTCCTTGACACATTTTCCGGCATCAGTTGCATCCAGCCTACCCTCAACAACGGCGTGAATGAATTCCTGGAACAAGCTGGACAGTTCTGTGATGTCAACGTCTTCTCGTGATTGCACACCGTGTTGTACGATTTCCTCTCGCCCGCGCTCTGCCCATGATCGGATCTTTTCCTCTGTGAGATTATCATAGCGATAATTTGATCCAGTTGGCGTGCCGTTTTCCGATACAGACTCGGCAGGGTTATTGGTCGGTGGGAGCGGAGCAGGAGGAGGCTTCGCAAAGGTGGGTGGCGGCGGTGGTTGTTTAGATACAGGAGGACTTGATGCCTTTGGAGCTGCCGGAGACTGTTGTGGCGTCTGCTGAGAGGAGGAGGTGCTGGGCCTTCGCGCGGCTTGAGACTGGTTCTGAGGGTTCTGCTGATTTTGCGGGCTCTGCTGGTTCTGCTGTTGCTGTTGATAGTTACCGCGTATGTTGTGGCCACGCGACGAGTCTCGTCGACCGGCGTTTTGATGTCTGCCTCGCCCTCGGCCCCGGCCTTGACCCTGGCCCTGGCCCTGGTTCATGTGGTTCATGCTGTCGTCTCGTTCGTGATGCGCGATTTCTGAGTCGCCTGGATTGTGTGGTGATGGTCTGCCTCCGTCGCCTGGTGGTCGTTCGAATCGCTTTCGCTTCGGGGGCATGACGCTCGAAGATGCAGCGAGGAATCGGCGCGTGTTATACCATCAGCGGCAGATTTCCTAGACCATCCGGGGCTGAATCTAGTTGGCGTTTAAGAGAGAAAGAAGAGAGTGACGGCGCAGTGAGATGTGCGTGATCGAAAACGGTCGATCTCTCCGCCGTAGCTAATCCTGTGGTGAAATGCTGGTGAAAAAATAGTGATGAGCTTAGCAAACTAGGGAAACATGGGCCAAAAAAGAAGCCTAGGCAGCTGCCAGAACGGCTGGACAGTAATTCGGCCAGGTAAAATGGCGCTGGATCGGCTTTTCGCAGGTATGAATGATGCTTTTGCCAGGCTGCGTCCCGAGACAGGATTTTGGAGTTGAAAAGCGGCTGCGCTATCCAAATCAGGTTTGAAGAAGCCTCGCGTGAAGTCGTGGAGATGCGCTCCAAGCAGGCGCGCACGGACCATTCGCAGCCTTGCGACTAACAGACACCAGCGTAGGTACAAAGCACGAGTGGCATTGGGAGCAGCTTCGCGCTGAGCGGCGTCACGTGGCAAGTCACTAGCATGGCGACCTGAGGTTACTAAGCCAGAAGGGAAATGCGATAGGCCTACGGTTTGCCCCAATGTGGCTTACCCCGGGCAAAAGGTCATATCTGGAATTGCGCCATGCATGCTATTTGCATTTCTCAACCTCCACAAATACCTACACTTGGCACAAAACTTATATATCTTCCTTCACTCGGTGATCTTTTTCTTTTACCCTTCTCTTTCCCTATAAAGCGCTCTACACGCAGATCGATTGTTTCTCAGCATTGTTGAGCTTTGAGTTTGCTGCGTCTTGGTTGTCTCATAGTACTAGCGAGTCTCTTCTCCGTTCTCGGAGGTCGAGTCATTAGCTACTACTCGCAGTCGGCAAGATGAGTGAGAAAAACGGTATCAATGGCGATGCCAAAACCATATACGGTCAGTATAACATGTCCTTTTCTTTTTTCATTCATATTATATCCCAATTGCCGCTCCTCTTGATGTCTTGACCCTGTGTGAGCATCGGCCAAGTGGCTCAATGCGCCGCAGACTGGCTTGATATGTCGCTCTACGTGAGATTGCGAGAAGAATAGTGGCTGAATACCTGCAAGAAAGAACCCAGTCGCAACCTGAGAACCCCTTTGCGGCTCTCATCCCCGACCAGCAAATAGCCATTGTGCCGGAATTCACTCTCGAGTCTGGCGTGACGCTATACAATGTCCCGGTGGCCTACACTACCCGGGGCAAGCTGTCGGCCTCTGGCGACAACGCCATGGTGATTTGCCATGCCCTAACCGGCAGCGCTGATGTGAGCGACTGGTGGGGTCCCCTGCTTGGTGGTCCGGGTAGGGCTTTTGATACATCAAGATTCTTCATCGTATGCATGAACAGCCTGGGCAGCCCGTACGGCTCAGCAAGCCCGGTGACGGCCAAGGATGGCGATGCCAAAAATGGCTATTATGGACCCGAGTTTCCTCTCACAACCATCCGAGATGACGTGAAGTAAGACGCCCCCTCTGTGGTTCCCTTGCCGCTGGCCCTGGAGACATGACTAACAAAAAGGCCAACCAGTCTACACAAACTCATCTTGGATGACCTGGGGGTGAAGCAAGTGGCTGCTGTAATCGGTGGCTCTCTCGGGGGCATGTTTGTTCTGGAGTGGGCGTACTTTGGCAAGGACTATGTCCGCTGCGTGGTGCCGATTGCCACGTCTAGCCGGCACAGCGCATGGGGCATCAGCTGGGGCGAGGCTCAACGCCAGAGCATCTATGCCGACCCAAAGTATGACGACGGATACTATCCGTTTGATGATCCGCCTGTGACTGGGCTCGGTGCGGCTCGCATGTCTGCGCTGCTCACCTACCGCAGTCGCAACTCGTTCGAGTCACGGTTTGGCCGCAACATTCCCGACCCTTCCAAGGTTCAGTCTATCCGAGAGCGGCCGAGCCCCAGCACACCGTCAGAAGCGCACTTTCACATCCATAACGATGGCCACAATGTGAAGCGAGCGTCAACCTCGCGCAAGAATAGCCAGGCTGGCTCCGGAACCAGTAGTCCGGGATCACGATCGGCAGAAAACGCTGACCCGCAGTTCCATGGCCCGGGGAATGACCGCGATCAAGGAGAAAGCTTGACAGGAGGGGACAAACTGCCTACATCGACATACTTTTCCGCACAGTCCTATCTGCGCTACCAGGGAAAGAAATTCGTCAAGCGCTTTGACAGCAACTGCTACATTGCCATGACGCGAAAACTCGATACTCATGATGTATCTAGGGACCGCGCATCGTCGATCGCTGAGGCCCTTGCACTAATCGAGCAACCCCTGCTCGTCCTTGGCATTGAAAGCGACGGGCTCTTTACCTTTGCCGAACAGGAGGAGATTGCTCAGTACGTCAAGAATGCGCGGCTGGAGCGTATCGACAGCCCCGAGGGACACGACGCTTTCCTCCTGCAATTTGAACAGGTCAACCGCTACGTGCTGGGCTTCTTGAAGGAGATTCTACCCGACATCATGTCGGTCGAGGGCGGCGCCCAGGAAGAAGAGGGCGTGGGGCAGCTGACGAAGTCGAGCACGTTTGGTGAAGCTGAGGTGGATGACATTACTGCGTGGTAGCCCTGGACGGCAGTATGCAGCGTAAGGAACTACTATTTTGGATTAATCTGTGGCGCTGGGGCCTCACCGTCCCGTGCTTTGTACACAGTTCTTAGTATAGATGTTGGCTCACACGAAGGGATGGATATGAAATTTTTTGTTCAGAAATAGTATTCTATTGTACACACAGAACCACAACGTGCATTCAGCGTGGCCTCATGTGGAAATGTTTGGCTGTCAAGATTTCAAATCAATTGGTAGGATTCGCAGCAAAGCAAGGGGGAGAAGTGAGCTATTGGACGGATATCTGTCTATCGGTTACTGATTAAGCTGTTCTTACAAGCGAGTTAGTTACCGCTTAGTCGGCTAAGCTCCGAAAGAGCAATACGAAGCAGGCCCATGACATGTACTCGGTAGCATCGTGTAGGTGCTGGTAGTGATAACCATGGCACAGGGGCTGGGATCTGGATCCTGTGCTGCCGACGTATTCCTTTTATCCGACGATAGGTACCCAGTGGCTGCTGCTGAGGCTTGCGATTGTCTTGATCACGAAATAGAGCATGCAATGGTAATATCTATCCGCACGATGAGTAGGTATTAGGCCCGCAATGTTATGCCGGTGTAAAAAGGTCAAACAAGGAGACATGGACCCTTTTACTTGTAGTACGACTTGCGCCCTGGCTTGTAAAACGCGCGAGAGCCGTTCGCATCAGTCTAGAACGATCTCTAAGCCGAACAGCTCTGCCAATCAGCGTCGCCGGCGATGATGCAAGCCGTTTTGCCGTGTGTACTTTGTCCTCTCCAGCTCAGCTTACAGTACAGAACACAGTTGGTAAGTAGGTAAGGCTTATGAAGGCGTCAAAGCTTCAATGATGGCAATTTTGCCTTGTTGCGGGCACCTGAGAAATTATAGACGAGGGGCCATGTCCGGTCAGCGAGCAGATTCCACCGCATGGCCGGGGCTGGCCCCGAAAGGCCGGGCAGCTGGAAACAAATGCCCAGCGCAGCGGCCTGAAAAAGATCTGGGACTGGGAGCCCCCCTGATGCAATGCAGGTTTCCGATGCTCTATCAAGGTGCTGACGGGCCATGCGACCCAGCGACGAGACCGGCCGGAACCCCAGATCAGAATGCAGCTCCGAAATGCAGTGCTTGTACGTTTGAGGTAGGACGATTGCGCTGTGCGATGGCCGTACAGACGGCAATCTGGGTTCTGTAGCTCGAATCGCGATTCACCACCCCACGTAGCCTCTCGCTTCGAAGAAGAGGGGGTGCACCGGCTCCTGTTTTTGGTGTCAACAGGCCGTGCGCGAAGCACCATGATGGCCGTCTCGGTTTGCTTTTCCCACGTGGGGTGCAACGTGCGATTTAGCGAGCCAACTGGCGTTTTCGTCCCGCGCTGCTGTTGAAGATGAGGAGCTGAATGAGCACAGGCTGCGAGAGTTCCACAGGGCCTAGAGTACAGCGGGCGTAGGGCGTGGCTAGCAAGGGGGCGATCCTTGCAGAGCCAGGCGTCAGATGTAGAGTAATGACACCGTAGAGAGAGGAGATGCATGAACCCTTTGGGCAGTATTCCGCATTAGTCCGCGTTGAGTCAACACCATGAAAGTTGCTGCTTGATAGGGCCAAGAAGCTGTATGCTGGTTATCGGGCTTTTTACTGCAAAGTAGCACAGTGCTGAGGCAGTCGCTACGGCAGTCGGTGGTACATTAAAGTACAGAGGTACGAAACAGATTGAGTGCCTGTGGAGTACGGGGTAGCGATAACATCCTGCTCCAGCAATGTATTCCAGATGCTGCGACGGAACTGGGCTTCTACAAAGTACGGTATGGGGGATGGGGAATGGGGAAAGCATTGGGTAATGCTGCTCGTACGAGTAACGAAGCCGACTCTACGCATTAATATCGCACCCAAGTTGCCACTCCACTTGAGGTGTTGCCTGCTCCTCCCAGGCGTGCGCGAGTCAATATGGCGTGTTTCCAACACCGACGCTCCGCGGTGATGCGACGGGAATAGAGCGCCAAAGCAGGCTTCAAAAGAAGAGCTGCTACAGTAGAAACATTGGAAAGAGAGGATAAAAAAAAAAACTGGGCTTGCCACGCCGCTTTCAGCTCTTCTGCCGAAGCGTGGGTGCTGCAGAATTTAGTAATACCACCGTGCAGCAGCGTCAATCAAGACACTGGAAAAGCTCCGTTGCAACTTGTAGGGCACCAAGGGCGGTCACCTAGTGCCTGTCAGCGCCCCGCCCCTCCTGCTCGGGGTCTCGGAGTCGCTGCTGCAATCGGCTCTTGACTCTTCAGGCACGAGCGTTCTGGAAAGGCTTCAGAACGATGGGCAGCCTCCAGGGCACTGACTCGGCGCCGCTGCAGAATCCACAGGGGCGTTGCGCTAGGCGGCGTAGGGCAGTTGGCCTGAGCGTCCTCCAGCAGCACCGGTTCGGCAGAAAGTCGCTGCGCGCGGGCATTGGCTGAGGCCTGGCAAAGGGCGCGGCGCCAGCACGTGCAGTAGCCCAAGCCGATCCACAGCCCTTGGCGCCATGGAAGCATCGCTATTGAGTTTCGAGCACTTCGGGGCCCGTAGCCGGGGTGCGGAAGCAGTGCTAAAGGATTTGATTGATGGGCGATGGCTTTACAAAAGAGGGGGTTGTTGGTACGGCCCAGTGAGTGTTGCTGCTGGTGCCAGTCTGGGCCGTTGCGCTGCTGACTTGGCTGACCTCGAACCAGGACAGACAGACAAACTCGGCTTCTTCACTCGCACTCCATCTCCCTGCCTTTGCTCGTACGTAACGCCGCTGGACCCCTTGCACATCTATGCGAGGCGAAGAAGAAAAGAAGAAAATTCTCAGCTGTCGAAGTCTGGCGGCATAAAGCCTCGCCTGGGGCTGGTGGCGGTTCGTGGCTCCATCCATCCACTCGGCCGCATGTACGAAGGTCTCCATCCATCCATCCAGACAAAAGACCAGGCCGTCCCTCTTTTCGACGTGTGTTTTGCCTCGTCTCACCCTCCCGAATCCTCATCCCGCGCCTCCGTCTACTGGCTAGGCGGTTCTTATTTCGGTGACTAGCGCCCTGGTTGGATTTGCTAGCACCTGCTTTCCTTTCACCTTGGCATCCTCCCAGATTTCTGTGCCATCCACTATCATACTTGTACACGGCATCGCCCTGATCGAGCAGTCTGCGAAGCTTGTCCGTCCTCTCAGCCTCATGCCAAGCTGCCCCGGTATAGCGCAGGTCGTGCAGCCTTAACCATCGACGTATCTACGATACCACCTGCCGGGATCCTTCTGGCTCTGCTCCCGTTCGCCATATCCCGCTGGACGCCGGATCGCAAATTGCATCAAGCCGTTGCCTGCCTTTAGCCATACACGACGACAAGAGGCCACCAACAACATCGGGATTACTGAAATTGAAGTTGGAACCGAAACCGAAGCCGACGTCGCAGTGTTGCTGTTAAACTCGCGAAGCCATCCTCGCCAAATTTCCTCTTTTTGATTCGGCACCAGTCACCCATGTATTCCCGGTAGCGACAAACAGGGCTCGTCCTTGACATCAAACTGAATCACATTGTCATCCATCGTTCATCATTCATCTACAATGGCGGCTTCTTTCGATGGCGAGATGCTGCCGCCGCCGGCAGCATCAATGCGTGGCCGCGACCACACATATGGCGGCAACAATGCTTTTCACAACTTTTACAACGACTATTCGCACATCACCGACTCCAACCTACGAAGACGGCTGGCCTTGTCCGAGATTGACAAGGTCCCTTTTGGACTTTATCGTACGTTTCAGCTCTCCAACGCACCCCGGACTAGCTAGATGATGGGAGTTGTGTGAGCCAGGTGTGTCTAACTATGGATATCTAGATGTTCGAGCCGTACTGGTAGCTGGAGCTGGTTTTTTTATCGATTCCTACGACATCTTCGCCATCAACCTCATCGTCAGTCTTCTCGGATTAGTCTTTTACAGCGGCGACACCTCTGTCAACGGCTACGGAGGCAATGATGGCATTCTCCCCGACCCCATCAACCAGGCCCTCAAGGCCTCCACCAGCGGAGGCATTGTGTTGGGAATGTTCTTCTTTGGCTGGCTTGCCGAGTAAGTGGCAACTCAAAAGCGCCTGCATCAAAGCTTGGAAGAGCGGCTCGTGCTGACAGTGATTTGCGGCTTAGTGCATTTGGCCGACGTCGTATGTACGGCATCGAGCTCATCATCATCACCATTGGTACATTTGGCTGCGCGCTTGCGTCTCCGAGTCCCACGATTAGTGCCGCCGGCTTATTGATCTTCTGGCGCGTCATGATGGTATGGAAGCGATCCCCCTTCTCCCTCCCCTTCTACCCCATTCTTTACGGAATGACAACGAACTAACGCGGCTCCAGGGAGTCGGTATCGGTGGCGATTATCCACTTTCCAGCGTCATCACTTCAGAGTACGGGCATTATCCGAAAGCTTTGCGTCTGTCGGCATAATCACTAACTTGCGTCTAGGTTTGCGCCGACACGCTGGCGTGGGGCCATGATGGCTGCTGTTTTCTCCATGCAAGGCCTGGGTCAGCTTTTAGCCGCAATCGTTGCGCTTATCACGACCGTGGCGTTCAAGAAGTCGTATGTCGACATGACTGCGGAAGGCGCCTGCGATCTGGCGTGCAGGGAGGCCGCTGATCGATCGTGGCGAATCATCGTTGGCGTTGGTGCCATCCCTGCATGCATGGCCCTGTACTATCGTATCACCATCCCTGAGACACCTCGCTACACCTTTGATATTCAAAACGACGTGGAAAAGGCCGATGCCGACATCCGCGCATACGTGTCGAGCAGGCGAAGGAGCGACCAAGGCTCCATGACCATGAAACGATCCCGTACTGCAACCGTTACCGAGCAGTCGCCGCTCGATGTGCCCCCAGCCTCGTGGCCCGACATCGTGAGCTACTTTGGCAAGACCAAGAACCTGAAAATCCTAATTGGTACAACCACGTCATGGTTCTTTCTGGTACGTCTCCACACACACACAGATATCGCTGTCTTGGCCTCCCTCTTTCTGTTGTCTACTTTGCTCACTCTTGACAACAGGATCTTGCATATTATGGCCTGGGATTAAACCAATCCATGGTTCTTCATGCCATTGGATATGCCAACGGACGCACATTGTACCATAAACTATACAACCAAGCCGTAGGGATGATTATACTCGCCTGTGCCGGATCCATCCCTGGCTACTGGGCCGCCGTCTTCACAATCGATAGCGTCGGTCGGAAGCCTCTTCAGTTTGCTGGCTTTCTCCTCCTCACCGTCATCTTCTGTATTCTTGGCTTTGCCTTCCACAGCTTGACCGAAGGAGCAATGCTCGCTCTCTACATCATTGCCCAGTTCCTATTCAACTTTGGCCCCAACACAACCACCTTTATTATCCCTGGAGAATGCTATCCTACCCGGTACAGATCTACCGGCCATGGTGTCTCGGCCGCCAGTGGCAAGATTGGCGCCATCATTGCCCAGGTTATTAGTATCCCGATACTGAGTCAAGACTCTCCCCCCAATTGCCAAGGCAAGGAGTGCTCGCCGCACTTGAACCGCCTTTTACAGCTTTTCGCTCTCTTCATGCTCCTGGGGACGATAGTTACGCTATTGGTCCCGGAGACCAAAGGACTGACCTTGGAAGAACTATCGGGCGAAGCGCGTACCAGCTATAATGCCGGATGCAACGGCAGCATTAATATTACATCGCCTCGATTAGGCCCCTGGAATCCCTTCAAAGGCGGACGGCCGGCCGGATTCTTCTACCCGCGGGCACACGGCACCTCATTTGCAAATGGCCGACGATCTCCTCGAGCTGGCATTATGGAATCACCAGAGATATTCGCCCAGCACGATGAAACCAAGAAGCGAACGCGATTTTGGCGAAGAAGAAACCGAAAATCTCAGGCTCGGAGCGACAGAACTGACGAGATTGCCTTGAGCCAACACCCAGGCAGCTTCCATGAAAACGCTGGTTCGGACGAGATTACACTGACAGATGGCTTTATGATGCCTGGAGGAGCGAGCTCGTCGCGACATCGTGCGCCCTACATGCAGCAAGAACTACCAACCTGGGGAGCCGGATGGGGTAGGATAGATAGGGGCGGACCCCCTCCCTTGGCGACATCAATGCAGTTGCAAGATGTTGGATCACTTTTGAAAGACTGATACGAGTTCTTTTTTTCATATTGTTGTATCATTACTAGAAAGAAGAGAGAGAGAGGCAAGGCTCTTCTCATGGGACATATACCATTCATATATATACATGTACATACACCAAAGCGACGGGCGTTTTCTTTTTTCTTTACTTGCTGGATGGGATGAGGATGTACGATTTCATGAGATTTGGTTTATTTTGTTGTTCTCATACATTCTGTTGATTTTTTATTCTTGCAGAGCACAGGGGTAGTCTTGGCTGTCGTTGATTGGATAGGATATACCACTTGAAGAGACGTGTGTAATTACACTTTGTTAGGTAATGGGTTACTAGAGAGCTAAGAGAGAATGGAGATAGCTGCCGCCTGTCATTTGTCAATCATTTTGCCACGGGCGGGAAGTGGGAACAATGGCCAGATGGCTTTCCTTAGCTTCTCTGTGGGCTACTTTTTCGCCTTCTGGCATGTTTAATAGAATTTTTTTTCTGGGCGACTCCACTTGCGATGGAGTGGTTCGTGAGGCAAAGCGAATAAACCTTGTTTCTTTTTTAAGTGTTTATACTGTACTGTCCACTTGTGTAGGACTCTGTTGTCTGGGTGTGGGTTGCTGTTTTCAACTGCCGGGGACTCTGGGATGTGTCAGCGAGTCAGGATTAATGGATTATAGGGCCTTTTGATAGCAAAGATGGGGAAACAATTGTACAGAAAAGATAAGAGCATGAAGTTTAAAAAGTAGGACGACTCCATTGGTCATGACTATTGTTGATGAAATAGGTATTCGAATCGTAAATTGAGAGGAGTATGGTTATAAACCGCGTTAGCAAGCTCTGATATGGAAAGACTCGTCTTGGATTAACACTTTCTAATGTGGTGATTGATGACAAGTCTCATACTCCTTTGATAGCTTATCTCGTGCTCATAATTGGAAAGACTGGATAATCGCCTCTGTTCTATCGGTGCGATATCGGAAGATTGAGATGCGCATTTGCTGTATGGCATAGTTGTCTCGAGCATTATGGAGAAAGAATATTATGTTTTTTTCACCTTGGCGTAGCTATAGCTCGTATTCAACTGACAAAAAGAAAGGGTAATTGGAAAGGAAAATGGAAAGGATAAGAGAAGCCTGCTGTAAATGCCTCTACGCTTCGAGATAATTATCGCAAGAAAAGAGCAGTCGATTAGAGAATTACACTGGTGTTTGATCTATCCAGGGCAATGGCTAATCTATCTGAATTGCAGTGTAAGGCTGCCTAGTATCTGGTAGCGATGCAGATGGCTGAACGTGTTACGTGCTAGTATTATGATGTTAGGCGCCCTTTGAGAATAGTATCCTGTTTTTTAACTGTATAAGCTTATGCCCCTCTCTCTTGTTTCTTCTTCCTGGCTTACATCTTTGCAAGTGAACTTGTCGGCTTGGACGTAGCCAGATGAAGGTGTTGCTTCAATGATTGATCCTTCCTACCTAGTATTTTCGTTCACTCTCGCTAGCAGATTGTGCATTACAAGAATCACTGAGATGCAAATGTTCAATGAAGCTGATTCTGTGTGGTCAGCAATGCACCCTCAGGCCGCCACTGCATTACCTACTCCGCCCCATTCAATTCCAGAGATGGAGGCAAATCTCTGTAAGTATTTGTTCCGTGAATGAATTAGAAGACGGGCGCCTACTGGTGTAACATCACGACGCCTTATATACACATTCACTGAGTGGGAGCCAGACGGGCGTGCTATTTGCCGAGTGAAGGAAGATGCTATTGCCAAGTATATCGTGCAAGCTTTACTCTTACACACAACGGCATCTTGCAACTCCATGCGATCTGGTGAGTTGATCCATTGCTACTCGAGTCTAGGTACCGAATAACGGAACTGGAGTGTTGGATAACAATCCAATGTTTCCTTTTCAAAAGGTAGCCTACAACTCAATCTAGCAGCGGGAAGCTGCATCAGCAGCCAACATGTAGCTGTTTTTATATTCTTTGGCTTAAAATGTCAATCTTGAACAGTGCATTCACTTGTTTTCCGGAAGCCTGCAGAATTCTGTGGGTTTCAGCAGACGATTTCAGAAGCTGCCAGTGAATGCAAAGCACAAAGACCCGTTTTCTTGACACATATATCTTCTGCCTTTCCTCTGCTTCTCTTCGTTTCCCATTCTCTCTCTTCTTGTACAGCACTCAAGATTTGATCAGGCGAAACACTTGTTTTGAGTTCTTGATAACCATCGTCTCAAAGATGGATGCCTCTTCTGAGCCGAGCCAAAGGCTTGGATCCCGAGCTCTTTTGGACAAGGTGGACAAGCTTCGCGAGTTGGGAATATCACATCTCGTGCCTCTGCCTCAGGTTAGATGCCAAGAGACCAACCGCCAAACGAAGCTGAGTATTTGCTGACTACTCTACAGATGGTCGTGGTTGGAGACCAGAGTGCAGGAAAATCTAGCGTTCTCGAGTCTTTGACAGGATTCCAATTTCCTCGCTCCGCTACTCTGTGTACTCGACATGCCACCGAGATTATTTGCCGACGAGAGCCTACCGAGAGCGTTGTGGTATCCATTATCCCGCACAATCCATCTCCCGAGCGGGAGAAGCTTGTCAGAGACTTTCACCGATCCACAGATAAGATTGCTTCAGATGACTTCCCCAAAATCTTTGAGGATGTAAGTAGTATGCTAGATCTTCCATCTTCATGAAACGATGACCAACGCAAACTTCTTAGGCCGCCAAAGTTATGGGCATCAGAATCTCAGACGAGGATAGCAACGGAGGCAGTGCATTTAGCCTCGACATCCTCAAGGTTGAAATCAGCTACCCCAATGCTGATCATCTTACAGTCATCGATGTCCCGGGCATGTTCGAGACAGTCACCCCAGGACTTACTACGGAATCTGATATCGACCTGGTGAAGAACATGGTGAAGCGATACATACAAGAGACTAGAACCATCATTCTCGCTGTTGTCCCTTGCAATGGCGATATTGCCAACCAAAAGATCCTTCGGCTTGCTGCTGAAGCTGACCCCAATGGAAAGCGAACGCTGGGGGTGCTCACCAAGCCCGATCTTGCCATTGAGAATGCCACGAAAGCCGTCGTTTGTGACCTCGTAAGGGGCAAAAGACGGGATTTGCATTTGGGGTACTGCGTTGTCAAAAATCTTGGTGCTGACGACAAGTCTGGGACCATGAATACCCGCCATGCCCAGGAGCAAGCTCTATTTGGAGAAGCACCGTGGAATACTCTGCCTGCTGACCGGCTGGGCGTACCGGCTCTCCGCGCTCGCATCGGAAATCTCTTAATGGATCGCACCCGTGCAGAATTCCCCTTGGTCAAAACTGAGATTATGGCGAGTCTCAAGAAGAGCCAAGACCTTCTTTACGACATGGGCGAGTCTCGAAGTACCACTGACCAGCAGCGGGCGTATGTAGGCAAGATTGCCTCGGAATTCACGAGAATAAAAAACTACGGCTTGGATGCGTACTATACGCGACACAGTCTTTTTGAAGACAATGAGATGAGACTCATCACCCGAATTCGAGCAATCAACGAAGCTTTTGCCCATACCATGTATGATAAGGGTCATACCAAAGAATTTCACAAAGGCAATGAAGATGGCCTAGGAAGCCGCAGTGGCCCACCTCGTGTCACTTCGGCTGAGCCAGATCAAGTTGGCCGGTCGTCGCCGTATAATAACGAATTTTCTTTCGAAATTCCACATCTCGGCGAGGAAGATTTGGTCGACGTCTTGTCTGATCCCTACTGGTGCCCCGAACCAGAGACGGACGACATGCTGCAGCATATCCAGGGTCAGTATCTCAAATCTCGAGGATATGAGCTGGGCACTGTAAGTTTCTTACCATTGACTATTTCGTTCAATCATCTCCTAGTTTCTAACTTGTTGCTATAGTTCAGTAGCGAAATGCTGCCATGCACATTCAAGGAGCAGGGAAGCAAGTGGCGATCTATTACACTTGCGCACGCCTCAAACGCGATATTGATTGTTCACCACTTTATTGCCCGAGTCCTAGAAAGCTCTTGCCCCGACGATGCTGTCCGCGACGCCCTTTGGAATTATCTCCTGTATGGCCATGACGGTCATGACGGCCTATTGAAGCGATATGAGCGGGCGATGGACCATGCCGAGTTTCTCTTGTCTGTTGAGTTCGAAGTCAAGACTCTCACATATGATCCCCGTTTTGAAGCACAGATGGACAAGCTGAAGCAGGACAAGACCCCCAAAGCCGCTGGCAAGCAGTCGGAGGAGGAATCCAAGCCGCCGCCGGAAAAGCCCAAGTCGTCGCTCGAAGAGACAAGAGAGTCGATTCATGACGCCTTGAAATCCTACTACGACATTGCGCTGAGCCGCTTTGTTGATGTGGTTTGCCAGCAGGTAATTGATCGCTACTTGCTCCACGCAAAAGACGGACCGCTGGAGGTCCTGTCGGATAAGGTTGCCCTTGCCATGTCCGCCGATCAGCTGATGTCGATTGCTGCAGAGGATCAGGCTGTCAAGGAGAAGAGAGATGCGTTGAACAAGGAAATTGAGGCTCTCACCAAGGCTCTCCGGATCCTCAGAAGCTAATAGGTACAATCACAAGGGCTCGCCCGCGAGGAAATGGGGGATGCTGTTGGATGGGCGAATAGAGCACAGGGTTTGATCTTGGGATGCGTGGGTCAGGTTACGCATTTGTACGGTATTAACGGATTGGGGTACTCTCGATGGATCTGGCGCCTGATATACGCTATTACTTTGCTGAATTAAAGAAATTGCTAACAAGAATTAACACTATTGAGGGCGTAGAATGAGAACAATGACGCGGCAATCGATTGAAAGCTCCCGTACACTATATATCAACCAAATAAACTTGCTCGTATATCATCATCACCGCTGCCGTACATTCTCTCCCACTCTTTCGATCCTTCCCCCATCTTCTCTTCCATGTGAGCTTTGTATTCCCTCCAAAATTAACAGTGGCATTCTCGGCACGTATCCATGGCCCCCGAGTAAAACCTGCCATTCTCACAGCCCGAGTGAATGTTGGAAGCGGAGCAGAAATCCTGCACGTTGGGGGGGCATGTGAATCTGCGCTGGAGATTGTTGTCGATGTCTCTGGCTTGTGGCTGCTGTGCTGGGAAGGCGAGGGCGAGGGCGGGGAGGACGAAGAGAGATGTGAACTGGTTTCCTTTTGGTTAGCTTTTCCCGACGAATGAGATATTATAGTGGATTTGTATCTTCTTTCTTACCTTCATGATGGAGAGTTTGCGATACAGGTGAGTGTATGTGTATGTTTCGTGTGATACGGCGTTATAGCGTCAAGATCGACAAAAAGCTCTTGTTGACCAAAGCTCGGACACCGAAATAGTAAGAAAAAAAAGAAGGCAACGAGAGGGTGAATCACACGTTTGTCCTGTTCTGTCTTCTAAAAAAGGACAGTGTGAAGCGAATGGGGATCGACAGAAAAAAGAGGCTGGGCAGCTGAACCCCTTTAAGTACCCCATGCGCCGTAGCATTTTCCTTCTCTTCACTGCTACCGACCAACGTATGTACATACCTAGGTAACAAAAGATTACCAAAGGCAGCGATACTATTTTTTTCCCTGCTAGCATCTTCCATCAAGGCGAGAAAAAGAAAAAAGCCTCGGAATGTCTCACAGCGCCACCACATCTCCTCCTTTTTTTTTTTTTTTTCCGGACAAAGCTCTCGGCCGTCTCGTGTTAACCTGGGAAAGAACAAAGAAGTTCAGCTAGAAAGATCTGGACTCTCGCCTGATTTTTTTTTTCCTCCCTCTTTGTTGAACTCCTCTTTTTTTTCTCATTCCTGCGAGCTGCGGTTTTAGGTTTGTGAAGGGAGAGAGTCACGAGCGGAGCTGGAACCAAGGTAAAAAAAAAAAACAAGTACTATTGCTGGTGATGCTAGCTACGGTGAGACGCAAGGGAGACAAAGAGGAAGAAGAAAAAAAAAAAAAAAGTGCTTTTGGCTAGGCTATATTCGGCGCCGCCTCTTTTTCTTTGCTTTTTTCTTAGGTCTGGGGCGTGGCTGCTTGTAATTTGGAGGAGTTTGATTGGTTTTGGGAGTTTGATTTGATGGTGGCACGAGGAGCTGTACCTTTCGTGTAAGTGGTGATGTTTCTAATTATAAACACCATCACCGATGGATCGGTAAATGAAGTGAAACTGGCCAGTTTAAACCCCCCCATCAGCCATTCTACGTATGATGAAGCAAGAAAATGACAAAAAAGACAAGACAAAAGAAGATGAGTTTGTGAGAAATACACACAGAGCATGTCGTGCCCACGGCCTCCTGAAATAAACCTCCATCTCTTAGCAAATACAAGGCAAGCCATACCGAACACCACACAACCTCGCAATACTGCTAGTATAGTACTGTAGTAGTACTATAAATGCAGGTCTCAGTTACCTTCTATTATTAAACCACCATCCATCCATCCAAGGAAATACTGCTATAAATATCTTTCCGCCTCTTCCTTATCAAAACGAACCTCTGGCGGCGTGGCTTGAGGGAGGACCAAAAGAGGCACACATGACGGGGATAGCTGAAATGACGCTTCATTTCGCGTATGCAGTAGGTAAAATAGCTTTCCATCTTATTCTTTGTTTATTTCCTGTTTCTAGTCACATCGACCAACAGTCGAATAAGAACCTTGAGCTGCCCTTGTTGTGATTAGCGTCGTCTTCCGGATGCAAATATCCGGCTGGTGCTGTCAAAGCTCCCTCCAAAGCTCCTTCAAGCCATAGGTTTAGTGCCTATTGCTACCAACATCACGAGAAATACATTCCATCAGTGGTCATCTCTTTGATTCATTTTGCTTAAGCTAAGACGAGGCTAATAATCATATCAATTCAGTGCTGCCCTCCCACTTCGTTTCCCTCGTCCTCATATCAGTCATTAATGCGCCATCCTCAACGAGGTAAAATCCATAAAATACACAATTGCCTCCGCATAAAACTCATGAATAGCTAAATAGCAGTCGCCAAAGGACTAAGAGATGGCAAGATCGTCGACGAGCGATGGCAAATAGCGCCTGCCTCTTGTGATATCTATTCCTGCCGCGTTGCTCACTCGCAGAATAGATACCTAGCCATCCAGGTTCGAAAGGAAAAGAAAAAAGTCAAGTAAAACTTTCAAAAATAACAAGCCAAGCAAATCAAGCAGGCAGATCCTGTGTAGCTCGTCGGTACGTTGTTTTCGTATCTAGTAATCTCGTAGTGTCATAAATACTCATGTCGAGTAAACAAAAGAGAGTAAGAATAGAAAAGGTCATCAATCCATCAATAGACAATAAAGAAAAGATAAAAGGAAACTATGTTCATGTAAAGGAATGATAAGGAGTGGTCGGAAGATGAGACTGCAGTTGCGCAACCTTATTTAGAGCGTGTCTTCCCAGCCTGCATCGCCAATATCGACGTCGATAGTCGACCCCAGAGCTTCTCTGCCCTGTCGAATCATATCTTGCAGCTGTTTGTTGAACGCCGCCATGCGCGCATCAGCATTGCGCTCTTCCATCTGGCGACGGGAGGTTAATCGCCTGGCCTCGGCATCCAGTCGCGGGCTGGCATCAATCTCGGTAGCCCTGCTAGTAGCCACTGAGGCTGCACTTTCAGCGCGCTGGTGACTTGGACTTTTCCAGGCAGAGGGATCGGAGGACGACGGTACGACAGTGTGTCTGCGCCTTCGGCCAGGCTCAAGATTTGCCAGCGGAGCTGGCGATGCCAACGTTGCTGAAGTATTCGCCTTGACAGGAATCCTGCTTTGTGTAGGCGGCTTGGGAACGCTGGCTTTGAACGACGCAGCCGAAGCTGAGGTTGCAGGTCGTGCAGACCTAAAGGCGTTGACGTCCGACATTCGACTGCCTGGACGGCTGGCAGCGCGACTCGCGGGGCGAAGAGGCGCAGGGTCAGAGGATGAAGGAGTGGAAAAGCTGCTTGGAGGGCCCATGCGGTGATCCGCCAGGGGAGTTTGCTGAGCGTGATGGCGAGGGGATGTGCGGCTCGGCGTAGCCATCTTTCGGGGCGTCTTCAGCTCGCTGTCGCGGTTGGGCTCCCGGATCATAACCCAGTTCTGGCCCAGGTCGTTGCCGCTCTCAGTTTGCCTACGTCTCTTGGGTGCCGGCCCAGTGGGCGTGGAAGCGCGGCTGTCATATGGATCGTCGTAGCCAGAACTTTGACTGTTGTTGTTGCTGTTGCTGCTGTAGTGGTGGTGACTCCTTTTTGGCAACTGCTGTACATGCCGCGCCCTGTCTCTACTAACAAAGGCATGGCTTTGCTGTTGCTGACTATGGCCCTGGAAATAATAAGGCTGGTCTAGGCCGGGACCAGCATCTTCATCAACACTAACACCCGTCGACGTCACCTTGTACGATGCGCCGCCCCCTGCGTAAAAACCCTTGAACGCACCCGCCTTGCAAAACTCCCATACCCGGCCAACAACTCCCCCAATGGTGGCGAAAGCAAAAGAGCCCCAGCCATTGGCATTTGCAGACTCTTCAGGCTCGGTTTGGCTAAACAGCTGCGTGGGCGGCCCGCTGGAGGAGTCTTGGTCCATCTCATCGCGCGATCGCTTGGTGCCCAGGGCCCGCCGGTAGTCGGAGTCAGAGTACATGCTGTCTCCCATGCTGTCTCCCATGCTCTCGGCCATGGCCATGTCGGCATCTTCTCCCACCAGCGGCGTGTGGAGTTGGCCAGCCAGCGCATAGGTTCTCGAGGGCGGTGCCGCGGCATCCATATAGACCTCTCCTTCGTCATAGAGGCCGCCATGAGCGCCTGTCTGGTGCATCCGGGGCATGCTGGTGCGACTCCATTTCCGCTTCGAAGAGTGCTCGGTCGCAAAGGATGAGGAGGAGAAGCTGGAGCTGGGCGACACTGGCGGCCGGAACAGGCCGGGATGGACGCCGTCGTGTGCCGGCGCCGACATGTGGTAGTGCGCAGCAAAAGTCATGGCTGCCGTTGTCTCTCTTTTTATATCTCTCGCTATTCGTCGTCGATCTCGTCGTAAAACTCGTCGTCGTCGCCGTCGCCTCTTCCTTCTTGTTTCTTCAGTGAATCTCGGTATCGATATCGGTATCGGGTTTCGTGATCGTATCGTTCCCTGGCGCCGAGAGCTGAGCTGTGACGCAGGCTTGCTGGAATGAATGAATGACTGGATGCTGGGCTCGCCCGCAACGCTGGAATCTCCTCTACCTCGTGGACGCTCGGGACGGCTTCTACCCAATGACAGGTAGCAGCTCACCGCAAGTACGTGGTATACCTGGAAGACGCACTGCGATACCTCTCGTCACTGCAAAGCGCCGCAAGACTAAGATGTCTCTGCCGTTCACAGATAGCAGCGCTTTCGAGCTGGAGCTGAATCCAAGCCGAGCTGGAGCAGGCTACACAGGCGCTGCGTTTCACCGCAGAAAAGACAGGCGAGCAGGCAACTGAATGAGTGAATGGCGTCTGCCCTGCTGACACGCCGCCTCTCCCTAGCCGTTATTTGCTGGTGGTGTGCTGTTGTCGCAGCCCTTGCTTCTCTGTGCCGCCGAGGCCTATGATCCTCCCGGGATGTCTTGCTTTTTTTTTTAATCCGAGCTTATCGTCTCCTCGTGACCGAGTCGCAATCAAGGTCAACCTTTTTCTTTGTCACACCCTCTTTGCCGCTGCAGCCTGGAATGCGGAGAGGTGGCGCCTCTTTTTTTTTTGTGATAAGCACCGCAGCGGGTGGCAATCAAGCGAGACAGGGAACCGGGGATAGAGAGAGAGAGAGGCTGATCGGCCGTCTCCAGAAAGAGGAGTTGGCGGAGGTACAAGTACAGTAGCTTGTAAGTGTGAAGTCCTTCGCAGGCCCAGCTAAAGCTGCGGTCAGGCAAGTCAGTGGCAGAATCCAGAGCGAACTACCGAGTATCTAAGTGGGCGAGTTCCTGCAGAAAAAAAGGGGGGTAGTTGAGAGCGGTGGGAAGACTGAAGACTATCGATTAGGTGCTCCTCTCCTCCAGTCACTTTTTTTTCTCCTCTCCTCTTCAATATGTCAGGGCGGCGGTGAGAAAGTGAGCCGACGATGGTGGAGGTCCAAGTGAGCGAGTGGGCTTTTTTTGCGCACAACTGGTGGTGGCTTTGGCCCCCCAGCCTCCGCAGATGCTCACCAAGCCCTGCTTTGGGCCAACAGCCTCTTCCTCTTTAGCCGAGCTCTGCTCTTTTTGAGAGCTGCGGAGTCTGTATGTGTGCAATTGGCAAAAAGTGATGCTTTACAGTATAGCCTGCTGGGCACAGGATCAAGGGAAGCAATCCGGTTCGTCCGGTCCAGGTCGTCAAGGACCGCGTGCATATGCCATGGATTGTTTTGTTAGCGGTAGCGGAGAAAACGTCGCTCCACACGCACTATAGTTCCAGGGATCAGCTCCAGTGACTGGTGGCTGGTGACCAACTGTGGCAGGCTAGCAGCAAGCCTGTTGCCAGGGGCAATCGCGAGATGGCTGCAGCACAGCTGTCGCAGCAAGAATGGTAAAGGCGCATGTAGTAGACGCAGCAGCAGCAGCAGTAATGGTCTATGCTACACCTGGAGTACTAGATAACAGAATTAGGGGGCTAGATAACTTGTTCCTTTATCTTCCAAAGGCTAGGTATACACACATCAAGCACTGCACAGCATGCACACAAAAAGTCTATACTCTCTCTATGAATCCCCTATCGAATGTGAATTCGCTTCTGCTCTTTAGAATGCCCACCAAAAAAGAAAAAGAAAAAAAAAGACCAAATTCCCCAACAAAGAAAAATGTCAAAGCCTCGCCATCACTTTCGCTCATAGTAGTCTTCCTGTCCACGTCTCGTCTCCTCAGACACTCCTCCCTCCAGACCCTTTTCGCCGTGAACATGCTCCTTTGTCTGCCAGAATGCCTCTCTCTCGCGCAGGAGCTCTTCCGCCCACTCCTTCATCTCGGGCAGAACAACCTTGCGTGAAACGTATGCAAACTCGCCCAGGTCGACATGCCCCTTGCCCTGCTTCTCGTACTCGACCATTTGCAGGAGCAGCTCAATCTTGTCCACGTCGTGCACGAAATGGCTGTCCAGTGTCTGCGAATCTTCGTATTCCTGCCATATCGCTCGAATCTCGGTGCCAACATCGCCGCCTGCAACACTGCGCAGTAGGTTCTTGGTCAAAAAGTCCATCGTCTCGGCCTCTCGTCGATTCTTCTCGGGCTTGGCGACGCCGTCGACGGGGGTAATGTCTCCGACCAGGAGCTCGGCCATGTCGTGGACCAAGGCCATCTTCATGCACTTTTGCAGATCCAGCTTCTTGGCCAGGGTCGGTGGCGCAAACATGGTGATGAGAGACATGCGGTACATGTGATCCGAAATCGACTCGCCTCTGCAAAAAGAGAGAATACCCTTTCGTTAGCAATCTTGATTTTGTTTGCGCCGCCATAGTTGGACATGTCCAATCACAGACTGACCTTTCGATTCCAAACCGCCGCCATCCCTCACGCTTCGTAGTCTTGAGCCGGGAAAGCATGTGGAAGAACGGAATCGGTGAGCTGGAGCCCTCGGCAGGTGCCTCGCTGGGAATCTCTTCCAGCACTCTCTTGACAGACCATTCTCCAGACAGCTTTACCGCAGGCGCAAATCCCAAGTCTGTGCCGCTGTTAGCAGTGACTCGAGGGGAGTTGAGAAAAGATGCCAGGGGATAGCCGTACTCGCAACGATTTCGGGCCCATTTGCGCCATTTGTGATTTCTTCCTGCTCTCCCATGGTATCTATTCGCAGTGTGATTATCAGGTTCGCGGGCGGTGTTTATCGCTTGTTATCGGCAATCTTTGTCGCGGGGCTCTCGGTGGCGGGGCAAGGCGAGGAGATGCGAAAGATACGGGACGATGATGGAGAATAGGAGCAAAAGAAGAAGTAAAAGGAGATTGGAGGCTTTTCTCTATCAATCTCTAGCACTAGAGCAGATGTTCTTGAGGGCAGGTTTCATAGAAGAAAGAAGAAGGTCCAAATGTTGTTCTATCCAAGCCGCCAAATTCCTGCCACATGGCTCGGCCCATAAAACTCACAGCGGGCTGCTAGCGGCCTGTTGGCGGGTCTCTGCAGCGCTGAATTGGCGAATGGTAAAGGGCGGATACATAATGGTTAAACATTGTAGATGGGGATTAGGAATCGTGCCACGTTTGGGAATATGGTTGTCAGTTTTGGGTTGTCATTTTATGCACAAGATACGGCCATCGATCTCGATTGCTGCAGTTGAGAAGTATTGCAGTAATACTTCCATTTGAAGTCTAGCATCAATACTGCTGCAGCGTACCTAGGTATATATCAGTGATGGAATTCGTCCACCTTACCCTGGAAATCTTTGGACAATCGTGAATTCTTTCACGCATCATTTTTAACAAGACACTGTTGCTCTAGAGAAATTATAGTGTAACAGTTTGATTATAATGTTACAAGATGCTGCGACTGTTTACAACGGACAGGTCTTCCTCACGATATTTCTAAGCACCATTCTCCGATTACCATATGCAGTATCAGATGAACTGTTGCGTGGAGATATTCAAATTCTGTTGCATCATTCTAATGTCCCTCAAACTTCTTATAAGAGCAGCCCCGCTATACAAAGACAACAGACAATGTTTCCTTCAACACCCAAACGCTGAGTACCTAATCCATAGCCAAACAAGAATATAATACTTCACACCTCATCCTCGGTAAAGCAGCATCGAATCGCTTGAAGCTCGCTTCTTCATCTCGCATCTTCATCTCGCAACTATAACCACCATCCAGAAACCAGAAAACAATCATCTCCAGTCCTCAGCGGGTCGACCAGTTCTCAACCAAGTATGTAGACTCAGTCCGAGGGCATTCCTGCCTTTGCGGATGAAACCGCCTCCGTATCGGTAGATGAAGCCGCCGCCGTATCTGTAGCTGGCTCCACTACTGTCTGCGTAGAAGAAGCCGAACTTTCCTCCTCCCTCAGCGTGGATAAACCGCTATCTGACGATTGGTAATGGGACGAGCCCTCTCCCTCTCCCTCTCCCTCTCCTTGCGGTGGTGATGAAGCATCCTCTGGCGGGCGGGTTGAAGTATCATTCGGCGGTGTAAGTAAAGTATCGTTCAGCGCTGCAAGTAAAGCATCATTCTGCAGTGTAAATAAAGTATCATTCGGCGGTGCAAGTAAAGGATTGTTCGACGGTGCACGTAAAGCATCATTCCGCAGTGTATATAAAGCATTATTCCGCAGTGTAAATAAAGTATCATTCGGCGGTGCAGGTAAAGCACCATTCCGCGGTGTAAATAAAGTATCATTCGACGGTGCACGTAAAGCACCATTCCGACCATTCCGCAGTGTAGATAAAGAATCATTTATCGCTACCATTAAAGCAACATGCGACGGTGCACGTAAAGCATCATTTGGCGGTGGGCACGAAGCAGGCTGTACATGTAGCTCAATTCCCGACTCTTGCGGCTGCGGTTCGACGGGACGCTCCGTCTTCACACAGCACATCCAGCGAACGAGTTTGACCAACAGCATCCAAGAGTAGTGAGCGACATCGGCACAAGCGTACCATGCTTTGCGAACAATACGACAAAACAAACCGATGGGGTCCGTGCGATTTCTTCTACATATGGCCAATAGAACCACGGTACTTGACATAAAAAGGACGATGAGAAAGGTTATCAGAATGATCAGCTTGCCTTGGGCGGCTTCGATTTCTGCTTTTTTGCGATCATCCGTAGGTTTCCAGGCGGGAGGACCCCAGGCGGGCGGACCCCAGGCAGGCGGATCGCTGAGAGATGGGTATGTTAGCAGGTAGGCAAGGTGGTCGTGAGGCAATCGGGAGAGCGAGTAACGTACTGGGCCATTTTTCGCCGTTGGCTAGGTATAAGCAGGCTCATGAGCGATATGGCAAGTAAGCATAGAAAGGAAGAGGATCACCATAAAGAGTTGTGTAAATAATCATCCAGAAAATCTACTGTTGCACATGGAGAATCAGAGACGGCAAAAAGAGAATGTTGTTAGTTTGGACATGGAGTCTGGATTTAATATTGGCAGCGACAACGTTCAGATAGGAGCCCATATTGTTCTAGACTAGTCAACATGGAAGGAGCTTCTTGGAACTATATCAGTGTTGAAAGTTTGAGCTTGACAACTGCTCTTTCTCTCAACCGTGGCTCCCAACAGCATGTTTATTGGACGAACAGAAAAAAAAGACAAAAACAGAAAAACAAGAGACTCCCCGTCGTGTATTAACCTAATCTCCATCATCTAGATAACCATCGACAGCAGCAAAAACTCCTCATCAACAACACCGCTCAAACACCCCCTCACCTCCAAATCTCCTTCCGAAACCCCTCCGTCAGCCTCTCATCCTCCCCATAAACCTCCTGCCATCCCGTAAACCCCTGCTCCAGCACACAAATCTCCTGCTCCAGGGCAGGCTCTTCGCCCAACGACGTCAGCAGAGCGTCCCTCTCGCGGAGGTACTTGAGCGCCGAAAAGGGCCCCCGCTGCTGGCTGAGCGCGCAGTGGAAGATGACGGCCTTTTTGTCCTTGACTTTGCGGATGAGGGTGGGCATGAGGGCGTCGAGCTGGTTGCAGGGGATGTTGGTTGAGCCTTTGATGTGGCCGCCAAAGTAGTCTGCTCAGCGTTAGTCTGAGGTTCATATACTTGATAGTATCATGGCAGTTATTTTTATCTCTGACGTTGCCTCTAGTTCGATTAAGAAAAGATGAACTCGGCCTCTTCTTTTCATCATGGAATCTAAAGGAAAGTAAAAAATCATGCGCATTATAACATACCAACATCGCGAACATCAATCACCGCAAAGCTTGGCTCTGCCTGTTCCTGCTCCTCCAGAATCTTCTCAGAAAGCGTCTTCGCAGACACCCTCTTCAGCGACGCAACCGTGTAGTTTGACATGCTCTTAGCCACAGAAGAACGACTTTTCACTGCAAAGGGCCGAAAGAGGTTCATATAAAAAGGGACAATTTGATGCCCGCCTTTTATGTTGTTGAATCAAGGATGGAGCTCGGCAGTGCTAAAAGAGGTATAAAAAGCAAGTGCCGAAAAAACGTGCCTGGGCGCAACGAAGCTAAGACGCCTCCCCGCTAAAAAGCTACTGCCACGGGCTATTAATTAGCTCCTGGCTCCCTCCCGGCTAGGCGATACGGCGTACATGGCTGCCTTTTTGCTTGATGGGCACATGACTGTCTGGCCACAGAAATTCTGTTACAAACAAGGGGTTTTGTGTTTGTGAAATGTTCCCGTGTCCAGAATATTTTGATCCTGGCGGTTATTTTGGCGGCCCGAATGGCAGCTGGTCTAGTTGACTTACAGAGGGGTATCTACGATTTGGCTTCACAAGCTGCTGCTGCGGTAGAATTTGGATGGAGAGAGCGACAAATGAACGTGGCGTTTGATGACTTTAATTATTGTATCGAATTTAAGGGTATTATTTCTTTGCATGCATCCCCTCAACTCCTTCGTATAAACAATGGCAGAATAGTATGAATAAATGAATCAAAGGCCGCCTCCCTTTTCTCCTCCCCTCTCCCGTCATATATCATTGGAAATGTCATAGTTTAGTTGCCAACTCCACCACCAAAAAACCAACAACGAAAGCAAACAAAACAAAAAGAAGCAGCAGAACCGCGACTCCTGCATGAAACGGTATAGTGTATAATACTTTCCACTCCTGTTTTTACGCCTGGATACTCCTGAATACCACGTCACCTCATGCCTTACCGACCCACCCTGCGTTGCTGAAGAAATCAAATATTCTCGCCCCCTTCTGAGTGTCAAGTCGGCAAATTTCTTTGGCTTGTTTCTTCTTGAGCGTCCCATTACCCCGAATGGCTTCCTTGAGGATTTGCTCCTTGATCATCAAGTATGGCTTCGGCTGAAGGCGCACGACCTCACAGAGCTTAGCTTCCTCTGCCGTGAGGAGGTGCAAGTCGGGAGCGTTCTCCTGCGTCAACTGTAATGGCTGCACGCCAGAGATGGGCTGTGGAATATATTTTTGTTTGGTGGGACTGTGGCCGTTGATGCCGTTGACTCCATTGACGCCGTTTACGCCATTGGTGTGGCCATTCGTCAGAGGTTTGGCATCGTCGCCATTTGTCTCTCCGTTGGCTTGCGCGGGGCGGATTGGCAGCTCAGGGGCAATGAGAAGAGCAGCCCCGCTTGGAGGCTCTGGAGGAGGTGGCGCCTTTGAACGCTGAGAGGATGCCAGCCTCTCTCTATCCATGGAACCCATAGGTATAGACTTTTGTATCCGAGAAGCCTTTTCCGTTTCGTACTTTTCGCCGCTTCGGAGATCTCCAATGCGAAGACTGCGCCACTCTTGGAGCTGAGCAATGGCTTGTCTTAGATTCAGCTCATCCTGCAAGCCTTGTGTGAAATCTTCAAAGTCTCTATGGTTCATGATGCGACCAAATGGCTTTGCCCTCTGGAGTAGGTCTTTCTCTTCTTTGGTCTTCCTCTTTTCTATCTTTGTGTTTTCTCGATAATCCAGCAGATTATGCTCGAAAACAACCTTTTTGCGCTCCACACGCTGTGTTAGCCGACAGTTGTATATTTCCATCACCGTCAACTTTAGCTCCATCTCGGGCTCCAGCTCTCCTGTCCTTGGATTGAGTCCATCACCAGGGTCGAACTGCATCAGCTGCACCGCCTCTTCTGCTTCATTGGCGTACTCCGTTTCAAACTCGAGACGTCCAGGCATGTAACCCTGAATCTCGTGGCAACTAGGAACACTGGCAGTGGGCTTCGTTTTGGGTTGCAGGGCCGGCGCATTCTTCGACGCCTCTCTTCGCTCCTCGATGCGCCGCTTCTTGCGCGACTGGAACTCTTCTCGTGGGATTTCATTTGCGAGCTCGCAGTCATGAGGACTGCATCTTTTGGGGAGCGGAAACCTGGGCGAGTCGACAAATGTACTGAGGTAGTGGTCGCGCACTTCGTCCTTTTCGCGGAAGCCGCCAATGTGGTCAGCAATGTCCGCCCAGGACCCGAGGCCATATATCTCGGCGCCCTCGAGCAGCAGCAATTCTTCGTCGGCACCCCATTCTCGCGCAAAGATGGGGAACGAATTCTGCTCAATCACACGGAACGAGTGCGTTGCGGGATCGTGAGTGTTGCGCGACTCGCCCTTGCCAAAGCACGGCACGCAGAGGTCGAAATCAGAGCATGCAGGGTCGGCACATCTAATGCGGACCTATAAGAGTTGGGACGTGAGTCAGCACCCATTCAAAGCATATGTGGGCTATAAAGTTAGAGTTGCAGATAGAGTATTGATTGCCTTACCGTCGAAGTGATGTCGCACGAGCAGACGTCGCATACGTACTTGACACCACCCTCACCTCCCCTCGTCGCAGTCTTCTTGCGGATGACGCCCATTTCGCCGAGCGCTGCAGCTGGACAGGCGTCCGGCGCGATGCTGCCACCCTAGAAATGATTGGTGGAGCTGGTCGGAAAAACAGCGGCTGCCACGGCGCGGGCCACGGACGTGACTGGGATCTGAAAAGAGTGTCTGGAGAAAGCGCGCGGCGCAGAGGCGCTGTTGCGATGCGTGTTTTGATGAATTTCGCGGGTTTGCGACGGCGGTTGATGGAAAGGAGGACCGGCGCCGCCCAGGACTCGGCGGCCAGATGATGTTGGATGTCGCGATCCGGTGGAGCCAGGGATGCGCTGATGCGGCCCATGGAATTCGCTGGGCGGCTGCAGAAGGAGGCGAGCAGGTGCAGGTACGGTGCTAGCCAGATGCGGCTGAACAGTGTCACGTGATACACGTCTATTCAAAGTAACGGCTACTTGGTTTTGCCGTGACGTTCCGCGAATCTCCATATAGAGTCCAAGTATAGAGTACTATTATCGCGCTTCTCCCTGTTGAACTGCTGAAAACCCCACTGAAGCCTGCATCGACTTGGCGAGATCAACAAGATGCACCTCTACTGGGATTGATTTCTTCTCTTACACGCAAAACCATTGTGATGCTACCAATCATATCATATCCCATACCTACATAGAGCTCAATCAAATATCATTTGCATGTTACAGCTGTTATCAGCAATACGCACGTGGAAATCTAGACGGCCCTTTTCCCTTCCACTGTCCCACCCAGATATGCTGCATCAAGCTCTAAATGGCGCACCCCAACTCTCGTGCAGTCCAACGTTGAACCAAGCTTGCGGGAATGCGTCATAGTGTAGCAGCAGCCTTGCATTCACGACTCGCAAGAGGATTTGCAAACGGTGCTCTCTGTTGGCGCGCTTATACGCCTCGACCCGCTCGGCATAGTCCCGGCGCTCTAAATTTTAAAGACGGAGCACGGAGCCTGACGTATTGGCCCGAGTTTTGGTCCACGCTCCAAAAGATGCCCCCGGCCTTGGCTTCAGGTTTATTCTCCGAAGCAATATAATTTGATTTTCTTGTTCGTATCTCGCAACTTTATTATTCACCCGAGATCGTCTGTGTGATATATTGCTTCTTTCCGTCGGCACATTCCGCTGTCAAAGCCTTAATCCTCTATTCTGCAGCCATGCCGGACCAGATCCTCGATGACATCTCCCACCGGAGGTACAACCCACTAACAGACAGCTGGCTGCTTGTCTCTCCTCACCGAACGAAGCGTCCCTGGCAGTAAGTAGAAGATGAATCAAGCTTCATAAGCAGTATTAAAAATTCATGATGCGCTGACCTTGCCGTGCTGCTCTTAGAGGCCAGCAAGAAGGCGCCGCAGCTACCACTCTGCCCGATTATGACCCCAAGGTATATCTCATGTTGCCTTTTATGCATGGTTCATTCATCACTCATCTGACATGTTAAAAAGTGCTATCTCTGCCCTGGAAATGCTCGCGCTGCTGGCGACAGCAACCCAAAGTATGAAAAGACGTTTGCCTTTGTAAATGACTACAGCGCTGTCAAGGAGCAGCAGCCCGACTACGAGGCCAGCCAGTCCGCAGATGGTAAATCCAACGCCCTTTTCCTTTGACCTTGTATAGTGAGTAAACACCATGCTGATCCAGATAATGCAGACTTGGAGTCACTGTTGCTGCGAGCTCAAAGCGTCAAGGGCGTGTGCTATGTCATGACTTTCTCACCAACGCACAATGTCACTCTCGCCGACATGTCCCCAGCCGATATCCTCCCAGTCGTTGACCACTGGACCCGGCTTTATGCCAACCACCTATCCCCATCAAACCCTCTCTCAGCAGTTGCCGCACAGCTCCAGCTCTCTATCCCAAAGGACGGGGCCCCCATCCCCAAGGACAACTACCGCTACATGCAAATCTTTGAGAACAAGGGCGCGGCCATGGGCTGCTCCAACCCGCATCCCCACTGCCAGGCCTGGACAACATCAACCATGCCCGAAGAGCCAGGCAAGGAGCTCACGCAAATGACCAAATACCGCCAGCAGCACGGAAGGCATCTGCTGGCAGACTACATCAAGCTGGAGCTGGCAAAGGAGGAGCGCCTCGTATGGCAGAATGCCTCTTTCGCTATTGTTTGCCCCTGGTGGGCCGTCTGGCCATTCGAGGTCATTATTCTCCCCAAGCGACACGTCCGCGCACTCGTCGACCTCACCGCCGATGAGCGGCTGCAATTCGCAGAGGCCATCCAGGAAGTTGCTCGACGATACGACAATTTGTTTGAGTGCCACTTCCCGTACAGCTCAGGCATCCACCAGGCGCCCCTGGACGGAACGCCAGAAGAAATCGAGAATTCCTATCTTCACATGCACTTTTACCCCCCACTGCTGCGGTCTGCAACGGTCAAGAAGTTTTTGGTTGGTTTCGAGCTTATGGCGGAGCCGCAGCGAGATATCACTCCTGAGCAGGCAGCTGCTCGCCTTCGAGCTTTGAATGGACCGCTGTATCGAAACCAGCTGAGTTGAGTTAGCTTAGCTAAACCAAGCTGAACCAGAAAAACTGTTGTATAGATATAATCAAGTAAATAAATAAAACAAAAGTTCTTTTTTTACATTTATGATGATTCCAACCCGTTATTCCTACACTTCATAGTTTATTACCTCCTATTGAACCAGTACACACGCCACGCTTTACTCAAACTCGACATAGTAGCTTCGAACCATGGGCATCCAGATGAGCGCCGTCGTAGCCAGCGTAAAGGGAAACATCTGGGGAAGACCAAAGGTCATGCTCTTAAACACAAACAGCTCGCTGGCGAAATGGCTTAGTGCCACCACGTACGTCCAGATGGCAATATTGTACATCGGCCCACTGTTCAGGTGGTACGCCGCATAGCATCGAACGATGGAGGTGATGATTGTCCACGTCCCGAACAGCCTTCCGGCGAGGGGCGTCAGCTGGTCCGCAGCCTTGGGGTCGTTCTGGGCATGGACCAGTTTGTTGGCCGAGTCTTCGGGGTTGAAGTTGGCAGACGCGGGGGGCAGCTTGGGGTTTCGGATGAAGCGGCCGTTGTAGACGCGCCGTGAAAAGTGCAGGGTCGTGTAGGCTTGGAGGGAGTTGCCGATGGATACGACGGAGAGCTGCGGTAGAGATTTGATGTTAGCTGAGATGAAGCGGGGTGTTTGCTGGGAGGTGAAGGATTGGGATCGATGCGTACAATGAGCATGTAGTAGGGGAGGATGCCATTGGCGGGCGGCAGGATTGACTTGAGCAGATCCATGGCTGAAGAGCGTGGTTGGTGTTGAGTTGTATGGAGTTGGAGGATGCAAGATCGAAAGACTCGGGACTTGCATTAAGCTGCGGGTACCCTTCTTAAGGCACTAACTGACAGCAGCCACCGCATCTTTGCAAGGACGTTGCATCAATTGACGAAATTTTTATTATGCTGCAGTGCGATTGAAATGGTGCATTATTTCCCTTCAATTCTAATCTCTTCAATTGCCTTTATCCTTGCACTTATTGTCCTCCTGCCGGTTGGGATATCCAGTCCGCTCGCATTTTGAGGGGATTACAAGCGATAAACACATGCTGTACCATCACAAAACAGGATGTTGTTCTATGACCGCTTAATTGATATCGCCAAAAGAAGAAAGGAAAAAGAAGCTTTGAAAACTGCAACGCTATAATATTAGCTGAGAATATAGCCTCATTCCATCTTTGATTACCATCACAAGCTGCTGCTGGCGGTACCTTGATCTAATCCAACGCCGCGGCTGGACCCAGAGCTTCTGCACGCTTTAATTGGCCCGGCGGCAGCCCAACGGGATTGAAAGTTGAGCTCCCACTAAAGCTCCCATCCCACCAAAATCTTCCTCTTGTTTACCTCAACTTGCCACAGTTGTCACTCTGCGCAATCATGGCATCCGTCGCGAGCTTCTTCGAAAACGTGCCTCAGCCCGTCCAATGGGCTCTGGCTGGAATTGGTGCGCTTTACCTGGGATCCAAGTTCTTTGGCTACCTCCGGCTTTTGCTTGGCTCATTCCTGCTGCCGGGCACCAATGTAAGAGAGAGCCCCTCCTACTATTTACGACGTGGAATTGGAATTTTCTTGTTGCTGACTGCGAGATAGCTCCGCAAGTATGGAAAGCCTGGCACCTGGGCTGTTATTACCGGCGCCTCCGATGGCCTAGGCAAGGAGTATGCCTCGCAGCTCGCTGCCAAGGGCTTCAACCTCGTGCTCGTTTCTCGAACCCAGTCGAAGCTTGATACTCTGGCGAAAGAGCTGGAACAAAAGTACACCGGAAAGGGTCTTCAGGTCAAGACGTTTGCCATGGATTTTGCCCAGGACAACGATTCGGACTATGATAGACTGCGAGAGCTTGTGCAAGACCTGGATGTTGGTATTCTGATTAACAACGTCGGCCAGAGCCACAGCATTCCCGTTCCCTTCTTGGAGACGCCCAAGGAGGAGCTGCAGAACATCATCACCATCAACTGCCTCGGAACCTTGAAGACCACTCAGGTCGTTGCTCCCATTCTCCAGAAGCGCAAGCGTGGTTTGATCCTGACCATGGGCTCATTCGGTGGCTGGACGCCCACCCCTTACCTGGCCACCTATTCCGGCAGCAAGGCTTTCCTCCAGCAGTGGAGCAACGCCCTGTCCGCCGAATTGTCCGATTACAACGTCGATGTCTACCTGGTCCTCAGCCACCTGGTCACGACCGCCATGAGCAAGATCCGCCGTACCAGCCTGCTTATCCCCAACCCTCGCGGCTTCGTCAAGGCTGCGCTGGGCAAGGTCGGAACCGGCAGCTACCAGACCGCGCCAAACACCTACACCCCCTGGTGGAGCCATGCCTTTATGCTGTGGGTGGTTGAGAATGTGTTGGGCGTCAACAGCCCCTTGACGATTTGGTACAACAAGAAGATGCACATTGATATCCGCCGCCGGGCCCTTCGCAAGGCGGCTCGCGAGGCAAAGAAGCAGTAATTGGTCTTGTAACTCGCTTTGCTTTGCTTTGGTGCTATCTGAGTGGAAACATGGGATAAAAAGGAATATCATATCATCAAATGTACTGTGAGAGTTGAGGGGAATCGGCGATTGCTTGAACAAACTGAGCTACGGTGCTTTGACTCGAGCCATGCAAGAGAGTAGCAAATTTGAGGATATACATATTTAAACACATGTGTAATAATCATTTCCCTGGAATTATTCGACGAATGTCAGCACTACGTCAACCTATATAGCAAATCTTGAAGTACAGCAGCATCGCACTGAGTTATCCTAGCCCAGTCGTGCAAAATCACCCATAGCTCAGATCGCAATTGGCAAAACAGAAAGAAAAGAAAGAGATGAAAATCAAATAGAGAGGAAGAGAGTACCGTCAGCTTTGCTTCAACGAATCGAAACTTTCATTAGCAATATTATTACCCGCTCACCACATAATCTCATTCGGCCACAGGCACTCATTGAACCTTGTTCCTGCTCGTTGCGCCTCTTTCAGGCCCCGTGCTTCTTCGGCGGGAAGAATGCTTTCCCAGGCGAAGTTGTACTGGGCTATATTTTCAAAGGAGAATGTTTCGTATAGCCCTGGAATGAGGCCCAGGAAAAACATTCGCTTCCTGTCCCACAATGCGAACCCTAGTCGGCGATAGGAATTGAATGTGACGCCTATTATGGGCGATGAAAGCATATCGCTAGAGAGGCCTGCCCAGTATTCTATGTTGGTGGAAGGCCCGTCGATGGCAACGCATGTCTGATCCCAGCGGGCGACTGTTGATCTGGATGGTGCGTCTTTCATATCCTTCACATCCGGCGGCAAGTCGAACTCAACAACTTTGTTGGGATAAACCAATCTATAACACTGACCGTCCTCCCATTCTTGCTGTCGAAGTTCGGGAAGAGGTGTTATCCAGCCCGCATCACTATAGCCCTTTGGAGGGCGAGGGAGGCGGTAGTATGGCCCCTTTTGCTTTGTTTCTGGCTGTGTTCTGAGGCTTTCGAGATATGACATGACGGTTTCTACCTCTTCAGCCGGACCATTTATGAGCGAATGATTTACGTTTTCGCGGATAAAATCTTGCGGGTTCCTGAATTCGGCTCCATCCTTGGGGTCTCTCCTTTGAGGAGCTGACAAAGTCACTTCATTGGCGAGTTGAACGAACCATAGAGCTCGCGAAACTCGCGTTTCTTCGACCCAGCTTGGTTGCCCGATGTCTGCTGTTACTAACGGAGTACCCTCAAAGTCAATCATACAAGGAGGCGTCGGGTCACCGGGGTCGATACAATTGCGAGCATGGTCGAGGTATTTGGGCGTAAACGAAGGACTCCGTATGCGAGCGAGATAAAACTCCAAGCAGCCATGTGTGAGGACTGAGACGTGTCGGGCTGTTGCCACGACAGACCAGAGTATTTCAGTAGGTGGCTTGTTGACTGTGATGGCAGTTGCGAGTGAAGCAGTAATTTTAGCCGTGACAGTGTCCAAGTCATCGTATTTAATGCCGTTATCCGTATTCTTAGCCATGTGTTTATGTATGAAGTAGACAAAGTCATCTGGACGCGCGAAAGGTTCTTGAGAATTGCGTATCAGGATGAGGGCACGTATAAACTGTTGGATACCGGGAGCTAGGAGCGAGTCTGGAGAAGACAGGACAGATTCGGTGATGAGGCAGGCGTATTTGGTGAACAAGCGCCATGCTTTTGGCGATGCCACGATCAAAGTATATAAAGAGTCGAGATCGGTCAGCTCGGTCATGATTGTGAGCAGAGTTTCAGGTGCTAGGTCATCTAGCGAGATGCGAGGCTGAATCTCCAGCTCTGGGCTTTGTTTGCTGTCCGTGTTTGAAGAAACACAAAGGCTTTCGAGAGAAACCTCCATGATTTCGAATTATGAACTTGGAGAGCGCTTTGTGATGTGTTGGATCTTTCTCTGCCTACTCAGGCAAGATATAGGGTGAATGCCTATAAGACAAGATTCCAACAAGCCGACACGATGGCTCAATTTGCTGCTTTTCGAGCGCAATTGACTCTGAACAACTTAGAGGCGTGCACAATGGAAAAGAGTAAAGTGAGATTTTAAAGATTAAGAGAAGAACGGGCTTATAGCCAGATATTTCCAATATATAGATTAAGGCTGGAAGGGCTTGATGAAGGGCAAGTATCTCTCAGTCGGATGGACTGGAACATCCTTGACATTCACTGGGTGTTCAAAAAAAGATTTGAAGAGAGAAATTAGTTTGATTAAAGGCTATTTCAAAGGTAATTTATCCTCATCGGAGGATTGGGGGCGAAGAGCAATAGGAGCTTTTATTACTGCAATAGGTAGTAGGTATTCATCCTGTGACGGCTTCTGACGAGGGTCGGTCCCGAAAAAGCGACGACTAGAGCGGTGCTTTGCTTACTACTAGTAAGTTGCCGAAATGGGATTCAAGAGCAAACAGCTGGAGGTACGTACCGCGAGAACAACAGCCCTAATGCGGACTAGCGCGGTTCGGCGCCCAGGGACGGAAAAAAGCAGAGCTCTACCAACCTCCCAGAGTGTACACCAAAATAATCCACGACGTCGAATCTTTTGCTCGCGGCGCTGCCATCGCCATCGTTTGCCTGCTCTTCGCCGCGCACCCACCACTCAATTCGCGATCGCGGGGACCAGCTTCGGACTTGGACGCGAAGCTTCAGATTGCGCCACCCACGGCACGTGCAGCTGGTCCTTGATGGTCTGACCAGCGCGTTTCTCCATCCGCGGCTCTGGTCCAGGTGAAGCAGCATCAACGCCACGATCTGCCCGACATGTCGTATCCTCCCGCTACGCCGATGCGCCCTGTGCCGGGCGCCTTTGTGAACACGCCGGCCATTGTCGCGCGTTACCAGACCTCGCACGACCCCGTCCGCCGGACGCTCTTCCCCGTCAGCGAGGGCCAGAATGCCCAGACTTCATCTGCGGCCACCACCACCACCACAGCGCCTCTAGGCACGGTACCGGCGAGCTCGACGGCGGTGACGACGACGTCAGGAAATGTCGAGGGCTCGGGATTGTCTTCTCTGACGCCGCTGGCGCCTCCACGCGTCGAAAACATCCCCCCCGTCCTCAAGGCGGCCAAGGCAATCAATGCTTTCCTACAACAAGACGAGAGCTTTCCAGATCTAGATTCCTACTGCAGACGTAAGTTGACATGCTGTTCTCACCAGATGGGAAAAGACAGAAAGCAAGACGGGGGCTAACAAGAGACGCTGTTGAAAGAGGGGGCATCTTCCGACTATGAGCTTCCCGGCGCCGATTCCGCCTGGGCGCCCTTCCAGAAGACGAACATGTACCCGATCCCGAACCAAGTCTTCGACCACTACAACGCGGGCCAGCTCCAAACCCTCATGGGACTATTTGCTGAGATCAACCATGCTTGGGTCGTCATTGATAATTCGCTTTTCCTCTGGGATTATACCCACTCCGACCCCGAGCTTATTGGCTTTGAAGACCAACCGCACACGATCCACGCTGTTGCCCTGGTTCCTCCCAAGCCCGGCATCTTTGTAAACACAATCACACATATCCTAGTTGTGGCGACATCCTCCGAGATTATCCTCCTAGGCGTGTCTGCCACCGACACGTCTGCCGGTACCAAGAACGTCACCATGTACCAGACGAAGATGGTCTTGCCCATCCGTGGCAACGACATCCGCATCATCAGTGGCTCTGCCGACGGCCGCATTTTCTTTGGCGGATGCAGCGATGTGGACATTAACGAGCTTTACTACCAATCTGAGGAAAAATGGTTTTCGAATCGGTGCGGTAAGATCAACCATTCGAACCCAGGCTGGTCCTCCGTTGTCAGCTTGCAATCCAGCTTATGGGGCCATAACGATCCCGAACACTTGGTGGATATTGTGATTGACGACACGAGGAAGCTGGTTTACACTCTCTCAAGCACGTCGACCATTCGAGTCTATCACATGGAATCCCCTGAGCGGCTAAATAAGGTGATTGAGAAGACTAAGCTACACTGCCTTCGAGATATTGCACACATGATTACACAGTCAAAACTCTTGACTGATCGGACCAACTTTGTCTCCATCAGCCCCATCTCGAGGCAAGAGGCTTCGAAACTTCATCTCATGGCGCTAACCGATACTGGCTGCCGTCTCTTCTTCAGCGCTACTAATGCTTCATCTTACCTATACGGATCTCAGGCCAACCTAGCCCCCCAGAGCATGCAGGTTCAATTCATCAAATTCCCCCCCTCGGCCGCTGCCCGACGATCAACTCAGTTTGGAGTGGGCGCCCAGCCCTCAGGGGAGACGGTGGTTGACCTCGATTCAACTCTGTTGGTAGCAAGCAGACAGGGCGCTCGATTCCCACCCGGATTCTTCTTGGACTTTGTGAGCAAGAAAGATGATCCCAATTCCGACTTGCTGTTTGTGGCCGGCCCCGAGACTGGAAGAATAAAACGGACGTCTCCTACTACCCCCCTGAGATACTTTGAGCAGGCAAGCTGGATCGATATTGGCAGCCGAGCCGAGGCTGTTGGCTTAATTACGAAACCCTTTGCGGCCGCCAGCCAACCGGTCGGATTTGGCAATGAGCTGGCTGTCCAGTTTGACGAGCCTCCAAGCGAGTTTGCTGTTCTTACAAATACGGGAATTCACGTTATCCGGCGACGACGATTGGTGGATACTTTTGCGGCTGCTATTCGAGATTCGCCCGGAGACGAGGCACTGGATCTCATGTGCCGCCGTCTCATATTCCTCTATGGCCGTGTAGAGACGGTCTCAACGGCTTTGGCTGTGGCCTGCGGTCATGGAGACTCCCGGCGAGGCTCTGTGAAGGCGATTGATCAAGTAACCGAGGACCGAGCAAGAGCTCTCTTTGTCGACTTTGGTGGTCAACCTACGATTATAGAAACTGATGGATCATCTCTCACAACAGACTCGGTTAAGCTGTCATCCCGGCATGACGCATTGGCCATGTACCTGTCAAGATTGATCAGGAAGCTCTGGAAAGCCCCCGTCATCAATGCAAGCGTCGCTCCCAACGGGGCGATTACCGTGTCTTCATCCATCGCTCCTACCAAGCTGATTACTACCCAGGAGAACCTGGAGCGGCTAAGAAAATTCATTGATTCTAACAAGGGCCTCATTCAAGGGATGTCGGGCCCTTCCGACTTACAACGAGTTGCCAGCCGACAGGAGGAGGTGGCGCTGCAGGCAGAGCACCAGGCACTGCATGCGCTCCAAAAGCTGATGGAGAGCATATCAGAAGGCATTTCATTTGTGCTCATGCTGTTTGACGAACGTGTGTCAGACATTTATGCCAGACTGGACGACACCTCTCGACAGCAACTCAGGGATTTGACCTATGAGAAACTCTTCTCGCAGACGGATGGCAAGGATCTTGCCAAGCTGTTGGTCAAGGCCATCGTCAACCGCAACATTGAGAGTGGCTCAAACGTCGAGACGGTAGCAGACGCGCTAAGGCGGAGATGCGGCAGCTTCTGCAGCCCTGATGATGTAGTCATCTTCAAGGCCCAGGAGTCGCTGAAGAGAGCGTCTGAGCAGCCGCCCAACACCAATCAGTCCAGAATTCTCCTCAATGAGAGCCTATCCCTGTTCCAGAAAGTAGCTCGCAGCCTGACATTCGGTAACCTGCAGGTTGCCATTGCGCAGTACATTGACATGAAGTATTATGCTGGGGCTGTGCAGCTGTGTCTCTACGTTGCCCGAGAGCAGGACAGAGGCAACACGGCCTTGATGTGGATCAACGACGGCAAGCCTGCGGCTGACCCTCGCGCCAACGCCTTTAACGAGAGGAGAAGGGTTTATGATCTCATCCACGAGGTTCTGCGACACCTTGATGCCGCCTCAAGTATGGAACCGCTGACGATTGACGGCCGACCAACACTCATCGCTACTAAGAGAATCGAGGCTTACGAGGTGGTCAACGGGTCAGATGATGAAGTCTTCCACTTTGACCTGTACGAGTGGTACATTGAGCAGGGATGGACCGAACGGATACTGGGCATCGATTCTCCACACGTCATTACTTTCCTGCAGCGGCTGGCGGGCACCAACGTGGAGCATGCCGACCTCCTCTGCCGCTTCTACACTAACCGAAGCCGCTTCTTCGATGCAGCTGAGGTGCAGGCCGAGCTGGCCAGCTCCGACTTTCCGCTCAACATCAAGGACCGGCTCAGGCTCCTCAGCTTGGCCAAAGCCAATGCCAATGTGGCGACTGTTGGCATCAGCCGACAGCAGCAGCAGCGACTGAACCATGAGGTGACGGATCTGCTGGAAGTTGCCAACATCCAAGATGATCTTTTGGGTCGCCTCCTGGCGGACGAGAGAATCGATGGCGAAAGAAAGATTGAGATTGAAAAGGCTCTCGATGGAAGAATCATCAGCCTTTCAGATGTAAGAACATGTCTCACCACGTATTGACATTTTGATGGAACTAATATTATTTTGTGCAGCTTTTCAACGATTACGCCGATCAGGCAGGATACTATGATTTGTGCCTGCTGATCTACCACACTGCCAACTACCGCAACCCTACCACTATTGCATCAACATGGGATAGCCTGATCCAGCAGACTCACGCCGAAATCATGGCGAAACACGAGGCGACAGCGGCCGGCATGTCACTGCCTCCCTTGCCGTACGAAGCCGTGACGAGCAAGATTCAAAATATTGCTCACCACACATCATTGGACAGCTTCATCTTCCCGATCCAGACCCTCCTGCCGCAGTTATGTCGGTATGCCGTCACGTACCAGCAGGATGCCACCATTGGTGCCGATCCTACGTGGCCGGTGCAGCTCTTCCTGTCGCTGGGCGTGTCCCACGACATGATTGTGCGCGTGCTGGAGAACATCTTTGACACGCAAGACTATGGCTTTAGCGGCATGGTGCGCAACCGCATCATCGAGATCATCGTCTACGTGGTGAACGATTGGGTGGCTGAGGTACGGCGACGTGGCGGCGCAGCCAAGGGAGGCTTGCTTGGGCCTTCCATCGGCGACCTCCTGCAACGTTGCGAGGCTGCCCTGCCGTCGGCGGGCCAGGGCCACAACGACGGCGGCGCAAACCTGGCGGATATCCGACGCGTGCTGAGGATGCTGCGGAGGGAGGTGGCCGGGTTGGTGGAGCGGCTGCCAGCAGGGAGCACGAGGTTTATGTGAGATGTGAGATGTGAGCGGATCCCAGGAGTGGACTCTTTTTTTGCCTTTATTTTGTCTATGTATGCGGTAGCTGCATTGGGGGAGGGGGGAGGAGGATGGTGGTAATCATTTGTCCGGCTCTTTTTATTCCTCTCTCACTTTGTTTACTTGATTCGAAATGAAGAGATGAAAGTCAATAAGGAGAGGAAGCAAAGGAGAGGGAGCGACAGAAAAAAAAGGAAAGACGGACATGTAATTTCTGGTTTTATTGTGAAATGGGGCGCCAAATGGAGGGGGTTAAACAAAGGGTCAAGATTCTTAAATTTGAAAAGATTATTGTATAAGAAAGAGGAAAAGAGAGAGAGACACACAGAGAGAGAGATGACGCATAACACGAGATACACAAGAGGCAAACACGCACACACGGGGCATATAATAGTAGGTATGTATATGCGCGTGTATAAAGTAGAAACACGGGCTAGGTTTTATTGTTTTTCCAAGGTATGTATGTATGGAGTATGTAGTCGCATATCACTATTATGCGAGGGGTATGAAGAGAATGGAGAAGCGCTTCTTACCACTTTTTACATGCTTCTTTTCTCTTGTCAGTTGGTAACGTGAAGTCTCGAGTGTATTTTCCTGTTTTTTACGACTGCTTTGCAGATGGGCCGGGTTTGCTGCTCGTCGCCTTGAATTTATGTCTAATGGATGCCCAAAAGCGATTTTTATCCAGTCAAACAAACAGGTCACCCCAAAGAAGAAGGCGTTGCGGTGGAATATTGGCCAGTAGGAAGCTGCATAAGCGAGTGAAAACGCATCAATTGGATCCAGACTCTGGTGATTGGTATGAAGCCAGTCGAGAGAGACCGTGTTTTTTTCTTACGGCGAGGCGAGCGGGATTTGATAGGTTGGCGTTGCGTTGTTCTGCGTTGCGCATACGGGCCTGACCGCCTCACTTTTTTTTTTTTTTTTGTTCTAGCGAGTAGCAAGTAACACGCAAGAGGACGGTAGCAACCACTGCAGCCAATAACATCCCCTGTTCTTCCCAGCTTTCGTCAATCTTCTATCACTTTTTCCTGCTTCTTAGCATGTTTTGGGCCTATTTGGGCGTTGGAGGCATGCACGGGACGGGCAGATATGCCAGTTGTAAGCATGGCGCTTCCCTGTTTTGGGGATGCAGGGCCGGGCACGGGCTGTTTACGTGGCATGGCTTGAGTCGGTGGTGAGAAGCTGCAGGTACCTTTTTTTTTTTTTTTGGTGTCTGTTTGGTCTGTTGGTTCGCGTGTTGTCTTTGGGTATTTCGGAAGAGAAGAGGGTTTGATGTTGTGCTGTGGTGGAGAAGAGAGGTGAAGTTATGGGTATATAAGAGGAGAGTTGGTCGCTGTTTTTTTTTTAGTTTGCGATTTTATCAACATTGGATTATTATGAGAAGAGGAGGAGAGTTATGGAGCTGGTGATGTAAGCTCTGGGTTGGGAGTTGGTCAGCTGGTTCTGGCATCAATTCGTTACAATCTTTTTTTTTATTGCAGAATACTTGCAAGATGTTTTCATTTGTTCCATGAGGACTGAGTCCTGTCATTTGTTTCCTTGAAAGTTTTAATCCTTCCGTCATTTTGTTCCATATGAGGATTGGATTCTTCTACTCTCATCACAATACGAACACTACCATCTACGATATACCTCAAACATGCATAACACTTTGATACGACGGCGAGTACCACAGCGTCGGAGTTATAAATTGCACGACTCCGTATCGACGTTAAACTAAATACGTTTTTTCTGGCCGGAAACCCTCCGCCAGCCCCCACTTTTCGGCTCCGATTCGACAAGAGACCGTCAAACACCGGATCGACCGAACACCCACGTTTTTGAACAAAATATCCCGGCTCTGAACTTTTTGGATTCAGCGCTCGTCAACATGAAGACTTGCGAAATTCAGAGAGTGGGCAAGAAGCTCAGTATTCAAGGGCAGTTTGCCAAAATGAAGAGCCGGATTAGGAGCTCTAGAAAGTGTCCGCCAGGTCTCCCGTAGGCAGGAACACACAGAGTCCTTTTAATGAGGAGAAAAGAATGAAGAAAAGGAAAAGGCCGGAAATGGTTTTTGGAATTGAAGGAGAATTTGGAGTGGCAGCACACGGTTGTGCTTTTGTTTCTTAGATTCTATGTAGCTTATACTAGCTAGGATGGCCACCTACGTCAAGCCGTCAAGTATCGACTGTTTGACCACTCAATCCAACCTGCTACCAATTGCCGGCTTACATGCTCGTTGCGCAATCTCACGTAGAAAAGTCTGAAATACGCTCTGAAATACGCCTACGTAGAAATCCGTAACGATAGACGGACTCGCAAACAATGCGGAAACTTTGGTAATAGAGTTTTGGTGAGCCGGGGGAGCGTACGGTGACTTCTCGGATACTTGCGCCCCTTGAACAACAGAAGGTTGCATGGGGTCTTGTAGGTATAAAAGAGACTGTTGAAGAATGTCTCTTTCGTGCTGTATCCTTCTGCTTGAATGGCACGCTTTATTCGACATTTGAGCAAACAATCTACGTTTTTGAAATTTGCAATGGCTGCCACAGACGATATTGAAACCATGGCAAAGTCCATGTCTGCGCACTTCAAATCGCTGCCGCAGCAAACACCCACTTTCGAACAGGACTTTATAGATGCCTCGCGAGGAGTCATACGACTAGTTGCCGAGCCGCTGGTCAATGACATTGGACTCAAGGGCAAAGTCACCGAGCCTGTGACGCTGCTGGACAGTGCGTGCGGAGCGGGCGTGGTGACGCAGGAGGTGCAGGCGGCCTTGTCGGACGAGATTCTTGGGCTGAGCTCGTTTACTTGTGCTGATAGCTCTCCGGCCATGGTGGATATGGTGAAGAGGCGGATTGTGAATGAGAAGTGGGTGAATGTAGAGGCCAAGGTGCTGGATGCCATGGTGAGTATTTACGATGTGTTATTTGATACAACTTGGTGAAGATTATTTGCTAATCATGTATACGCTTCATGGTCATAGAACACAGGCCTTCCGGAGAGCTCATTCACTCACGTGGCGATTGCTCTGGGACTTCACATCATCCCAGACCCAGATGCCGCAGTAAGAGGTAATATTAACGGAGCGCTATATTCTTTCATCAGGGCATTTACTTACAATTCTTCCAGACTGCATGAGACTGCTCAAGCCAGGCGGCAGGTTCGGCGCTTCCACATTTCCCAAGAGCAACGGCACCAAGTTTTGGATCCCAAACATTCGCGAGGCACTGCAGTCGCTCCCCTTTGACGCGCCCATGCCATATCCAATGCCCATGCAGATTCACAAGTCCGGCCACTGGGACGACGCGGCATGGATCGAGGGGCATCTGAAGGAGCTGGGGCTCGCCAACGTGGCTGTCAAGGAGAACTGGGGCACGTACAAGGTTGAGAACGCGGCGGATTTCCTAAAGACGTTTGGAATGATGCTGCCGTGGATGATGAATACGTTTTGGAGCGAGGAGGTGCGAAAGGCGCATCCGGTGGAGGAGGTGAGGGAGATGATCAGGCAGCATCTGGAGAAGAAGTATGGCGGCGAGGGATGGGATATTGAGTGGCTGGTGATTACGATGACTGGAACGGTGGATAAATGAAGGGCTGGCAGAGTAAGATCTGTATTGTAGGTACAATTATAACACTTTGGCAATTGAAGGTGTACAAGTTCTAACTGAAGCTGTTGATGCCGATTCGATGCACCAGTGTTGAATCCGTTGTAGTTGGTTGGAATGATTGACATGTGCACTGTATCCCCCAGCCACAGCCTCCCACGCTTGTGGCGCAGGGCTGTGAGATTAGCTCCCTTGCCCCCTGCGCGCATCTCTGGCATGTCCCTCCAATACGGGACCAGATCTCGACAGCTCATGACACGCCGACGAGAAAAGGGATCTGCTTGACTTGCCGCAGCCAAACCAGCAGATGGATCGCAACATATCCCGAATCTGAACCTGGTGGAAGCGACGCAGACGAAGAAGAAGCGCCGAATTGCGGACTCTCGAGGCTCGCCCGCAGCCAACATCACATCTCCAACCACCTTAAGCTTCCATCACCATTGCCATGCTGTTTGCCGTCGCAGCGCTGGTTGGCGGCCTGGCGTCGTTTGCGGCCGCCAACGTGCCTCTGCCGTCGTACCACTACGGCGCGCCCATCCACGTGGAGTGCATGAACCGAAGCTCGTGAGTCGCCGCAGAAGCGCTGAAGACGAAGCGCGTTGGAGACGAAGCCATCGACTAACTCGAAGCCCCCAGTGACACCGGCGAGCACATCGAGCTGGCCAACCACCAGCTGCAATGGATCCCCTTCCCGACCTGCAACGAAACCGGCGAGCCGCTGCAGTTCCACTACGGCGTCGAGGGCGAGCTCAACTGCACCATCCCCCTCATCTCCGACCCCTTCTTCCACCTGCTCGAGTTCTACATCCACAACGATGCGCCGCTCTCGTGCCGCCTGCCCGCGCGCCCGGCGCCGCACGTCGAGGTCATTGGCGAGAAGCTGCCGGACCAGGAGTACATCCCGCTCATCTTCGCGCTGGCCGGCACGCTGCAGGCCAGCCACATGCACATCAGCACGCACATGAACGTGCTGCTGCACAGCATGCCCAAGCACCACATGCACAACCACGACAGCGGCGTGCTCGACTCGGCCGTCTCCTACAGCACCAGCCCGATGAGCCACATGGCCGGGTCCTTCACCAAGAAGCTCATCATTGGCGACCCCTTGCCGTTTAGCTTCTCCGTGCGCTGGTTCCCGACGCCGATGCTGCCCAAGACGGAGGGGCGCGTGGAGTGGCAGGGCCTGGGCGGGCATGTATATGCGAGCACCGTCTTCTACAGCCTCGTCTCGTTTATTGCCGGCCTTTTGGTGGCCGGCATGTATACTCTGGGAGTGGTTCTGCCGCGCAGACTCAAGGGGAGGTCCATGGGCGGAGCGACGCCGCTGGGGTATGGAGTGGGTAATGGATGGGGATACTCGAAAAGAAAGGACTAGGCGGGAGCTTTTCTTTTTCTCAAGGCCGTGTACGAATGCAAATGGATGCGTTTGCGTTGTTTTTGTATGATGGAGACTGGAGTTTGGGTGGGCGGTCATGTATTAAAAGGAGCATCTGCGTATCTATGCTGAGCTCTCGGGGCGGTTGGTTCTACACATTGTAATATTCTTAGGCTATAACAATGCAATTCTTTGATTCAAAACTCGCAAAATACAATATCCAAACTGATATCCTTCGCTTTTACCTTTTCAAACCCACATTTACAGAGTTTTTGCCTTTGCACCAGACTCTCGAACCCGAGGCAGTAGCCGCAGATACATGTCCACAGCCAACAGCGCAGCTACACCCCGTCAGCCAACGTGAAAGCATATTCCAAAGCAGAAGAAGAATGTAAACGTGGAAAACTTACGGATGACAGCAAACGGGAGATATGTCCCGTACAGCAGCGACGCCTTCTTCTCCTCGCTCACCATATCGGCGCCCATGTGAAGCAACTCGAAACAGCACGCCGCAGCCCCCATAAACGTGACGGATCCAAACGCCAGTCCGGCCAGCTCAGCAGGTCCCGATGTGGCTCTTTTCGAAGCCAGCTGGGAGACGAGATACGCTGCCAGCGGGAGTTGGACGAGGCCCTCGATGTAGAGGAAGATTTGGAACCAGGGCTGGTGGGAGTCGTGGGCGAAGAAGGGGTCGCCGGTGGAGGAGACGTAGAATTTGCGGAGAGAGAGGAGGAAGTGCAGGGGGGATGAAGGGGATTGGTAGAGAGATTTCGGGTAAAAGGCTACGAGATCGAGAGCTGAGCATTGAATTTGAATTTGTGAGTAATAGAGAGCTTGTATGTATATATACGACGATGAGATTCTTACCGAGCATGCCAAAGAGCTGAGTCCCAATGATGAAGAGGTACAGCCAGTCTCGCAAGGCTTTTTGCTGCGCCATTGTAGAAGTATATGACGGCAGTATTTTTAATCTGAGAAATAGACGGCCGTGATGTAATGAATGCGTTTTGTTTCTTATTGCGTCGCGGCGATGAGGTGAGAATGTTGTTGAGCTGGCGTTGAAAACGTGGGGAGAGCTTTTGGAGCTATCCCTGTTAGCGGATTGGACCTAGCCAGAGAAACGCCAACCGTGGGAATCAACTTTGGACTACATTGAGCCATCTAAAATTCAGTCTACAGAGTTTTTGAACTAGATTCTCTGAAAACAATTCATGGTGTATGATAAGATAGGTTGGCTTATTGGGAGTGGTCTGGAAAGCTATATGCACACAGTATTGGCTTTCAAGACCTTTTTAGTGAACTCGAGAGTAGCAGACATGCCAAAAGAAGTGTACTCTCTGAAAAATCCATCTAGCAGCAACATGGACATGCAACAAATTCTCATCAGAATATATACCAGTATACAATTCCAATATGATGACGATTTCAACTCGCACTTCATGCCTTTCAAGCCAGCCAAAATCCCATCCCAATTCCAGGGTAACTCACCCATTCCCAAAAAGCCCGAAACCGTCCCAATACGGCTCTTCATCTCCGGCGTACTACCAGCATCGCCCCAAACAAAAAACACTCATTTAACATCTCGCCACCTTTATACGATCCCTTGTCCAACTCCAAGAAAAAAAGCATGATCCTTTCACCCCTTGGAAATATAGTAAGAAAAAAAATATGACATGTCGGTTCTACTATGGTAGAAACCCTTTCGCAAAGTGACATTCTACCCCGTGCCGTGGCCCTGGGTCCCGCCGAAAAAAAAAAAAAAGTGATCAACGAACAAAAGAAGATGAGGGAGCATCACAGCATCGTACGAAAAAGAGCCGAGGCCCAAATCTTAGATTCTCCAGAAACATTTTCCAATGTAGCATCCGTCCGTGCACGAACAGCAATCGAAAATGTCCTTGAAAAATGTCCACACGCCCCCCCGTTTAAAAACTCCTGGCTTTCCAACACAATGTGACAAGTCAGCCGAGCTACATTCTTAAGCGACTTCTTTTTGGGCGAAACAGCCAGAGATTTTTGAGACTGCTCTGCCTAGGAACTTGGTAAGAAAAACACTAGACTAATATCGCCAAGGAAAACAAGCAATCAAGATTAGGCGGAACTCTAAAAAACTCTAGTCCAACGACGCTAAACGATCCCCTGTCTTTGTCAAGGGATGAATAGCAAGAAGAAGACTAGAAGCTACCTACCGGTCGAGCTGAAGTGGTGCCACAAGCACCATCACGACTCACCGTATACCGTCCATATCATCTCTCACCTCAGTACCTAGGGGGGTGAAGGGAGCAATATCCGCATCAAGCAAATGTTCAAGGCAATGTGACACGACCTACGTAAATCGAACCATCTTAGATGAAGCAGCGCGGGCTGAGCTTCCCTGACAACTCCTAGTCTTAGCGCCATCATGCCGTCCCGGATGTCGTTCCGGCAGGCCTTAGCCTTCTTTTCTCTTCTGTTTCTTTCATAGTCTCCTACAATATCACAAAGTCTGGATATCGAAGAGTATCAACGGGACGATAGGGGGATGTACAAGGCTAATTACCTCAAGAAAGGACATGCATCTGTGCTAGTAGCATCATGATTAGCTACATGTTACCTCTCAATCTGGGTGGCGGCCTCTTTCTATCATATTTCACTTGGACATGTAATGTGTATCACCTACCTGGATTAACGTCCGTTGATGTATGCGTTAGTACGCAGCCAAAGAATGCGGATCGCCTCCCCGAATCCGCCCGTTATCCATGGCGTTGTCTCAATACAGATGCAAGAGTCAAAACAGAAGACGCCGACTGTTGTTGATCTTGCAGAAGCCTCTAGCGGCCTTTCTTTTCTTTGCTAGAAACCTTCTCTCACCTGAGCTATAAAGGGAGAGGGGGAGGCAATAAAAAGGAGAGAGCAAGCAAAATCTCGCTTCTGCTACTAGAACCGTAGGCAAACTCTGCCAATGGCACCAGGCTTATATAGCTTTTAGTGCTAGTCTCCCATTTAATCCTCATGTCTCGTTCTGTGCATATTTGTTGTTATGGGTCATAACTACCTCTTGAAAAATAAAACGTGCATCATCATAATAACTTGCGCGCGATTAAAGCGCTGCCGCAGTCATGAGCGATCCCCATACCCGGTGTGTGGGATCGTCTCGGCCGCGTGGTCCGAGTGGACACAGGTCATGGCAGGCCAAGTACATAGATACAAAAAGGAAAATGCTCCCAAGTTCCTGGTAGTGGTTGTGTTATGGAGTACCACTCTGAGATTTGCCTCCGTACACTGTCCTCCGGGTGGGTGGTAACACTGGCCCCCAATATACGCATGGTCAATTTCGAGTGTCTCAAAGAGTGGTGTGGGAATGTGACATGTCTGGGGCGCATATGCTTCGGCGATCTGTCTCGGGGATAAAGCATTGATGGTGCGTGAATGAGATGGGAGGGAGGAGAAGAAGGGGAAGAAACTTCTGCCCACCAGAATCTGCTGGACCAAAGTGGACCACAGTGGCAAGGGAAGAAAAGGGAAGAAGGAGACGCAAAAGACACAAGAGAGGGGGTGGCATCTGTGCTGAACTCATGGCCGGGAGCTGGTGTCTGAGCCAAGTGAGTCTCAGATGGAACTGGTGGTGGAATGCAGCAAAATGTGACCGTGTCTCACTTCAGGAGGCTCTTTCGGGAAAGAACTTTGCATCCATCTGTCTCTTCATCCTAGATCGGATGCGACCTGCAGCGACAAGTTTAATAAATCAGTAAATATAGAATCAACCATTAGCCTGTTCAGCCTGGATCGGTACAGATGCGGCGATCGTATGCATCTACTTTAAAGTGACTGAGACACAAAATGGGGTGTCGCACCGTCATGTGATCTGCATAGCTCGATGATCCCGTCCAATATAACAAGTCGATTTAATGAGCGGTATACCGGCTCGGGCCCAGCATGGACCCGAGAGTTGAGATGGATGGTGGCACAATCTCAATCAAGCCAATCTGCGCACCAAGGGGTTAGCCCCCAGCTTGTCCCCCTCGTTCTCGCTCCAATCTCGCTGTTCAATGAGTATCCAATGCCTTTAGTTCTCATGTGCTGCCGCATTTAATATGTAGCTGGGAATCGGAGTGCGGCGTGTAAATGCAGGACTTGAACAAAATAATCCAACGTCTGATTTGCCGCTGCTGGCTATTCAAACCAGCATGTTAAAGCCGCCGCCGCAGTAGCCAGCTACCACACTTACACGGTTGTAATGGCCAGTACTCACGTACGTTCTATGTTCATCTGTCTTGTTGTCATCATTGCAGGTATACGTGAATCGTTGTAGTTGAGATCGGCCTGGATATGGCCGTACTCGAAAAGCAGGACTGAAACATGTTAGCACTCATGTATAACGAACGCAACTGTTATTTCCTGGCATACAAAAGGTCTTAATTCCTGTGGGAGACTTGATGCTCAATACTGAAACCCGAAACCCGAAAACGTCCGTCGTGGAATTGCCTTTGCATCAAACTGTCTTGATGGTCGGAGTATTTCTTCCTACATGGAACTATAGCACGAGCGGTTTTATACAGTCGCGTAATAGCAGCGTCAAACAAGCCGAAAAAGAAAAAGAGTTATTCATTCACATGAAGAGAGCATTACGATCCCACAGCCACCATTAAGGCAGGTGTCATGAGTGTAAGAGACCAGATGATGATAACATGTTACTTCAAGTGGATATGTGACTCTGGATTTTCATCTCTATGATGCCGAAATATCATCCCTGAAAGATAACAATCCATTGACCGTGAATGAAGCCGCTCTCACAAAGAGATATTTCTGAGATAACGGAATGAAAGGGCTCAATTTGCCATACACCCGGCGTGTACGGCATGGATCACGAAATTTCTTCTTCTCCTCATTTAGGCCGATGTGGCATCAAAGGCCTCATTTACTGAATGAGGCAAAAGGACACCATTCCTTCAGTTCTTCTTGAGGAATCCGTTGACACCCCTAACCTTTTCTTCGGTGCCCATTGTGATGTAGTAGAGGGTCCTCTCGTATTCGTCATCACGCCCAAGGCTGTCGGCTATCGATGGCAAGAGAAAAGACAAGTTTTGCGTCAGTGATTACGAAGATGGTGATGGTGACAAAAGTTCAAAGGAGGATTCAAGGTGTTCTTACCACGGCAGATGGCTTCTTTGGCAAGCTGCATGGCTTCGGTCGCATTGGCGGCTAGATCGGCGGCCACCTTGACAGTATTTTCAAGCACCGTGCCGTCTTCGAAGAGTTCACAGACGAGGCCATGTGAAAGTCCTTCCTCGGCAGAGATGGGTTTGCCCAAGAGAATCGTACGCATTGCCTGAAGAGGTGTAAGCAGCGCACGCAAAAGTATTTCAGATATGTTTGTCCAATGAGGCCTGGGCCAGTAGCAACGGCTCCTGCATCCACACCTGTCGTCGGCAAGTAGCAAAAGTACCGCGAGTGCTGCAATGGAACAACAGCCACACCAGAGTGCAAAATGGAGCCAAAACAAAACACAAATACAAGATAAGAAGAAAAATTCGGAAATTTTTTAGGAGCTGTTGTTGAAAGCATACCTTGAATTTTCCGAGCGCGGCTGTGAGACGCTGAGTGCCTCCGGCGCCGGGAATCAGGCCTCGTTTGACTTCTGGCAGCGCAAAATATGTTTTGGTTTGAGATGCAAATATCATATCGCACTGTGATTGCAAATTTGTCAGCGCACGTTACTCATAGTTTTCAGAAACTGGTAGGGCTATGCATATCTGTATGTTTATCGGGCGATACGAAAAGGCGAAGGAATACCGGCCGGAAAGGCCCAGATAGGAAGGACGAGAGAAGACTCAAAGATGCAGATTTCACGTGCAAATCAGGAGCACTCACCATAAGGGCAACCTCGAATCCACCCCCAAGCTGTAAAACGGTAACCCCACGTCAATATATCAAGCATGAAGAGTGCCAGGGTGTCATGCGTACTGCAGGTCCTTCGACAGCTGCCAGAAGAGGCTTCCGAACTGCCGCCATGCCGTTGCAAAGGTTCTCAAGATATCGACATGATCTAGCGCCAACCGCGTCGAGCGCTGCGATATCCTGCAGATCGGCTCCAGCTGTTGTGCAGAGGCCGGGGCCCCGGTCATGATTAGTTGGGGGTTCATCTCCAGCAGGTCTTGGAAACACGTGAATAGGGAACAAGTGGGTGGAAAGAAAGTGACGACTGCCAGAAGCCTCAGAATTTCGTGTAAGTCAGCGCCCAAACTCACCTGAAAAAAAGCCCCCAGTGCCAGTCAGCACAATGACTTTGACTGCCGCATCTTTGGAAGCCGCAGACAGCTCAGCAAGAAATTCATTCAAGAGCTCTGTAGACAGGGCATTCCGCTTCTGAGGACGATTGAAAGCAATGACCCTAACACCCTCAACAAGAGAGGAAGTGTGTATGAGCTTTCCGAGGGAAGATTCAGCTGCGGACATGGTGACGAGATCGCCGATCAATCCGCTATAGCCAAGAACCTTGTAAAAAGCCACGTATATGGGAAGTGACTTGGGTAGCTGGCGAAGCTGTTGGAGGGAAAAGGCGATTGGAAGGAATATGATAGCAGATTGGGGTACGGCTATTGGGCTGCAGCGGCGAGGTTGGCGGGGACGTCCTATATAGGGCCATGCGAAACGAATGGCACGGTAGCATTCCGACTATATCACGCGCGAACTCCACTGATAGGTCGGCAGCAGCTCCAGCTCTAGCTCGAGCTCTCAAGCTCTGCTCATGCTGTAGCCTGTTTCGCGCTCGGTCTGCTTTGTTCCGGTGGGATAACGAGCGCGGCAAACGACGCCTTGCCAATCGGGAGCTGGCCAAGAATGACAGGTCGGACTGATGGAGGGTGGTTGGACGGTTGAGGCGTCCAGTGACGACATGGACGGGCTGCAGGCGAGGATATCGTGATCGATTGCACTATGCAGGCGCAATCCCAGCCGCGCTGGCGTGCGCTGGCGAGCCTCTGTCGTACTCTGCTCGTACTCTGCCCGTCCTCTACTCGTACTCTGCCCATAACAGGTCACATTCAGCATCCATCAAAGGGCGGCCACGCTCGCAAGGACCTGGTGATTAATTTCCTCTGTGTTATCGTCCTACTCACTCCCCCTGTAGGCACGGACGAGGTGTCAAATGCACCCCAAGCGGAGAGAAAAGACCAGGATTGGCGTAGCGGGCATATTTCTGGTGTGTGCGAGTGCGCAAGTGTGTGTTGCATATCAAGTGCCGAGCGTAGCAGCGGGAGAAGTTGCTGTGATGCATGTTGGAGTAGAAGATGCAAGTTTGCTTCTCGCCATGGTAGACAGTGGTAGACAGTACCTAGCAGTCTACTACTACTACTAGTATCTCCCAGCACGGACGGAATATGGCGGGTGCCTGCCTCGTTACTTCCCTTCCTCGCTTTAGGCCTGGGCGCTCCTTCTAGTGCCAGGACAGTTAAAATCAGTCAGAGACAAGGTGGCAAGCGCGGTTCAAAAGAAGGTTTGCAGGGTAAAACAGGGCATTCGCGAGGCACAAATGGCTTCAGGCACAGGTAGTAAGTAGCAGTACCTGGATAATAGTACATGCAGTCAATAGCGCCTGGTGCGTAACATGTCGAGGCACTCGCGGATAGGCCGTTGCTGCCACCGCACGGGTCCCGTAAGATGCAACGGAAATTGCCCAATTATTGCCTGTTTGGGTGCGCTTTGCTCGCGGAATCAGCATTGAGCCTATATTGATCGGATAACATAATGATAGCATAATAGATTAATGGGGCAATACATCTCTATATGAACCGTGAAAAACAAGATTAAAAGCAAAGACTAACAAAAAGTCCCCTCGAGCACCCTCGCATTTCCGTTTCCAGCACCATCGACGATATCAGTTCTGCAGCATCGCTCTGCCTTTGCCATCACCACCCAGCAGCTTCTCGCTGTGGCCGCCTCATGCACCACCTACCACTTTCATCCGCATCGGCCGCCATGAGTTACCGGGGTAGTGGATCTGCCACCCAGCACCGGCTCTGCGCTCTGCACCACCGAAGTACTTCTCCTCACAGTCCGCCTCGCACTCGCTGTGGCCGGGGCGTCAGCGTACGAATGTGGGGTGGTACCTTTTTCCGTGGCACCCTGAGGTGTACAGCTTAGCTTGCAGGAGTATTTTGTTCGACCCCTTCCCAATGGCATGGGACGGCATGGCACGGGCATAGCTCTGGCAGAATGGCCTGGAAAGTGTCTCGGTTGGCGCAGGCTCGAGTATGGGGTGCGTCCAAGGGCGCCTAACCGCTGGGACTAGCAGCAGGACTAGCAGAAGGACTACAGGCGTGTCTGTCTTGTCGACAGCGGCTGCGTGGCAGATCTGCACCGCACAAGTACCTACACGATGCGATACGAGTCCCCGCCGACGACATCTCTCGACTGCTGCTTGTATCACCCAAGCGCCGAAACACCGCACGCTCACCTATCGACGGGCACATTGTTTCAGCCAAGCCCGAGGCCTCAGCCATCTTGACGTCTCCCAATTCGGCCATCAAAGTACTGCTCGGTTCCCCTTTGGTCCGCTGTAACCAGCCGCGGCATTCCTTCGTCTCTGGCTGTCTCTCCTCTGCTGGCCTTCAGCCCGCGTCCCTCTTTTCCCGCCGTCATTTTCTCTGCATCTCATTTGGCGGCCTGTCTCTCACTCTTTCGATCCGGTTCTCAGTCCCTCTCCACAGCTGGCATGGCCAAGATCTAGTGGCATTGTGAGCAGGCATCAGCTTGAACAGGCTCATATCCCTCTGGTCATCCCTCTATCCCTCACCATGTCATCTCCCCCCCCCTTCAACGTATAAGCTGGCCTTATACCGCTGCGGCTTACTACTCTGCATGCACTCTTCTTTTACGGGAATGTGACGGGAAAAACTGCTTGGCCCTGAATTGTCTCCTTTCTAGATAAAGTAGCGGATAATACCTCTTTTCCTTTATATCACATTTCTACACCTCGTGATGAAGATGGGAGGGGAGAAAGAGCAGGAGAAACGGGGAAATAGACTATATCGACGGGAGTAGCTTTATTAGCGGCTCTGCGTTTAGTACAGACGCAGTCGGATACTGTCCCAGTGGGCATCGTCTTCCAGCTGCATTAGTTTGTGGACATGGCAGGCCAATACTCGTCACGGCCATCTGTATAATCGCCGTTCGCGCTTATACAAGCATACATATATTCTTACGATAGACACACCCTGGCATCCCACACGGCATCACCTGCGTCCTTGATCTCCTCCAAGCCCTGTCCGTCCCTGCTCTGCCTCCACTTCTTCTGTATCTCTCGATGTTGCAGTCTCTGCCCTTGACCCTGGATGGTCTCAGCCTCCACGCGTATGAGCGTCGGTGTCTTTGCATTGGGCATCAGCGGCTCGATGGGTCTTCTACCGAGACCACTCACACACTTTCAGATTCGCCCAAGAACGGCAAGGACCGTGCAATTAAGTCGCTCGTCTCTGCATTCAATACTTCTCATTCGTTATAGTCGATATGATATCCAGGGTTACCATGGATGGCTCGCTATCCACCACGGACCAGACCCTTTCCATACTGGGCCCTGCGAGACCATCGCCGTTGGAAGAGGGGAACAAGGGAACAGAGACCGATCCTCCTCTCACTTATATAAATGGTGGTGCACTCGGTCTCTTCCTCGGGTTGGACAAGCAGATATCCTCAACAGCACGCTCCAAGCCCAGCGCTGTGCTTTTTCCTAACTTTCCTCTTACAACACTGCTCCTCTCTGTCCACCATCTACTCCTCCATCACTTGACGGAATCTCTTCTGCACTCTCAGTACAGACTATATTCACAAACACACACACATACACAAACACATATACACATATCAATTCACATCCACATAGACCCATCCGCGTCTGCTCAGCTGGAGTCATGGAGGCTTCAAGTCTTCGCGCAGACTATACTGCCATGCAGTATGGTCCCAAGATCGAATGCCCCTTTTCAACAGTTACCGCATCTTTCTACCACTTTGTTACATCTTTTCCTGAAAATATTGCCCTCCACGATCTGTCTGGTGCTACCACTCAGCAGACCACATACCGCCAACTCGCCATTCGGGCTCAGGCCCTCGCCACAAAGCTCCGAAGCCTTGGTGTTCGCCCCCACCAGAGAATTCCTCTCGTTGTCAAGAGGAGCTCTGAGATGGTGGTAGGCATCTGGGCAATTCTCTCTTGTGGTGCCCAATATGTTCCTCTCGATGGCGGTGTTGTTCCCGACTCGACCATCCGGCACGTTTTTGAACAATCTGGTGGCAACATCATCTGCTGTTTAACGTCTACCGTTCACCGGATCCGAGATCTCTGCCCTAGTGCCTCTCCAGTCATTATTGATCAGCAAGAGCTTGACAGTATGCCGCATGAGGAGAAATGGGTGGATTTGGCCACTTCAGACAGCGGATGCTACATCATTTACACATCTGGTACGACACTATCCGCGGGAATTCGCTAGAGCGCAGCTCTATACGCTCTTCTTCTCCCCATTTGCTAGCAGCAGCTGAAGACTAACATTTTCAAAATTAGGTACAACTGGCAAGCCCAAAGGGGTTGACGTGACACATAAAAATGTTGCCAATCTTGTTTGTATGTCTCCCGGTAACTTGGGTATTCGACCAGGTAATCGGGTGGGACAAGTCCTCAACATTAGCTTTGACATGGGTATGTTGCTCCCTGGGGTCGTTTTCATCTGCCCTCCAATTGCCGCTGTGGATCACCATTCATTTTGCTAACAATGGAGTGCAGCCGCCTGGGAGATCTTTGCATGCCTGTGCAATGGAGGCACCCTTGTCATTCGAGGTTCCAAATGGGAACCCGCTATTGAGCTGGTGAGTATCAAGGGGAGACTGGATCGCACTGAATTGATGAAAATTTACGTGAAATTTGTACTAACACTGGCAAATCTCAACTTTAGCTCGATACTTTGATTTGCACACCAACAATCTTGTCTAAATACCCTCCTACCAAGTACCCCAACATCAAAGTTGCCGCGACAGCTGGAGAGCCTACATCTCAAGAGTAAGTCGGCCCTCAAACAGCCATCCTTCGGCGCCATCTCGTTTGCAATTGTGTATTCTAACGCCATCTCTCAGTCTCGCTGATCTATGGGCCAAACATGCAATTTACTGGAACAGCTGTGGCCCTACGGAGACGACCATTGTCAACACCATGCAGAAGCACATTGTTGGGGATGGCTTGTCCATCGGTCGCCCCACTCCCAATAACAACGTCTACATCCTCGATGACAATGGGAGTCCTGTGCCGGTAGGCGAACCTGGTACTATGTGGGCCGGCGGGTATGGAGTGTCTCGCGGCTACGTTGGCCTCGAGGCCAAGACAAAGGAGTCTTACATTCCAGATCCCTTTACCAATGACGGGTGAGTTTTCCCAAGGGAGTGCTCCTGGAGCTTCCTTTCTGTCCGGGATCTGTTTGCTCAGACCTCCAAGAAGCACAGCACAAATGACTGACTCAACCATCCTGTCTCACAATAATAGATCCAAAATGTATTGTACCGGCGACTTGGGCCTGTGGCGGCCTGATGGCTCCATCGAGATCTTGGGTCGCGCTGACGACCAGGTTAAAGTCAAAGTGAGTCTAGTCTTTCATTCATACGCACATCCTTCCGATGCTTGTTGCCATGATTCTTCATTGAGGAACAGAATCTAACGTACCGCTGTAACTAGGGCTTCCGTGTCGAGCTGGATGGCGTTTCTTCGTCAATGGCCTCTGCGCCAGGCGTCACCCGTGCATGTGCCCTCCTTATCGATGGAGAGATCCATGGTTTTGCTGTCCCGTCCAACCAGGATCCAGGAGCCATCCTAGAGCACACTCGTAGACTTCAGCCATACTATGCCGTGCCGTCTAATGTTCACTTGCTGGATGAATTCCCTACAACCGCCAATGGCAAGATTGACAAGAAATCTCTCCGCATGCTGGCCAGTGGACCAGCTTCTCCTACCATTTCGGAATCATCGACTGTTTTCAGCACAACAGTCCAATCAGCAACTCTGTCAAAAGCACTCAGTGGCAAGTCGAGTCCCTTGGTTGGCTTTCGATCTGTGTCTTCTTCTTCGTCTCTTACTGCCGCTTCCACTGAAGAAGAGAAAGAAGACAAGGTCGAGGAAGAGATTGACCTCTCCCGCGATGTCCCCGATAAGAAGTGGCCCAAACCCTGGAGGGGCCTCAGAAAACGTGTTCTCATTCCTTATCGATTTCTCTTCAGCTTTGTCGGCTTCCTCAATATCGGAGTGCTCATTGCCATTCTTGTCCTTCGCCCCAGAGTGGAATGGCTCGCAACCATCACAGCTGCGAACCTTGTCACCGGCGTACTCATCCGCCAAGATGTCGTCATCAATATGCTCTACACCACGTTCTGCTCTGTCCCCAAATCGTTCCCATTCTGGATTCGCCAACGCTGCGCAAAGATCTACCACCTTGGCGGAGTCCACTCCGGTGCCGGTATCTGCGCCACTGCATGGCTCCTCGCATCTACCATCCAAGCTACTGTTGCGCGCTTCCAGCTAGACGGACCGCCATCTAGAGCCTCTCTGGCCAACCTAGTCGTCTCTTGGCTGCTGTGTGGTCTCTGCTGCTTTATTGTAGCGGCTGCTTGGCCTCCCTTTAGGAAGGCTAATCACGACATGTTTGAGAAGATGCACCGCTTTCTCGGATGGTCTGCACTTGCTCTTTTCTGGGCCAAGACGGTTGTCTCTGTTTACGACTCGACACCAGCTGGTCAGAGTTTCGGGCATGCCTTGGCCAAGACTCCAGCCCTTTGGATGCTCAGCGTGGCCACCTTTAGCGTTGCCTTTTCTTGGTTCTTCCTCCGCAAGGTCAAGGTCAACGCTGAGCCGCTGTCGGAGCATGCTGTCCGCTTGCACTTTGACTATACAGTTCCTGTGAATGGCAGCTTTACGCGAATCTCCCACCGTCCGCTCTTTGAGTGGCACTCTTTTGCGACGATCCCAGCCCCGCAGCCAGACCTCGAGGCGGGCATCTCGGCAGGTTATTCTCTGGTGGTATCAAACGCTGGCGATTGGACCAAGCGGTGCATTCGAAACCCTCCCACTAGCATCTGGGTCCGTGGTCTCCCAGCATGCGGAGTCATGCGCATTGCCACGCTGTTTAACCGCGTTGTCGTGATTGCCACGGGATCTGGGATTGGCCCCATGCTGGGTCATATCGGACACCCAAGCTGTCCCACTCAGCTCATCTGGTCAACCCCGTCTCCCGAGAAAACATTTGGGAAGAAGATCATCGATACCATCAAAGGGTCCATCCCTGGCGCCATCATCCACGACACCCGAACCCAGGGCCGGCCCGACCTTGTTCGCATGGGTTATAACATGGTCAAGGAGTTTAACGCCGAAGCCGTTATCATCATTGCCAACGAGAAAATCACTAAAAAGGTTGTATATGGCCTAGAGACTCGAGGTGTTCCCGCTTTTGGCGCCATTTGGGACAGTTGAGTGATGACAGCGCCGGCCCAATGCATGTCTCAGTCAGTGGTTTGAAAGAGCATGGGGGGATATCCATATCCCCCGCTGTTGACATTTTTATTCTTACATTCTCTGCCCAATATTTTTGCTGTGTTTTGTACTATCTGGCTTTGGTGTTTTGAGGGAGTGGCAAAGCAGTGTTTTTTTTTTTCTTTTTTTCCCTTTTTTTCTCTTTTTCCCCTTTTCCTTGTCTATATTGGAGTGCGCAGTCGTTTATACGTAGTGGAGGTCATTGTTGATCATTGTTCAGGCTGGATTTTGCAGATGATGTGGTTTGTGTTGTACAAAAATTAGTTGTCGGTATCTTTAAAAGTCTCGCTCCAATTGAAAGCTACAATCTATTCAGCTCAACTATGACGTGGTGTTCATGTACAGCATCCTGGTCTTTGGCGTGACGTTGGGGCTGCCTGCCGTATCAAGATGCAAGATCGCCGTATAAGGCGAAACTCCAGTCGCCCAGTATAGCAGACTTGTCATCGGCACTGTGCTGCAAAGTCTCTTTTCCCGAAGGACCGCCCCGCAGACAAAGGCTTGGTTCCCGCCCCGTTCTATCCCGGAAGAGGGGAAAACAAAAAAATCTTGTAGCTGTAAGCCTGTAGCTGATAAAGCCCCCACATGTGTGGCTACGGATCCGAATCCTTTTGAGAGATACTGATGTGGTAGGTTTCTGGGGGGGGGGGGGGGGGGGGGGGGGGGGGGGGCGTGTCTGATCGTCGATGTTGCGTGTCTTTTTATCATCGCATAATGGAGAATATGAGCGTTTAGCATGATGAGCTAAGAAAAGTGTCAGAGTTGCGGTCTGAATAGCGGAATTGCTAAAGCACCGCTATGGAGATTTGTGAGGCAGAATATGATGCTACTAGGTAGCTTACATGCTGCTTCCCCTCTCTTTCTTTGCGAACAGGGGATACCATGTCTTTTGGGATTTTATTTTTATTGTTTTTTTCAGCTATGATGAAGAGGCTATGTTTGGTTCCCGATAATATGCTGGATTCGGCGTTTGGGTGGTGACACTTGTGCGAGGGATCGGGTGTGTAGAGGGGGGTGGGTTGAGGTGAGAGGGGATTCCGAATGGCGGCGGCGGGTGTTGGCTATTTGCTTTTTTGATGTTTGATGGATAGGTTCTGGCGAGGAGCGATTTGGAGGATGAAACTGAGATGGAGTGAATGCATTTTTTGGCTTTAGTATTGTAATTGGTCTTTGTAGTAATCTACTCTACCTACACAAGAAAGAATTTTTCAGCTATTATCCAACATAATCGAGAGCGCATTTCACGGAGTAAAGTCTAGTTGACGAGTTTAATATACATCATCTACATCAAGGTAAGTTGTCTATTTGCAAGCATCACCTCTCTTCTAGCTGCTATAAAAAAAGCACAGTTACCTCGATTAGTGTCAAGTTACAGCACGACTGATCGGACGAGAAGAGGAGAAAGCAAGAAACAGATCCTCAGTTGGCCCTAGAGAATTGCAATGTCTTACCCGTGACGTTATTCACTTTTCTTAGCTTTTACGGGCGCTTAACTTTAGTTTACAGAATTCTTTGTTGACGCGAATCACGCACCACTCATGGGTTAGGGGCAAGCAGGCTAAGCCCTCCCGGAAACTCCATCACAAATCCACTTGGGAATCTCAGGCGTGGCAATCATGTTAGAGAGGGGAAGCAGGGCTTTGCGAGTTGATCAGAGTTAGTTCCTGATCATCGGATAAAATAGCGCAGGAATTGTCTAAAAATGTGAATTTGTTGCTCGCTCGGCGCCTGTGATTTGACAACAATGGCACCTCAGCTACCCACCGCTTGTGGGGGTCCACGCTCAACAAGGATTGTGGCTAGGCAATTTAAGCGTTGCAGATCCCTGGGGCGATGCTGGGAGATCTTGTAAAAGCCGAGCTACACTAATGGCTTTTATTTTCACTCCTCTCGGTGTGATATTTTTGCATCCATTGTTGAACTGGGCTTGTTGCATCGGAACTGCCGGCATGGTGAGAGACAAAATCTGAATCAGCATCATGCGGAAGGCGTGTCTAGATGGTATTTTCACTTTGTCGATGATTCAATTGATAGCTGAAATGTTTCTCTAGCAGGTCACGCTCTGTGGTATTTTGTGTACTAGCGCTGGCGGACAGGGGATGCCTGCAAGATGCTAGAGGACAATTGGATACTCACCTGACGGTGACGATCCTGGTAAGGTTTGGATCTCATCACTTTATCGGCATTAACAAAGAGAGATGGACTAACTCGGCTTTCGTCTGTGACCACCTAGTTGTAACTGAAAAGTCCACTGCAGGGAAGCGAGCAAGGGCAGTGGCAGAGCACGCTTAGCGCCCACATGTGTCAAGCATCCAAGTAGCAATAGATTAATCCCGGCAGCATTGGAGGGCGTTTGGGGGCCAATATCGGACACAAGGAGATATTGAGCGAGTCAAGCAGTGGTGTATAGCGACAGGCCTTTAGAGAGGTTGCAGATGATACTGGCACGCCTGCATGTGCCCAGGTTGCATGCCGCTCGCACTAAACAGGGGACTGTGCCTCATCGTGAGCAAGGCGAAATGCAGAGTAGCAAGCGGGAAAGCAGATTGGCGCTAGGCGATGAAGCTGAGACAAAGATGGTGATTGTAGGCCAGCTTGTCAAGGATGTTGAGCTGGGGCATCTGTATAAAGGCGCAACTTTTCATCATCACGAGACTTGTCTTGTTTTGCGTTGAGCGACGTGATGCGATAGTTGAATGATATCAACTACAATTCAATTGGTTGCCATCTTGATGCTGCTCCAAAAAGTCGCCGTGAACTGAGACTGTCTTAGAAAACGATCCATCACGATCCACTAAGACATGAGGCTCAAGTGCGTGAAGCTGATGATGGGATAGACTTGAGTTTGCTCGTTTGAGATATTGTTGGAGAAATTATGCATTTGTAGAATGAGGTGTTACCATGCCTTTAAAGACGTTGAAAAGAGAGGCCAACAGAATAGCACGATGGTCCGAATAAGGCAATTAGCTGAAGTTTACGGACCCGGTGCTTAAGATGACTCCCGTAACCGTAATGCCGTAAACACGTGATTGTGCGGCGCTGCTGGTGTCGGACTACGGATGTTATAATGATAGCCGAACTGCCGTAAACTTCCTTCTTGGGCGTGGCTGTGGGAAGATGAGCAAGGCTGCTGTATTTTTTGTCTCTACATCAAGTTAATTGATCCATCAGTCAATTGATCACGACATCAGAGTTTCACAGATCTTTATACAGTCATGGATGGTGATTCATCAGCTCAAGCCAATGAGACCGGCATCGCGACTCGGCCGTCTGAAATCGGCTCCGGAAGCCGTCCGGCAGTTGCGGAGCCGCCGAAAACCCGGGCCTGTGCCAACTGTGCCCGGCTAAAGATGAAGTGTCGATGGCCGGCATCCGGCGCGGGCCACTTGCAGGACACCAGCTGCATCCGGTATGTGGTTGTGCGAGAAATGAATGTGGATGGATGGGCGAATGGGACGATGCTGACGGCCTGCGTTTATGATGTAGATGCGGCCGCATGAAGATTCCGTGCCATGTGCCGGCGCCGGTGCAGCGTAGGAAGAGGGGAAAGTCGACGTATGTCATTAATATACTGCCCCTTTCACTTTGTTTTTGTACTTTACTCACATGCACTTGCCATATACAGGCGCGTGGCCCAGCTTGAGAAGAAGATTGACAGCCTGGTGTTCATGATTGCGTCTACTCAGCAACTGCAGACCTCTGGAACACCCCCCTTGACTCCTGAAAGCCACGATACAACTGTAGCCAATGATGTGTCAAACATATCACAACCGCAAGATGCAGTGCAAAAGTCACAGTCAACCCAAGCTGCCCCCAAAGTCCCCCATTTCCCACTCGCTATTCCCTCCGACTCTTCGACAACGTTTCAGTTGATCCCGGGTTTCAGCTTCACCTTGGAGGAGGCTCAATCATACTTTAACATCTACCGGCGTGAGTTTATGCCCAACTATCCTTTCGTCATCATTCCGGAAGACATGGATCCGCGCCATTTATATGCGACATCGCGATGCCTCTTTTGGACCATTATGGCCGCAGTGGCTCCCCAATCATCGGCAACTCAGCAGGGTGTTGAGAATTGGTTCCGTCAGTACATTGCCGATAGGATGGTTGTGAAGCAAGAGAAGAACTTGGCGCTTCTGCAGGCTATTCTTATTCACCTGGCTTGGTAAGACTGGAACGTAACCTGTTGTTCAAATGCTGGGTTGGTCATGCTAAGGATTGGGATAATGATAGGGCCGATTTCCATTTCTACATGAGGACAGAAGCGACAAACTTTGTGCATTTAGCCACTGCGCTGGCTATGGACTTGAAGCTGGACAAGTCACCGGAAACTACCAGATTGCATCCCAAGTCTCTGTTGGGAGAGGCCTGGGCGACACTCAACAAATGTGCACCCAAAGTTAAAAGCCATTCTGCCGATGAGAAACGGGCTGTTTTGGGACTTTATCATGCTACGTCGCTGTAAGGATACTTCTTTGTGCCAACTTCTACTTTTGCTTGCTGGCTGGTGTTTATGCTAACGACTTACAGCATCTCCGCTTTGTTCAAACGAGGAACTACTTTTCCTTGGAACAACCATCTTTCACAATGCTGCGAGTCGATGGCAGAGTCTCCTCTAGACTCAGATATGTTTCTGGTGGCACTGGTAAGGATGCAGCGCGTTGCTGATCGTGCCTATAGCATGCTTCCTGGGTTTGATGTGGTTGACGCTGGATCCAGCGCCTACTTGTCGCCCCTGGACATGGTCATCAACAACGTTCGCCGAGAGCTTTACGAATTCATCTGCATGCAACCTGAAAGTGTTAAGAACAGACGTAAGTTCCATCTACATGTGTCAACTCTTTTTTCGATGCCTGTTGCTGACCAGCTATCATGAAAGACCTATTCAAGGCGTATTACCATGTTACTCTGATGCGCCTCGCCGAGCCAGCCATCCCCACGCAGTCTCCTAACACTGTCGAAATGGGTTCTTTACATCCAGAGCCATTGCAGCGCTTTGATACCATTTGGAAATGCCTGCTCGCCGCTGTCGATTTCTTCGATGCCCTTTTCGCTATTCACCCTAACGAGTTGCCCGGTCTGCCTGCCTCAGTTACAGGACTGCTAGCTTTTGCCATTGTAACCAGCTCTCGCCTGCTCCTCTTGGATCCATCCATCGACTGGCAACCCGTCATGGCCCGCAGAAAGCTCGACTTTGCGGACGTGACGAAGCGTCTTAGCGAGCGGTTTGAAGAAGCAGATACCTGGGCCAAGGAAGCTGGTCGCAGGCGACGCCTTTTAGACGGAGGCGATGCCCAGTTTTGCAGACTGAGTTTCAAGCTTCGGTGGATTCGACAGTGGTATCTAACGCGAATACCTTTGGAGCAGCAGCCGTCCATGTCTGAGGTGCAACAGCAGCCTCCGGGCGATTTGCTTCAGGACTCGGACGCTGTGTTCTGGCAGGAGTATGAGTTTGAGGATGCGCTTTGGCCGGAGTTTATGACGACGTTTAATCCGAATTTCGCGGCAGTGCCTATGACTGAGACGTAATTCTTCTGGGACGTTGCGAGATGAGGGAGATGGAAGGTGGTTGTCATAGAGATACCCGGACATATTTATGAGAAGCCCATAGGTTATAATTTTTCTCGGTTTTTTCTTTCTAGACTTGTTCATGCTTCTTTATAGACTTGATCGTTCAAATTAACAGCTTTCTACTCTATATAGTCTCTTTGCAGCTAATGTCGGACCAATTGCAAACGCACCTATAAAGCAACTGTGTTTATAAATAAAATTGCTACTATAGTAGGTCTTTACCGACACAATTAGAGTGTCACTTCCTAAAACCTGATTCGCGCACACGTGCATACGTTAGTAGAAGTATCTACTCTGTTAGGAACAACACTTTTTACTCATTTAATGATGACTTGATGACTGTGATTTTTATTGCCCAAAATAACCCTCTGTAAATCGGCGATCAGCCCCAATTCCGCGATCGTGGCGACGAAGCCACTCATCACATATCGAAATCTCCATCGATCGGCAAATCGATATTCATAAAATCGCATCAACCACAAAGGCGTAGATTTGCTCATCTCCTTCCGCAAAAGGAGAACTCAGCCCAATCTAATCGAGACGGTCAATTGAGCGCGTTTCGTGCTGCGGATCCTCTTCTCCACTTGCACACAGTCAAGCGAAATGGTGAGTTGCTTGTGCCCTGAGAAAGTAACAAGGTACCCTTGAAAGAAGTATTTCCGGGACAGAAACAATCAGCTCAAGTTGTCGTCATCACAATGGTTAAGAGCGGTGAGGGCATTAATTAATTCTTGTTATTTTTGCTATGAGAAGCGGATATCATTTGCTAGAGGTATTCATAGCATTGTCTCAAACGCTCAAACCGACCCCCAGTCATAACCATGTAATAATAAATTCACACTCGCAGCGCCAACGTCTGATGATAGGATTGAAAAAGTAATAAGATAAAATAGTCTTCTTGCGCGTTAAAACGAAGAATGAAAAGAAGGGAAGAGTGAAAGAGTAACCATTTCCTAGCCTGTATACTTGTCCCACAAATAAGAGAATTATTTTTCGCTTGAAAAGATGCGATATATAGTCCTAGAGTGTTGACATTTTTTTTGTCGGTAGTATGTGCTTGCGTGCTTAGTTGTTGCCAGCCTCAATGGTGCTGGCCATGTCAAAGGACCGCCTCTCCTTGATGAACTTGGGCCATGTGTTTGTAAGAACTAGGTACTTGATGCTCAGCTCGGCATCGTCAAAGACGTTCTCGCTGAACTCCTCAGGGACCTCGCCCCAGTAGCGAACAATGTTGAGAGTGCTCTCAGAGTCCACGCGATGGGGAGTGTCATCGAAAGGAGTGCAGGGATCGGTGCTGCTGCTACGTTCGCTGCCGCAAATGACTCGCGCGGCGTGTTCAAACACAGTCTGGAGGCTCTTGAAGTCTGTGGAGGAGAGATTGATCTGGAACTCGGCGTGGGTTGCGCTGATGAACTCGACGTAGATCTTGAGCGCGCTTTCGAAGCACTCGCGGGGCAGCTCCTTGACAGCAAGACCGTCGTCCTTTTCTGATGATGATTTGGTTGCGGGAAAGTAGGTGGCCTTCCATTCCTTGACACTTGTGAGGAAAGCAATGTTCTCTCCCGAAAAGTCTCGGAGCGCGGAGAATTGCTGCAGAGGCTCGGGGTTCTTGGTCAGAGTGTGCTCGAGAGCCTCCATGGTTAAGATGCTTCCGCTGGAGCTGCTGGTGGTGAGCACAGAGGCTGCTCCGCCCATTCGCCATGAGGACCTTGTCGAGTTTGAGTTGATGGATTTGTCGGCGCCGCTGAATCCCTTCTTTCGAGACTCCCAGCGAGCGATGGAGTTGAGAGTTTCTTGAGTCAGGCCTTGTTGCTTCACAACTTCAATGATGGGTACAAAGACGGTGAAGATTTCGAGCAGCATGATGGAGACGGCAATCCTATTGAATCAAGTCAGATGCATATTTGACACATGAGCTTTAGGTATCTCGGCTTACCATTGCGGAGGAATGAAGTAGTTGTTGACGGGCTCCATTGCAGGAACATACAAGGCCACCAGCCACATGGGAGCAGCGTGAAGACTGTTACAGGACGTTAGTAACTAGTGTAGCAATGGCGCTCGTCAAGATCAACATACTTGGAGATGCAGCAGGCAATTGTTTGGAGCCTCCATCCTTGAGTGTCGCGGAGTTTGCGCGCGCGGAAGAGGATGTAAGGAGCAAAGACCCAGGCCCAGAACATTTGCCAGAAGATGGAGGGCCACCACTCCCAGCCGCGGCCCTGCTCTGCCTTTCGCTCCATGTTGTTGCCGTGGACTTCAGTTCCAGCGATGCCAAAGGAGTCGTGGAATTTGCGGGAGATGAGAAACATGAAGATGGTGAGCATGGCCTACATGTTTGGTCAGTCAAGCGTCTTGAAACTTGGAGTAATTTGCTTACATGAAGGGTCATGCCAGTGGACACAAGAATAAGTGTTCGACGGTTGTAGTCTAGCTGCTTCCATCGGCCTAGGAGATTGCCGCGGGCGACAGGCAGTGTTGGGGTTTGAGTCTTTTGGATGAACCTTTTCTGAGCATCGGCGACGTAGAGGAATCTGCTGTTGGCGGCGTGGAATAGAGCAATGCCAAAGGGGAACCAGAGGCCCATGATCCAAAACTCGGCGACTTCGGGCATCAACGCGCCATACCAGTAGCCAAGTTGAACGGCAAGCCAGTAGGCATGCATCAGAGTTATTGCTGCAAAGGATAGCGGCAAACCTCTGATCCTCAGGATGGGCATCTCACGTCGAACCCAGAGGAAGCCCATGCCACCAAAGAGGATGACGGTCCAAGTGACGGCAAAGACTACCCAGAAGATGCCCACAGCGCCGAGCCGAAGCTCGGGCTTGGTATCTTTCGTGATACCAAACTCTGAACCCATTTCTGTGAAGTTGCTTCGTTATGTCGACAAGTAGAGAAACATGAAGCAAAGGTATATGAGACAAGAAAAAGATTGATGGGATAATGAGAATTATTGGTAAAAGAAAGTCGCTGAGAAAGAATAATAGATGCTTAGGAAAAAAAGGAGCGAACGGCTGTCCAACACAACAGACCTGTGTGACAAGGGAAGCCAACGGCGGATTTATGTACTCGAATAAATGACGAGGGCTGCCAATGTGAAGGGAGGCAACATGAAAACCTCGTGGCGGGTGGAGAGGAGATAAGTCATAAATAGGGAAAAGAAAAGAAAGAAAGAGAAAAAAAAGGGCCGTATCGAGGTACAGAACCCCGTTGCCTCTCTTTGTGTGTGTTCCTGGGCAAGAAAAGCTCCGACACGTGTGGGTGGGAATAGGACCTTTTCTCGAACTAAAGTGGCGGCTAACAAACGCCCGTCGTACATGTTGCTTTTTTTTCCGTGCCGATCATGATGAGGACGGGGTATAGCGCCTAGGAGTTGCTAGGAAGAAAAAAAGGAGCCAGGTTGGGCTAGGATCCTCTTCCCCCAGGACACACCAAGAGGTTTAGGGAAACGAGGCCAAGTGCCGTTGTGAAGGCCTCTTTTTTTCTGTTTCTCTTCCATGGGTTGCCGAGTGAAAGCGGGTTCCCTTTGCAAGGGTGATGCATAGGGTCTAACGCAAGGTCTAAGGCAGCACCACTATTCGAGGGAGGTCTCGGAGACCGCACAGTTGCAGAGTTGCTCCCTGCGTTTAAGAGCGTTGTGAGCTCTTGACGGCCCTTGCGCGAGGTACAATGCGTGTCTGTGAAGAAACAGCATTGCCAATGACGATGATTAGGACTTCTATTGGTGATTTCCTACTCTGCTCGGTGAAAACTCATGATTGGATTGTTACTGTCCTTTGCTGGTCGAGCCTCAACGTGTGCAAGATATCGATCAGCCACCGGTTGTGGGAACTGTGAGACATACAAGGGTGGCCCTCTGTGTCACGCTGCCACGCCCTCGCTTGTCAGGACGTCTCGACGTTTACAAGGTAAACAGCGTGCTAGTCAGTACGGAAACCATCTTATCCGTCCAGGTGAGAACTACTCTACTACGTAGATGGCACTCGAGTTCGCACTACGGCCTTCAAGTTGGCCATTTAAGATTTGATCGTCACGACGGCTCGAACAACCCACTCTTGTAGCGCTGCTCCAACCACGCAGATGAGAGCTGAAGGCCGGCAAGGGAACCAGCGGCACTCAGATCCCAGGCCCGGTTTAAGCTGAGCGTAAGAGAGACTAACACAACTGAGTGCCTGGCCTGGTGGAAGACGCCACTAAGCAGGGATCTCGCATCTTAGCGCAGGTGTAAAAGGCGCTGAGCAGCCAAGCAAATGCGATGGCGGCGGTGCGACAGAGCGGGCCGTGTGTCTGCTAAGAAACCTTGTCGGTCCAGCTCAGGTCGAGCACGAGCACGCTGGAGCTATGCCGCATGAAGTGGTGATGCTGGTTAATCGTGGTATCATCGCTTCGAGATGGGCTGGGCATTAAGCCTGGCTGCATGGCAAGCAGGCGATAAGGTTGATCACGGCCATTGATCAGAGGCAATGGATGATGGTAATAAATGAGATCGATCACTTTTCTGGGATCACGGCCAGGATGTGGACAGGGCCTCTTCAGCCTCACTCGTATTGGCCTGCTTGCCTGCATTCATCCGCTCTTATCCTGGCATTGCAGCTATGAAATGCCCCTGATGGCGGCGGCGTTTAGCGGATGAAGCTAGGCTTTACTTTTTTTCATCTTCTCGCCATCTACAAGTTAGATTATATAGCATCATATTGTTCCTTGGTTTGCCAAGCTGTTTGCTCGTTAGCAAACACAGATAATGGGTGGCTGATAGACTGCAGCACTTACTCTGTCTCAATTTCCCCTTCCCTTTTAGAGACATCTAAGTCTTTCTTGTTTTTTTTTCTTTCTTTTTTTAACCTGAACACGGAGAACGCCGCGTGTTTTTGTTTACCTTGTGCTCCTCTCTACGTTGTGCTCACTCATCTCCCTACTTCTGATGCAACCCTGTACCGCCCTGCAGTCGCCGGTGATGCTCAACCACAGGTGGATGCCCAATCATTTGCTCCTCCCCCAGGGTCTCTCAGATGAGCAAACTGGGTCTGTCACCTTTGTGCTCATTACCTTCTGCGTCTCCGATCTTAATCCAAGCAGGGCGTCGCCCGCAACGCCTGATGAATGGCCCCCGTGATTTGGACATGACGGCGATTGGCATGGTGGGCCGGCCGACCAAAGCTGCTGAACGCTGGTGGGGAACTGTTGTGGAGGCGTTGCTGGCTCCATTTTCATCTCATTCAAGCGGCATCCAAGCCGAGGTCATGACCCTTGCTCATCGCCTGGTTGAGGGTTGGTAAGAGATATCAGTTGGCATGAACTTTGCGGATACAAGCCATTAAACTGTTGGCGGGGAATAATCTGTCTCGGCATCGATTTACGATAGATGCTACCCGTAGATGTAATTTTCCGGGATGACGGTGGTTTCAGAGATTGTCAGCGGCGCTCTATAGCTTCGCCTTTCAATGACAACTCAAGGCTCTACTGGTATTCGCAGCACCTGTGGCCAAAGGTTACAATTTGTAGCTACACGGCGACAACTGCATACTGAAACGAACATGCTGTTTCCCGTGGTCCTACCCCCTTTTACAAAACCGTTTTGCCGTGCAACCAGGCGCTTCTGCCAACAACCAGAGGGCAAGTTGGTGCGATCAATGGGCTTCACGGCTTGCCAACTGAGACCTTCTTCCACACAACCTCAAAATCCTAACCTTGACGCTTGGACACGCGCTGCTTCTTGGTGGCAATGACAGCCGCTTCGCGATAAGTCATATTGGGGGCCAAGGCAGGAATCTCAGCCGTATGCACGCGGATAGCGCCCCTGGCAGCAACGGCATGGCAAAATCAGCGGTTAGCTTGTGCTACCAGACCTCTGTGATTCTGGATTCTCTCATTTAAACCTCCATCTGTAAAGATTGGCTAACGGCTTGATGGAAGCCTAACAATGTCCACCTTCAATACTAGCACCAACACAGCGCACAGATGCTTCCATCGCATCGGGAATCGTGCTTGGAGGCTTTTTGGAGGCTTTTCCCAAAGGAGCTGCGTCAATTTGCGCTACAGACAAAAGCAAAGTGCACTCCATGCCCGTGCATGTGTGCTCTTTGGAGGGAGACCAATAACGCCATGATGCTTACTTTTGGGATACATCATTTATCAACTTGAACGCAGACCTCTTATACTATGAATTGGATGCCATCCGTCTCAGTTTAAGCCGCTCTCGAAAGCTCATTGATAGGGCATCGTCGCCGAATGACACGGGACGATATGTAAGGGAGCAAGTCGGGCATATAGAACTACTTCGCCCTCGTACTAGCAGACTGCAGTTTTGAAATGTCTTGTGTGACAACGCGGATTGGATCAGTGATGCTAAATTAGCGCGGTGCCTTACCGGAAGCTCATTAATTGCATCACTGCCAACGCATGGTCGTCATAACCCCCCTGACAATTGCGTCCGAATCTCGTGGCCATACAGTGGCATATTACATTCTGTGTTGAGTTGAGGGGCTTGTACTACCCAATACGAAAAATCACTTGCGCACTTTGGTATACAATGCGTGCCTTGAGCGTGTACAGAGCCAACATGTTCTACCGTATCATGCGTGTAGAGCCTGTAACTAGTGCGACTTGAATGTTTCCCCATTAGCCAATATAAATGCGTATAGAACATACAGACAGTGCTCTCAGGCAACAGATGACGCGCATTCCAACATTCTTGCGATTGCAAATGTCACTCTGAGGTTAGAATACCGTGTAAGCAAGTATAGTGCCATGCGGTGCCGTTGACCAGCAGACAAGAAGAAAAGAAATATGCTAGAATTTCAACTACTACCTGCCAATCAACTTGGCATATCAACATCCCAAAGAATGCAATCTCAGACACGAGAAGCTTTCACAAGACCAGCGTCATCCAACAAGCCGGTAAAGCCAAGGCCACACAAAGGGTGGACTGTCTCGGCTATGCCGCGGGGACATCCCAAGAACTGGTTCCAGTGTGCAAATCTAAAATCCGAGGTGGAGTATGATATGCTGTTGGATTCCTCCGGGCCAACATCAGCCATGCTCACTGTTCACAATGAGGTGTTTGCGGCAGTTTTTTTGGCGTAGTTGGTAATGGGACTGATGCTAACGAAAAAAGAAGTGGGCCAACCAAGTCAGATTTTGGAAAATGGTTGGAGTTTTAGTGAAAAGCTTGTTCACGGTCAAGTTTAGGCTCCAGTTATCATGGGCAATTGATACTGTTCATGGCCCGTCTGGTTGGTGGCGAGGTGGATTGATGGTCAGCATTCCAATGTGAAGCTGATTGGGGTAACAACGAGAGAGGTAGAAGAGAGAATGGAGAGAAGAAAAAAGGAGAAAAAAGAGAAGAGTTGTTGGTTCTTGACAAAGCCAAATAAACCTTCTCGTTAAGCATACTGTGAAGGAATACGCCACTCGACATCTTTTTATTCTTCAGAACTTGAAATATCTTGACTTGGTAGTAATAGAAATAAAAGATGCGGCCAGCGTTTCTATTTCACACAGCTAGTAAGATTTAGCTTACCATAGCACTCATTAACAAGTTGCTATTAGGACTCATCCACATTCAATGAGACGTCAAAAATTATCGCTGGTAGGATGCCATCTAGGGTAGCTTGGCACTACATTGAAAACATGGCAAGTAAGCAGAGCCTATAACGGCTCGAATAGTCCAAATTATGTGCATGGATAGAATAGTCTATCCGAAAGCTAATGTCGCCTAAGATATCAATTGCCATCACCTAGTTTATATTAGTGCACTTGATGTTTTCCATCACCTTTTTGCGCTGCCACTTGTATCAGCTGTCTCAATTGCACCAAAACTTGACGCATCATCACACAACATATTCGAGTAACAAATGAACCAACACAAGGCCATAGAGCATTCACTATAGCATTGATACACGCAGTAATATACATGCATCTTCTTCATAGCCAGGTTTGCTTGTTAATTGTACCTACTACTGTACTAACCGCATATAAACCGAGGATAGTAATAAGCGAGATGCCAACACCACCCCATGGTTGCGTGTCAGATTCGGAAATGCAACCCCGAGTATATACTGTACCTACGATTGATTCTCGCTCCAGCTGCGATCCGCCCAAATGCAATCTGACATTTCCAGCAGCCCGTTGCAACCAGGCCACGGTGAATCCATCTGATGCCATCTCCGCACTTTGTATACATGGATAGTGCACGCAGCAGCGTAGCAGTCAATGAGCTGGCACCCGCCATACCACCTCATATGCATGCAATATGCATGGGATATGCAGGGTTGGCCAGCTCAAGCCCAATGAGACGGTCCAAAGCCCTGGGCAAAGGCTGTAGCCCTGGTCTCAGCTCTGGGAAGACCAGGTCCTTCTCCTCTCTTCTTTTTTCCCTTGATCCATCCATCACTCAAGCCACCAACTCGAGTCGAGCTCCATCAGCTTCGTTTTCGTTGCCATCACCGGGAACCGACCTTCGGCTTCTTAGATCCTGGCGGCAATATCCGCCGCTCGCGAACGAGCCTCCGTTGGCACTGTGAATCCATCTGGCTAACATCGAATCTCCAAGGGCCTGTGCTTTTTCCCACGGCCAATTTGGCGATCACCGCTGTCAAATTCCCCCAGGCCAGGCCCCGCTACTTACTTGTCACTTCCGCAGATCGCGTGATTGGCGTCGCTCTGGAGTCCTCGCTCCCCATCATTCTGTCTGCGCTGCGGGCGCGCATTAAACGATTCTGCTACGCCACCGTTGCTAGAGCGGCCATGGGCAGTCCGACAGGGAGCAAGAGATCCAGCCGGAGCGACTCTGAGGCCGGGGCTGCTCCCAGGTCAAGCCCCATTAACAAGTCAAGTCCTCCGGGACACTCAGGTGAGAGAGCCTCTTTTTGTAGTTTAGCTGCGTTGTTCTTTTACAAAACCCCTCGGCTGGATGAGTGCGTCGGCTCGGCATTTATGCGTCGTTTTATCTATTTGACGCTGTGAAACCTGCTGCGGAGGATCCCTCTCTCGTCGTATTCGTACTGTGGTTGGGGTGAGTGAATTGACAAAAGGCCTGTTAGACGATCAGAGGCACCTGGACGAGGAGCTGACGGCTGAGAACCTGGGCCTCTTACACGGAGATGCCATCATCGAGCCGGGTGGCAGCGACGAGGATGGCGAGTTCTCGCCCAGCGAGTTCGACGCCGAATCGCTCAGCAACTTTTCAGATTCCACCTCGCTGAATTCCAGTATCCTGCAGCATAGTTTTGTGAATGGCCGGCGGTACCACCGCTATCGACATGGGAGATATCCGATCCCGAATGATGATGCCGAGCAGAATCGGGAGGATATGCTGCATACCATGATGCTGGAGGCGACAGATGGCAAGCTGTATTATGCCCCAATCGGCGACCATATCCAGAAGATTATTGACTTGGGCACTGGGACGGGCTTATGGGCCATGGACAGTAAGTTTTATTGCAACATGTATCGCTGTCTGCCCTTGACAAAGTCGCCACGGATTCTGAGCAACGGCATCATGGATTCTATAAGTAGTGACACAAGTTGGCAGTGGGCGATAAATTTCGAGGCGCCGAAATCCTAGGAATCGATCTGAGCCCCATCCAGCCCCAATGGGTTCCTGCAAACGTCACATTCATCATTGACGACGTGGAGGCGGAGTGGCTCAATGGCGATGATTGGGATTTTGTTCATCTGCGCAACATGATACCCGTTATGAAGTCACCAGTTGATCTTCTCAAGCAAGCATACGAGTAAGTAGTTTAGTCACTTGTGACGAAGAGAGATGTTGCTGTGAAATGCATGCTGACCATCTTAGCCATATGAAGCCTGGCGGTTGGGTTGAGCTGCAAGATGTAGACGGAGACGTCCATTCCGACGATGATACGGTACCGGATGGCTGGCCGCTGAAGCGATTTACCGAGATTCTGCTCGAGGGATTTGCAAAGTTTGGCACGAATGCTCACGCGGCTGTGTTTGGGGGGCAGTACTTGGAAGAGGCAGGCTTCGTTAATATCCAGCACAACTACATCAAGCTGCCGTACGGCACATGGCCAAAAGACAAGTGAGTTTACAACCCGTTTTTACTGCATTTTCTATATTAAACTTATCTTCAACTATTTACTCTCTGTCAGGGTCATGCGTCTGGTTGGCATGTACTATCGCATCGCCTGCGAGGAATTCTTCCCTGCCGTCGGAGCCATCCATTTCCCCATGCTCGGATGGGAAAAGGACGAAATGGAAATCTTCTTCATGCAGTGTCGCCAGGCTATGCGAGATCCCAAGGTCCATGCGTATGGCAAGATGCACTTTTGGAGTGGTCAAAAACCTCTTGATGCGTGATGAACCGATTCAGCTCGATATCATGGTGCGATTAGATTGACAGCGTTACTGAGAATACGAAAGTACAGGAATACCCATGGAAAGTTATAGAGAAGCGAGAAGCGAATTCATATGAGAGCGTGTTCTTTTGTTTGGGTATCATTTAGTTTGGCCCTTTGCACTGAGCTTATGCAGGCAAGATTCGTATTGGGAGAGTTCATGATTTATGTTACGGTATATATAGTGAAGCGGTTATGCCGCGGAAAGATTCGGGACTTGGTATTGTTCTTTTTCCTTGCCGACCTCAATTCCATACAGACATAGCTACACAGTATGATTTAATGAAAAAATAAATAAGACGCCATATGGAAACAGATGCCAAATCCCCCCTACTCTATTTTCACGAGAATATGGCTCTCATATACATGTATTCTAATCACGAAGCATTTACCGTCGACCCTTCTTACTCTTCTTCCCACTTGGCCTCTCCTCCTCCTCTCCGCCGACAGCCATCTTCCTCTTCTTCCTGCCCTCCTCCAACAACTTCTTCATTCCCTCAGTAGCCTTGAACTTGGGGTTCGAAGGATCAATAGCAAACTCATGGCTATCAAACACAGCCTTGAAACGATCGTCCTTGACGTCCATCTTGAAGTCTTCCTGCAGGCCCACTTCGGCCTTGGTCTTCTTCTGATACTTCTTCTTCTTGCCCTTTTGCTTCTCCGCCTTCAGAATCTCATTCATATCGAAGTGATCCAGATGATCCACCTGGTTTTCCTGTGCGTCTTCAGCCATAACCTTGGTGAGGTGGGCTTTTTCTTCGGCGTCACGGGCTTCGGCAGCTTCACGAGCCTTGCGCTTCTTCAAGCGCTCTTCCTTGCGGATAGAGGTCTTGGATGTTGGGGCGGGGTCGTCGGTGGTGAAGAAGGGGTCGTTGAAGCCAAGATCTTCATCCTCATCCTCATCGTCGCCCTGAGCAATTTGGACGCCACCATCATCATCGTCGTCCTCATCATCCTCATCAACAGCTTCGCGCTTGGCCTTGGCGGCTTGTCGCTTCTTCTCTTTCCTCTCTCGCTCTTTACGGGCGTACTTTTCGATTGTTGTTTCTTCCTTCTCATCCTTTTTAGACTTCTCACCTGATAGAGCTGGTGTGAAGGTGACTTCCATCTCGCCGACGGGGCCATCTTTGGACTTTTTGGACTCGGGCTCGGATGCAAGACCGAGAGCCTCGCGCATCTTTTGTCGAGCCAACTCCTTTTTCGTCAGCTTGGGCTCACCATCAGCGGGCTCGGTAATGCCGTCAGCATCATCTTCATCCTCGTCGCTGTCGCTGTCTCCAGCAAGATAGGCTTTCAAATCTTGCTCGTCAATCTCTGCTCGGCTTCCCTTGAACGCTCTCTTGATGGATTCTTTGCGATTCATGTCCTCGGGACGCGTGTCCCAAGTGAGCTTCACCTTTGAGCTTTGCAGCGCATTGGTGACAAACTCAATGGGCTTATACGACTCGGGCACCTTGTCGCACTGATCTCTGGGTTCGTCGTCAAAGGTGACCTCGTCTGGAACAAATCGTAGGTCGATGAAGTTGGAAGAAGACTGATACTCAGTTCCATCGGTCGCCTCGTAGATGGCTTGTGCAGCGCTTTTACTTGAGCAAGTCATGACAGCATAGTAGTATCGTAACCTGTCAAGCTGATATGCTCTCAAAGCATCACTGTCGAAATCTTGATCGTCGCCCTCTTGGAGCAGCTGCTTCTTGATTGCGGCCTCTTCAGCCTCGCTGTCAGACGCATTTTCGTCCTCTACTTCTTCCTTTTTCTTTCCCTTCTTGAAAAACTCCCTGGCCGGTCCCTCGAGCTCTTCTTTCTGCATGCGTTCCTTTCCAAATTCACTTGGGTACACGGATACGTTCAGAACTTTGCCGCTCTCGTTGGCGGGAATGAAGCTGGTGAACAACGCCATCAGATCCGTTGACTTGACGTGGTCCCAGTCGAGGTTGACAATGGCTATCCGGTTCGTGACATCGCCGGTTTCGATTTCCTCTCGTTCCAATCGCTGCATATCGCCACCAGTAGCAAGATCCAACTCTTCATCCGACTCTTCATCAGAATCTGAGTCTTCTTCAGAAGATGAAAAACCTCCCTCTCGAGCAGGATCGAATCTTCGAGGTCTTGCGCCCGCGGCTTGCAGCTCTCTTTGCACGACGTCATCATCCTCAACTTCAATATCCTCTTCCTCGTCCTCTTCGCTATCTTCTTCGTCTTTCTTTGACTTGTCGGCCTCTTCGTCAGAGCTGTCTTTCTCCTCCTCCTTTTCTTCATCGTCATCCAGCTGATAAAGTCTCTGCAGGGCCTTCTTCTTGGCGTCTGATTTGATTTTTCGTCCGTATTTATCTACTCGCGCAGTGGCCGTAAAGTCATTGTCCTTGAGCATGCCCGCAAATCGCTTGTCGACGGTCGTCTTCATGTGCTTTCTCGACGGCAGCCGGAATCGAGGATCGGTCTGGAAGCTGGCAAACCGCTCGTCAGCGACTCGCGCCTGCGGAGCTGCGCCTCCATTCTTCTTTTTGTCTTTTCGCTTGTCCATCTTGGCGGTGTTGGCGTTCTGTATAAGGAAACTCCTTCTCTGAATAGCAGTTGTGGTGCTGGTGATGCTTGTCGCAACTTTTTCTTGAATCGAAACTTTTTGGCAGGGATATGGTTATCAGCTTATCGCGTTTAGACCAATCAAGTCGTGTTAACCCGAATTGGCTTTACTGGAGGAAGGTGGGGCATGGCTCCCAATGCTAAAAGGCCATTGGGCAGTTTTCTAAAAGCAGCAAACAAACCAACTCATTTCGCAGAGTGCCTGGAGATGTATGGACTCAGGGGTTTTCCCATTGTGACAGCAATATGATATCAATTGATAGATTCTTAATGAATGCAGTTTGATGTTTTTCATTGTGCCCAGCGAGAAGCTTAGACCTCTGAGCAGCAGGCTGTATCAACCTCTTTCTACAACTGGCGGGGGCTGAAACTCAATTCGTCACAATCAACTCGTTCTCAATGCTCAGCACCACCAAAGCAGAAACAAAAAGCACTTCTCAAAGGAACTCGGAACTCGGAACTCCTCCGAAAACAAAAACAAAAATGGGGATTTCGGAACTCCTTTTTGAGAAGAGTACGCGCGCGGCCTTATATAAGCCGCTGAACTACGTGCGCTAAACGACTTACACGTTAGGCGAATTTGCTAGGTGCCCCACAAACTTCGTGTAGACTCGATGCCAAGACTGTTTTATCTTCTCAGCCTCTTCAAAATAAACATAACAATAAAAAATAAATTAACTTTTCTCCATATCTGGCTTTGTCAGGTAATAGTATGTTTTACTAAATTTAAACACTGAAACCCAAACAGACCTCATCTCCATGTCCACCTGGCTGCAAAGAAAAAAAACTGGTGCAAGAGCTACCTAGAAATAGCGTTAAACACGGCAAAATATAACAATGAGATATAAGTTGAACCCTGTAAAATCGAAACAAAAGCTTTTCTACCCAAGATGGCATGTCTGTTGTAGCATTCTAGACAACCCCTGCGTATAATCCCAGGAGCCCCAGAAACAATGCCAAGGGCTACGTAATGCATCCCTGCTTAGGTAGTATGCTAAAATCTCCCGCGGCCAAGCTTTGCGGGCATGAGATTTCGGATCGAATCCTTTTAGGTCTAGGTGTATACGTATGCAAATTCTCTGCTGCTTTAGCTGATGGGGCCAATAAAGGCATGACCTATTGGTCCGTTCATCGAATTCAGCTTCTAATTGGTGGGAGTCCGCAACAATATGCGCCCTGCTTGTTGCGGGCCGTGGAAAATATTCTCAGAGCAAGCTAGACCTACATCCCACGACAATATCCGTGACTATATCCATCTGAAACATCACAGCCTCATATGCAAGGTCTAATAGCATCCGAGTGCAGGGAAATGCAGTGGATGAATGACATGCGTTTCTAGTAGCGGACAGATGGATGACAGGAGATACAAGTTCTCCCTATGGGCTTGATGAGTTGTAGTGACAGTCAGATGTGGGTAATGGCGAAAACTTACAACAAAGTAGAACGATGAAAATTATCAGCTGCATTATGTTGCAAAAAAGATATCATAGCAAACAAAGTTAAATAATAATATACCAGTATAGAGTAGAACAAACAACAAAACATGTCGAGTGCAAAATCCCCCCAGTGCCCATCAACCTCGGACCATATTTGGCCGCGTTGAGTCAGATCATCACCAGAGGTGCCCCTTTTGAAAGTTTCAGTCCTTTGAAAGAGGGGACAAAAATTCTGAAGCCATGCTGGCATTGGCTGGACCATTTTTGAAGCCTCGTATCAATTAGCGCCAATGCAGTGTATCCCAATCCATTACCAATACCTGTCATGAGGAGCGTATTGTACGCGTCATCACCATGAAGAGATTGTAAGCTAAAAATAGAATGAGCATAGAGCTGAGCAGCCTCGTGCTTCCGATAATGACACTCGGTGATCACGGAGTAGGGGGATTCTATTATTTTGTTGACGATGTTTTTATTTTGAGAAGAATTATCTGCGTTTCTCATTTCAACTATTTTGTAACACGATCGATATACTATATGCTACTACTATGTTAGTCTCCTTACGAAGAGTTGCGCTTGTGACGTACGCCGTTATTATCCTTATCGTTATTACAACATACGAAATCTTCTGGGAAAAGCGCGGTGCTATCCCTATCAGCTTTCTAAATGCCTTCACCAACTCGACCTTCCACAGTGACTCCCCGGATATCAAATCACCTGTGTCCGTTGTACCGGTTACGGACTCTCAATTACCTTCGACAACGAATTTGACGACGGAGCAGAAGACCTCACGATTTGCCTACGCACAATACGCTACAAGCTTAGACTATTTATGCAATACTGTGAGTGCCTGCATCTAGGTAAAATTGCAGTGCCAAGAACTAAAAATGGGCCACAGGTTATCAACTTTAATCGCCTGAAGGGGTACGGTATCCAGCATGATATGGTCCTTATCTATCCGAAAACTTGGGACGATGAGGTAGGATATCTCTGTTGAAGAGTTAAACTTGGCTGCTAACTAGTTGTTGTTTTAGAAAGTAAAAAATCGAGAAGCCAAGGCTCTTCGAAACCTTCGATCCAGCCATCCCGATATCGTTCTCCGCCCCTTTAATGTCCTCTCTACAGAAAAGGGGGACTCGACTTGGCGCGATAGCCTCACTAAATTCCACGCCTTCGCCCTAACTGACTACACAAGAGTTTTGGCATTTGATTCAGACTCTCTCGTTCTGAACAACATGGACTCTCTCTTTCTTGCCCCTGATTCGCCCGTAGCCTTGCCACGCGCGTATTGGCTTACAGAGAGGCATAATGGAACTGTAACGCAGATCCTAGGGTCGCACCTCATGCTCATCGAGCCTAATACTCACTTATACGAAAGGATTGTTGGCGAAGCTACGCGGAGTGGCGAGTTCGATATGGAAGTAATGAATGAGTTGTTCAAAGACTCTGCCATGATACTTCCCCATCGACGCATAGCGCTGCTAACAGGCGAGTTCCGAGCAAAAGATCATCGCAAATACCTCGCTCCTGATGAGGATGAAGAATGGAATCCGATTAATGAACTAAAAATGGCATTTCTCGTGCACTTTAGTGACTGGCCCCTACCAAAGCCATGGATGTCACACTCCGAGGCGCAGTGGGAGGCGGCGTTGCCTGAGTGTCTGGACAACGACAAAGACATGCCAGGTCTACCACGATGTGCCAACCGGGTGGTATGGACTGGAGTATATTCAGACTACGACCGCGACAAAGCAGCATACTGTCAGATTCTCGGCGTATAAGTGCCTATGGCTGGCCGAACAAGATTACGCAGAGCATGGGTTCTTCCCACAGGACTAATTAGACAAAATTGCATTTCCTTATGTATATCCATAACAGCTAAGTATATATTAATGTTAGAACTAATTGTAACCCTTTTAGTATTTTCACGTTCCTTTATTGAAACACAGTGGTATCACCAGTTAACAGTTGGATAGACTCAATGTTTAGCCCAAAACGGCATTGGCTATTTTTAGAGTCGTGATTACATGTCGCTTAAGCCGTTTCAGGCTGCTAAGTAAGCAGCCGCCAATAAATTCATCTTACTTTTCCTGCGTGAATTCGGCAGGGTGAATGACCGTGAATCTTCACAGCTCATTTTGCCAATAGCAGAGCTATACAGACGCCATGGGTTCTTGGGATAGTTATTGTGCCATATGTGGTGGACCGTTCAACACATTGACTGTGGCGCAAAAGCCACGCAGCGAGCGATTCCTTCGCCGTCACGGTCTTAGCCAACCGCAGCCGTCCAGCTCAGCGCAAGCAAATCACCCTACGGAAGATGGCAATGCAGATACAACAGCTGAGACAGGCGATGATGAGGCGGCTGGTGAAGCACCCATTGGAACGATAACGCAGGAGGATGAGCGGGAAGATGGCTCATACGACCGCGATGTTGTAACTTCAACAGAGTTAGCCTGGGTGCAAGATCTTCACGTCTTAATGACGAATGAGAATGAAGACACAGGAGAAAGGGTGTAAGTAAAAGCGCAATCGTTGATCTTTATCATTGAAACTCGAAGACAGTCTGACGTTTGCAGTGGCTGTGTTTCAGGTGTTGGCGAATTTTACGATAACACCCAGGTCAGCGTTGATGACGGCGACGACCCCAACTGGGACCCAACGGCTGAGATAGTCCTCTATGACGGTTGCTTTCCGTTCCACTGGCCCTGTTTTGAGGTTCTCGGCACGGTTCTCGAGGGCAAAACTGGAATCGCTGGCTTGAACAAATTGAAGCTCTATAACACTATGATGAGAGCTAGTGGTATCTGTTGTAGTCGCCTAGACAGGCTCGATTATGGCGACCCGGGCCCATATAATGAACAGTGGTGGGAATATCAACCGGGGACTGAATTTCTTGTTGTTCATCCAACGATTTCACTGGAGAAAACCACTGCACTGATACGAGAGCGATGGATGAAAAGCACTCAAGTGGTCAATCCTTCCGATCGCGTGCGTCGCGTCAGTGCAGATAGCTTTCAGAAACTCCCGCTGGAGTTGTTGCTCAAGACCTGCAGCATGTTGACTCCCCAGTCTCTACACCAACTGGCCTTGGCATCACCGACTGTCGATGCTTTGTTGGGAGACAAGCCGTTCTGGAAACAGTATCTCTCCGTTCATATGCCCTGGAGCTATGAGCTCCTATCAATAATTGATGATGAGTCGCAAACCTTTCAGAACGCAGACTTCAAGTCTCTCGTCCGGTGGGTGGACCAAGAGTCGACCCCACGGCAGTGGATGCGCGGTCCATTTATGAGCATTGCCAATCGGCGACGCATATGGCACGTCTGCGAACAGTTGAAGCCGGTCTATTCGGGCCGTGCTGCACGTTTTCCGCCGACGGAAGCAGAGAAAAGGCGGATGAATCTGAGAAGGGCGCAGATGGGTATGCCTCCTCCTCCACCAGGGGGAGTTTTTCAGATGCCAGCAATAGGTCAATAGGTCAATGCCGATTAGTAGGTTATAATCACACAGTATTTTTTTATCTTTGCATCGCCTTGTCTTGATATGCAGCTGTTCTGGTCAATGTGTGTTGCTTACGACTTGTGAGAAATGCAAATGTAATCAACTGCCTCTATATGAATACGTATTACGTCTTGTTATTCCTTTATAGCATGATCGGCACGAGATTTGGATCCAAAAATCACCAATAAGATGAACGATATGCAACAAGACCAAGTGAGGAGGCGGATACAGCGTTGGAATGTCTCACAAGCAACCGTACGTGTTACACTAGTACCACTGCAATAATCCTACGTCTCGCCCTTATTATAGAGAACATCAATCTAAGTCGCACTGCCACATCATTAATAGTTACTTGTAGCAGTAAGACAAAGGTCCCGTATGTTTATCTTGGCGTCTGTATGTTGTCGGCACTTCCTTGAAAGGCACCGTTTCAGCCACCAGGATTCAAGACATCAGACTGAGTCTGGCTTACCTCGCATAAGTCTTTTCCGTAAACCATACCGCGTGGCAAAAAGGAAAAAGATATAGTCATTGATTCTTCAATCAAGAATTATCGAATATCGCGAGTCTAAATCTCTGATCTGGAAAACTGGCGCTGAGTTACCAAGTAGCAAGCCACCACTCATGGTAGGCGACTCTTGTTCTTTTCTTTCTTTCTTTCACTCGTTTTTTTGGCCATGAAAAGCCTTGCAAATGAAAATCAGCCAATATTCCAGTGGATCGACGGATGGAATGGCCGGAATCCCATGAATCCTTCACCGACGGCTGCATCTCCGAAACTCGGGGTGGAATCTTATATTGGCTGAGACATGTGGGGTTAAATGAAGCGATGACCCGATGACTGGCTGGATGACCGGAATCTCGATCAATGGGAAAGCTTCATTTCGCGCAAAAAAAAAAAAATTAGTATCCTGAGGATTAGACTTTTGATTCCCCTTTTTGTGCGATGCCTGTGTTACAAGTAGGCCGAAAAATGTCTTGGCCGATGCTTGTGGAATTTTGAAATATATAAAGTCGCCAATCTCCCTGAAAAATATGAGCATCATCAACTCAAACTCGACATCATTCTCACTTTGCTGATATTCCAAATCCAATTCTCTGCTTTTATCAGATCCTTTTAAGATATTCACCATGGTGCGATACGCCGTTCTCCCTCTTGCGATTCTCGCCGCCCTTTCCTCTTTCGCTGCTGCGAATAACTGCAAGGTCAATCTCAAATACTGCGGAGCCACTCTCCTACGAGTTGGTGTGTAACCCTGAAATTAATAACTGTTCAGCTGCATATGGTTTACTAAACGGCAAATAGGAAATTATGATGAACAAATTCGTGAGGCACTTAGAGCCGCACACAAGCCGACAGACGGTGACCATATTGAGAAGTCCCTGTTCTTTTGCTCAGGCGGCCCTAACGGGGAGATTGAATACCTTCAATTCTGTGGCAACAGGTGTGTCGATGGCGGCGCAAACCACAACGACTACTGCTATTGATAAGGCTTGGTTACAAGGCCTTCTATTGGAGGCTACTTACCTGAACCACCCGTTTTACTATACAACTATTTCTAGTTTTGGTTACTTTAGTGTAGTATGAGCAATCAGATCAAAGGTCATTAGCAGCCCCTCTATTCACTTCAAATGAAATGAAGCAAGATGAGAATACTGTAATCTGCAAGTTGTTAAATTGTGTATGAATATATCTATACCTCTATATCTTATCTACACTCGTCAAATCGAGACACTGCCTAGCTCAGCAAGCAGACCCTCTGGAAGTAGTTTTGACCGCAACAAGCTGCCCACCAATGATGGTATTTCCATTCACCGGCGTTTCCATCCCACCAGCAGTAACAACATAGAGAATATGCCTATCATGTGGGCCTCTGCCAAATGCACAGGACGTCGGCTCTGCAATGGCAGTAGAATTAAGATTACCAGCAATGTAAACTTGAGTTTTGCCGTCAGCCGAAATCATCTCAATGGTGTTTCCACCTCCTGTAACCACAAATGCGTTGCCGTCGCAGTCAAAAGTGAAATCATCATACTGATCTAGTGGTCCCTTTGTGTTTGCAATTGTGGTGACAGGTCCTGCGGGCGTCCCATCCTCATTGATAAGCACCTTGTTAAAAGTGCCGTTTCCAAAATTTGTAAAGTAGGCCGAATCACCGCGAACATGAACGCCGTCTACGCCAGAGGCTGAAAATGGAGGCGATGAGTAAAGCGCAGTGAAAGTATTGTTGATAGCGACCTCGTAACTCCCAGTCTTGATGTCCAAACTCCAGATAAGGCCTCCATTGACATCGCTTATAAGAAGTGTTTGGTCGGCTTCTGATAGCACTGTTAAGCCGTTGAGAAAGTGAGCAGGTTTGACGTGTGCAATCTTCTTCACCACAGGCGGCGAGGAGAGTTTTGCTTGGCCATTTTCCGTGGTAATTCCAACACCGCGCAGATCAACGCTCCAAACCTTCCAAGTACCGACGACTTGGACAGTGCTTGTGAATGAATAGTTGCCGGAGATAACAGCAAACACATCAGGCTGATACTCTGCAATGCCAGCCAAGCCAAGAGATTCATCAAAGTCGTGGAGGAGGATAGGTGTGTTTGATCCGGCCACTGAAGGATCAAAGAGAAAGAGCTCCGATTTGCTTAGATCGGTCATGAGAATCTGACCATTGCTTCGCACAGCTATATTCTCAATATACGAGTCTTTAGGGAACTCATAGAGAGTGCGGACCGGATCAAGAGGCGGCGCCGTAGCTATGGAAGCGCTACAGATAGCGAATAAAGAGACTGCGAACCGTAGAGCCATGGCAACAGTGACAATATAGAAAGATTTCAGAAGAGAAGACTTGCGATTACTGCTACTTCCAATGTTTCAAAGGCCAATAGAGTCTCAAGTATTTTATAATTCTTCAATACCCCCGTTGTTGGGGTAGATTCAATCTACCCCAAGCACATTCATGGAGTAAATTGGGGTCAAAATAATTGCAACTACTACTAATCAACCAAATAGAATTTGTCAGAATTCGCCAGTGGGTCTTTTTGAAAGAATAGTATTGAATGGGAAAGGGGCAGCGATCTCTGTGGGCTTATTTCTGCTATTGCGCTCGCGTCTCCGGCGGCGATAAGTTTCGGCTTTTCGATATGCGCCTCATCGGAGCTGCCTGATCCTGCGAGAAAAGGTGTAATACTATTGGTCCAAGCGTCTTCTACCTATATTCTCCTTTTGTCATTGAAACAAAACTGTATTATGTATGTGCTCCATGATACTGGAGAACTGTGCAGCATTTTGGTAGTGGCACTTATAAGCAATGCGAACTCCTCTTCCGCCGTTCACTCAACTATATGCTTGATGATAAGATACATTATTATTAGTTGACGATCCATGCCAGCGTTCAGTGTTGGCCAAATGGGCATTAGCGCAGCGAGAAGGAAATGTTTGGCAGATCCATGTAATTCCCGCGATGTAACGTATGTGATCATAGACGAGGCGTTAACCCGTTTCTATAAGTTAAAGTCCGAATGATCCTGCTGGAGAACTACATTTAACACCGACAGCATAAAGGCTCACTATTAACTACAGGCTCCAAAGTCAACATCAATCAAATGTCATCATTAATGTTCAAAGATCCTAAGTCTGCACGAATAGATAGTTGAACATCATTGCCAATTACTCGCCGAGGGTATCGCTACCTTAAACAACGATTGCTTCTATCTAGGCATGCGTAATTCGTTAAGCTCGTGCTGAATAACATGAGTCGTTCCATTGCTTCTTATACTACCACTGAGGTCTCACCAGGAAATACTTTTCTATATCTTGATTATAAGTTACATGGGATTTTTTTTACCCTGCATATGGTGTTCGTAACCAAGGTGCATCTGGGGAAAATAAACGCCATTTTTGGCTGTGTGAGCCCACAGACAGCCCTCAGCTGTAGCGACGGATAAAAGATGAAGAAAAAAACAAGGAAGAGGAGAAAGATATGTCCGGGAAAAAGGCAAAAAATAACAGAGACTGACGAGTGTGGGATTCGAACCCACGCCTCTTGCGAGATGCGAAATCCTGTTTAAGGATCAAGATATTATCTTGAGTCGCACGTGTTAGACCACTCCACCAACTCGCCTTAGCGTCTTTGTTGGAGACCAGCGAACAAATTTGAGTATAAGAAGTCCTTGTCTAATTCTTCAAACTGCAATATGACTGACGGTCAACTTTTGCATAAAGAAGACGACATGAAATCTTTATCGCACTGAGCTGAATATAAAAATACTACCATCTACTTACCTGATGGGTTTGGTATTCTGACCATATGCAGCATTTGAGTCGGTAACAGTTGAGAACTTTGTACAATCATCTACATCTACATAGTAGTAAGTTCACGCTCAGCCAGCCTCAATGCCCAAGTCATATATCTAAGTGTTATTTTATGTCTTCAACTTGATGAAATTGTAATACGTATAGCTCTTCCATGTTTAACTGACACAGCTATCATGCTCTTTATTTATTGAGTCAACTATATCAGCTATATCCCTGCCAAGTCCAACACTTAACAAACACTTATATAGCAGCTTCTTACCAACCAAAAGTTGAGAAGTTATACGCAGAGAGTGATGGCAACTCTCGTCTTGTCTTGCTTAATCTGGACTGACTCATGCATCTGTATGCCGAGTAACAAGTCGTTTCATCTCTTCTTTGCCTTCGCCATAGCTATCCACTATTCTTGTGGTCAACTGTGCTTTGACTACTCCACCACCATTCTCACGTGTCTGCCCAAATAGAATCGTCGACTTCCAGCAACGCGGCTCAATCTCTGTCTCTGGGCGCCAAGTAAACTTTCTTGCAATACGCGTCTCTGTCGTTGCGCTCATTCGCCCTTTGATAGTGTATCTATCGATATGCATAGCAATGACAAGACACACCTCCCAAATAGTCCAAACGTATTGAATGACCAGGGGCATCCACAAGACCGAGCATAGCAGCGAGACAGGGAAGTAGAGGCCGAATGCAACCACAATTGCTATTTGGATGACTTCGCGGATTCGATTTCGCACTGGGTGGCCATAATGTCGGAAGAATTGGTTCACCACGCTTGGAGGCCCAGTGATCATCATCAGCCGGCCTTCAATTGGAGGGCAATTAATTTCCCAGTCTTGATGCTGCTCTTCTTCATCCAAGTTTGAGAGGTCGTCGAGTGGCTCTCGATGAACTGCAAAAATGACGGCGAGTGTGCGCAGGACGAATGGTATCAGAAATAAGACGGCCCACGATGTTCGTTTAACAATGCCAACGCCAATCGCAATTCCGATGCCGCTTAGCTCGCTTATGATGCTGGTTATAATCCATAGAGAGGTACGTTGCCTGTATGCTCTTGAACAAATGGCATACGGCTGTTAGAAATGTCTTCAGCCATGGCCTTTGTGAGAACGAGGTGTGTCACTGCAACTCTTGCTCGTACTGGGTTCTTCTTCTCCCCAACTTGGCCTTCTTCTGCGGCGCAAGATCGCGTGCCACTCAATGTGCGCATAGAAGATACATCTGGGAGTTGAAGGTTCAGTAACGCGCGCACCCAAATGCAGCTTCTGGCTTGTGAAGTTCGGCCAGGGTCAGTATTTGATGCGTGTAACTGCGTCGTCCACCCAATATCGGGGTAGAATGCTGAGCCCAACATATGACCCTGTTGACGACCCGCCAAAATCCCATTCTTGTAGGCGCTGTCAATAACTGCAAGAGCCGTGGCACTCAGTGGCCCACCCATGGAATAGAGCGCTGCAAGCTTGATGAGGCTCTCTGGTTGGGGGTTTGATAGATAGCGCTGGGGCCATAGTAGGCGCTCAAAAATGGTGTTTGTGGCAGCTTGGCCGCCGAGATAGCCCACAACAGCGTTGAAGCCGCCTAAAACATTGTGATTGCTGCTATCGCCGGACATTTTATCCCTGTCGTGCGCTGAGTTGGATCTGCGGCTGCGTATCGTTCACTCCTCCTAAAACACCCGGTTGGAAACGTTTTATGACACCACAAAAAGTGTTATGGATACCAGAATCCCCTTGGCTAGAAGTTTGATGCGATTGCTAGTTTCAGTCAACAGCCTCACTTAGAAAGCGTCGGAGGCGTAAGGCAGCAGACTTGATCCTTTTTAAAACCTGCTGACTGGCCTGGTGCTGCAATACGCCGTAACCTTGCATATTATCCAAAGGCGGGGGATCCATGTGGTATACAGTTTCAGACAGCCAGCCAGTGATTCGCTCGTTTGCTAAGTCGCCTGTTTACCTGAAATCCTCGAAGCATTTAGTTTACACTATTACAGGTAATACAAGCGCTGACCATCTGATTAACTGGTAAGTATCGAGCTGTACTAGCAGTCTAGCACCCTTGCACAAGCTCCTACGAGACATGGGGTCGCATCGTATCTCCTGATGACGAAGGGATATAAATCCTCATATCATCTAGGTCCTGTTATGTATAAGATAAGAGACGATTCCTAGTCGCATACCAAAATTAGCTGTCGGATACTACAGGAGCTAACAGCTATTTTCCATAACCTCCACGTCGCCGCCGACAAGTACGAGTTTCCCATACCCTTGGAAGTATAACTCGTTGTATCATAAGTTGTGTCTCGATTTATTTATGAGGGAGTTCCACCCCACGGAATGGGAGCCGTTCAACCCACACAGTTTCCTGGCTAGTTTGATGAGCACACGGAAGAAGGTTACTAAAGAGGCCATATCAATGCGTTTTGCGTATTTTGCTTTGCAGGAAAAGTCGAAACCAAGCTACTCTTGCTCTTTTCCTATGTACCCTCGATACGCGAGAGACAAACAGCTCTGGAGTGAGAACGAATATTTTAACGAGCCCGCAAAAGATGACATAGCAAGAGAAATTTGGAAACTAGTTGATAAGAATTCGCCCGACCCGAGATACCTCTGGGACGTGAAGAGCAAAAAGACAATCCGTGTTCATCAACGCCATCCTGAATATGTCTGCATCAGCCACACTTGGGGCCGATGGACTGTCAAGCTGCCTTCTCATGTTAGTATTCCAGGCGTGCCTTGGAAAGTCCTCGAGAACACTTTATATAATGTCCGAGATCTGCCCAACATGCTCCTCAAATTGAAGTACGACTTCATCTGGCTTGATCTATTTTGCCTACCGCAGGACGATTCGCCCGAGCATCGAGCCGAAGTTGCCAATCAAACAGCCATATTTCACCGAGCAAAGAAATGCATCGCTTGGCTGAACGATGTGGAGACTTGGGATGGAACTGAGGCTGCCATGGATTACTTGGGTATGAAGTATTTGCGAACCTCAGCCACTGACCCAGAGCTCGCAGTCAGTGACAAGCGCGTGAAATCTAGTATTTCCGCGGCAGCAGACCATTGTTTAGAACTGATGAAGGAAAATGACGAACCTTCATCTTGGTTTTTATCTTTATGGACTCTTCAAGAGGCAGCATTGTGCCCTGACTTACAACTCTGCACCAGAAGCATGGAACTGCTGTTGGATAAAACTGGCACTCCAATAAGTCTTTCAACATTGATAGCCATTCTCTCCCTCCTCAGGACTCCCAACAGGAGCCAAATGGCAGAGTTTCCTTCTGACCCACTATTTGATATCGTTCCTGAGTGCGTGTCAAAGCCTTTTCTCTTAGGAAAGATGACAAAATTGGAGTGGCTCCTGGAACATCTATCGCCGATGGACATCATGGTCGCATCGAACACGCGCACTTGTAAACGCTCTCGAGCCGTTGCTATTATGAATGCTCTTGGTGTTTTGGACTGGTACAAGACAGAGTCCGAGGGAGGCAACCTTGGTACGGGCGGCAAGGAAGAGAAGCTTGTTTTGGATACATTTCCCATTGAGTTTGTTAGGGAAGTCGCAAGAAAATACGGAACTGTGTTTTACACAGCAGTCGAATCCGTAAACTCTTACAGGGTCAAGACACACGAAGGACTCTGGGGATTTCCAGATGTTCATATAGGTAGCATGATGCCTTTTTCCGAAACGCATGGATGGTACACGTCCGTGATGAATGCTGTGACAGTACCAGCAATACAGAAGAAGGACCATGAAGCGGTTGCTAGCTGGCACATCAACGAAAACAGGAGCGTTAGAATACGTTCTGCAGGCATAATATCTTGCTCAAGCGATTCCGCCAACAAGTCCCCTATCAAATCCTTTGTCGCCACCATGGAAGGAGGTGAAAGGCTGACAATTGTGCAAAATAAGAGTGCCCACGCTGACTTACATGCTTCGCTTCGAGAATTGGCCGGAGATAAAATGGTATTCTACGCTGTTGTACTGCAGGAAGACTATGGACAGAAGTCTGGTATCTTGCTTCAGGCGCCCAGGACGAGAATTCCAAAACCTAGGAAAAGGTGGCTGATCAAAACGGGCTTTTTCAACACACTTGAGTCTTCCCCACCGACACTTTGCACAGCTGTTAATTGGTGCGTTGCGTGAAGGGGGATTGAGAGTGAATAAAAAGACAGCTTGCATTACACGTCGTCCTTTAGATGCACCAATTATTCTAACCCTCCATATTTAGCTATCAACGCGTAGCCAACAGTGCAGAAAGAAAGATCAAGTTAAAGGTTTAGGTGGTAGAAACTTTCCAATGAGAGCAGGATAATCATGATATGCAGATGATCGCTCTTATCGTAACTCATCTACAGACTTAGATTGCACTCTACCGCTGGCCATGGTAGCATTCTAAAACCCTGGCCAAAATTTGACACAGGAGATCCACGGTTCATCCAGCATGGTCAGCCTGCTATACTACTGGAGTCATATGGCTTTAGACAACAGCTGCTAGACAAGAACGAAATTAATGTTGATGGCTAGCTAACAGAGCTTTGTACAACTCTCAAGTCTCAGATGATTCGACTGTAACTTGCGGTTACTGTAATACACTCCTGTCGGATAACTGACAATGTAGATGAATATGAGATAGGTTAAAATATTTATGCTTCTATGGAATTGAAAATCTATATAGTCTATAATAAAGTCTATAACGGGATAATTATAAATCTACGAGAGAAAGATAATGTACATAAATATGTTCTCACTAACCACTATAGATAAATATACTTGATTGGTTAAAAAAAGTATATCAGTTGCCGCAGTTTCCTGTACATTATTTGCCCTGCAGCCAAGGGGTAATTGTAGTCCAGAAGATGATATCAACTTTGAGATCCTTAACCGCGAAATCAACAAATTCTTGCTTCGTAAACGGTTTTCCGGTAGCTGCATTAACCTCCTTCTGCACATCATCCTGCTGGACGGCTACAACGCTGATGGGCACCTTGTTATGGTACTCCGGGATATAGACGTATGAGTTCGCCATCTGCCCTGGCTTGTTTGGGATCAAATCAGGTCCACCAACGCCCACGCCATGCTTTGCGTAATAGTTGAAGGAGTCGGTGAAACGGTTGTTCGTGTTGTTCCATCCATCAGGCCAGAAGTTGACATACTGCACGGCATAGCTCTTCTTGAAAACACTGGCTGCGTAGCCGGCGTTCTCCAATTCGCCCAGGAAGTAGCCTTCTTCGGTGTAGTTGTTCGCAGTTACATCCACAGCGATGGACGTCTCTGCTAGATTGAGGCCGGTAATTTTACCATCGAAGTTCCGGGCCAACTCCTTCAAGAGCGCCTGGTAACGTGAGCGCACTCGTGCATTCCACTGCTGTGCTACATGGCCACTGATAACGAAGTTACCCTCGCAGGAGTCGCCATCACAAGAAGGTACACTTCCATTGTTGTAGTAGGGTGTGTGCAAGTATGCGGGGACAGGATCATTAGAGGGATCAAAGGTTCTGTCCTGAACCTGAACCCAGAGCTTCTTGCCTTTGGCGAGTACAGTGTTGTAATTGCTCCAGATTCTGGAAAAATTATAGTGACCTTGAGTTGGCTCAAGGGACTTCCAGGTATACTGAGCTTGAACTCCAACAATATCAGATCGATCCAAGAGGTTCAAGGCCACGTCGTCAATTTGAGGACTGTACAGCCAATTTTGCGGCAATGAATGGTTATCAGCTGCTGGCGAAGGGGCAGCGAGCGCCGATCCAGCCAGGGCTGAGAAAGCCAAGAGATAGAAGCGCATTCTGACCGATGATAGTAATAAAAGGCGGTGCTGACTGCCAAAAGATGTCTGGTTGAATCAAGGTGTTGCTGAATATTGTAAGGAACAAAAAGGGTCATGGAAATGGTCCAGAACACCAGAATTTATATGCAAAATTGAGGCAGTTCACTTTACTACGTACCTATCTCCGTCGTAACGTTGACCCCACGATGTTCGATGTTGTTGACCGTTGCCGGTTGTGAATACGAAGTACGAGCAAGCTGAGTATCCACTGTGCTTAAGCCCGGATACGCGCAGTCCCACAACGAGAATAGTGCGTCAACAAGGGCGTGACCGAAAATGGAGAAGGGGGCCCCCGATAATGGTCTTCCCGACAACGGTGCCTGAAAGCTTAGTCTGTTATAACGGGAAGTGCATGTACAAAGACATTGGATTGGTCCGGCTGGATAATGTGACAATAAGGGTCCTTCGGCATAGCCTTTAGCGCTTATTGTGGTGACTTTATCGGCTGTCATAAACTTTGTCCGCCGGCGGTACATGATTCAGGACACGAAAATCGGGATACGAAAGCCATCGGAGAATTAAGAGAATTTCTTCCAGCTAATACGAGTTTCATCGTTTCTAATACGCTTCCTAGCGCTTGTAGTAGTTTTCAAGCAAGAAGACTTTTCTCTTGTATCTGTTGTTTAAAGAAAACAAATTTTCGAGATGATAGTTATGGCTTATAACAATGCAGTTGTATCATTAACAAGCGTTATGTATATCAATTCGTTGCCAATTCATATACTCGAAAAGTTCAGTATTTAAATATCGATTGTGTCGTTTAGTATTTAATACGCATTTAGAAGCTGTAAAGCGCTATCTTTATTGCATTAATAGGGGTAGGCTCTAACACCGGCGGATCTTGCGCCCTTCCGCAAACCGGCCGGTTTCGAAAATGACATATAACTTAGTTTATAAAAGTTTTCCGAGTTGCATTAATATAGATAGATTCTAGTTTTTTTTTTTTTTTTCATCCAATCAATTATCATATCATTAGCAATTTGATTGGCTCATTGAATGTGTGCTATTCACCCCTTTCTATAACCGGGACAATGGGCCTACTGGAAGATGGAGGCCTCTTCAGAAACTGTTATAGACTGATCAAGCCGTACTTCTGAGGAGATTCATCCTCTTCAGAGTATTCATTTGCATCATCTACTCATACTCTCTGCTCTAAGTGACCAATGATTACTTTTGGCCTCACAGTTGAACTCAAGCAGCCGGAAACCTGCCAAAGGGTGGAGCTTGAAACAAATGTTCTTTTTTCCGTCTGAGTCCAATGTAGAAAACACAATTTGTCCGTAACTTCGAACCAAGACACGCAAAAATGTGACTGCCAACATGAAAACAGATATTGAAAGGGAGGCATGATAGATGCTAAACCATAAACACAGACACACATATATAAGCTTCCATCTATTAACTGTATCAGTAATTTTCCGTACTGTAAAACATAAACGTAAATAAACTATGAATGTGACATCTCTATCTGGTTCAGAAACTGTATGTAGGTGCTCCAAAATACGGATCATGAGATGACTCAGATCTCAAATTTTGGAACATCTTAGGGCAATGTGGATGCGTTGTGGGCTAGTAATTCCACAATTACCTTGAGAGGCCTATCTCTCAAAAGCTTGCCGAATCATCTCGCAAAATGGGAGCTCTTACAATCCAAAACTATGACAGGACAGTTAAGGTCTTTGGTAAAACGATGAAAGAATCATGTCGTCTACTTGAGCCTTCCCAGAATTAAGCAGTCGGACAAAAGCGAACTCTACGTAAGTCAGGTCCAAGGACAAAACCTAATCCCGCCTAGGGACTTGCCCCTGATATGAATAGATGATGGAAACGCTTTAAACGTGGAAAGGAAGATACTAAATTACACGGCTGATGTATCACACGGTCATCACAGTACAGCAAAAGACAGACTTATCAAGCATAAGTCAGCGCCCAATATTAGTTTATCATGCTGCATACAGTTTGTTATAAAGCGTAAATACCGTTTCGTACTGCGACCGTCTCGCTCTCGCTCTATGCAGGCATTTGATAAGCAGATTGGTTGAGAAGAATTAAGCATCTTGGAAATTACAGAGGCATGCCATAAGTGAGGATTAACTTGGATGAAGCAGATTCAGGAGATGTACAAGTAATATCCATCCGAACTTGCGATAGTCAGAAGTAGTTTATGTAAGAGAAGGCACATATAGCGACCCAGGGCTATATTATTTGCCTTATGGAGCCACTTGCACAGTTTACTGAGCATCTTCTTTAAAATTCTTGACTGGCGGTTATATCAAGCAAGAGGCAGATTTAAATCCATTTGAAAGGAATACCATGTTCATAAATCCCAAACCCAGTCGTGCAGCCCTCAAGATGAGCAACTTACCCCGCCTTGTAAAATGACAGCTCCTACACAAACAAATGACCAGCCTTTAATAAGATTCAGTGCTTGTTTGGGCACCAGGAGACGAATACGTGGAGCATTTTATACAGGGTTGCAACACTGCCTGACCACTTAAATACGGCAGCAGCTGCATTGCCCCCTGCATGGTGTGAACCCATCACGTAGTGCCAGCGCATCCAGCATCCATGTAGCGAATCATCTGAGGCTGTTAATTACGCGTATGTATTCAACGCACACGTATCTTAAGTCAGGCTCCAGTATCATTGCTGGGCGCGAAGTATTATTTGCCTATCGCCTTCCGATTCTCGCTGCCGCTTCTTCGCTTCTTTCCTCAAGCCCGGTTGCAAATATCTCTTGGTCAATGTTCTAGCCACAGCTTTCTCTCGTCCAGACTACGTTATCATGCCGGATCCTCAAACTTATACAGTCGGCTGGATCTGCGCTATTATTACCGAGCTTGTGGCTGCGCAATCCTTCCTCGACGAAGAACACGACGATATTCAGCCAAGTGTCACAAACGACAACAACACCTATGTCCGGGGTAAGATTGGAAACCACAATGTCGTTATTGCTATTTTGCCTCATGGAGAATATGGCACGGCCTCTGCTGCTATCGTTGCGCGAGATATGCTACGCAGTTTCCCCAACGTGCGCATTGGATTGATGGTCGGCATCGGAGGTGGTGCCCCAAGTCCAAAGCATGACATACGATTAGGCGATGTTGTGGTCAGCAGCCGCAGTGGCGACAAAGGGGGCGTATTCCAATACGACTTTGGCAAGACCATACAGAGCCAGGCTTTTCAAGAAACTGGCTTCCTTAACCAATCGCCGACGGTGTTGCGGACCGCAGTTGGTGTACTCGAAGCTCGATACGAAATGAATGGTCATACTCTCGATGAGAGCATTGAATCAGCTTTGAAGAAAATCAAAAAGCGCAAAAAGTATTCGCGCCCACCACCAGCTACCGACCGACTATATCAATCCGACGTTGAGCATCTGTCGTCGGTGGACAATTGCAGCGAAGGATGCGGGGATGATGCCACTCGCCTAGTAACCCGAGACGAACGGGATGAGGAAGATGACTACCCTGTTATCCACTATGGATTGATTGCCAGCGCAAATCAGGTAATGAAAGATGCAATCACTCGAGACAAGCTGGCGGCAGAAAAGGGAGTCCTCTGCTTCGAGATGGAAGCAGCCGGCCTGATGAACCACTTTCCATGTGTTGTGATCCGTGGCATATGCGACTACTCGGATTCTCACAAGAACAAGGAGTGGCAGGGTTTTGCAGCCATGGCAGCGGCTGCTTATGCAAAGGATCTTTTGCTTCGAGTTGCCGCTGACAAAGTCGAAGAAATGCAGAGGGCTATAGATAAGCTGAACTTAGGTTAGTCCTATTCACAATCGCAGAAGACTAAAAACTGATATCAAGTAGTTCATGAGGATACCCAGATTATCAGGCAAGTATAGGTTCATGAGGATCAGCAACCAATGGCTAACGGTGCATCGCAAGGAATGTTGTGGCTTCCATTGACACAACAACATCCCTTAACCAACTACCAATTGCTGAAGGGGCTTCGTTTGACTCTCGAGCCGAGGAAGGAAACGAGACTTGTCTACCCAACACTAGGGTCGAATTACTTGAGAAACTATCCGTATGGATTGCAGAACCAAGCTCCAAACCAATATTCTGGCTGAACGGTATGGCAGGGACGGGCAAATCAACCATAGCTCGTACTTTGGCTCAAGCCCGAGCCGAGGCAAAAGATCTCGGTGCTACCTTCTTTTTCAAGAGAGGAGAGACTGATCGAACAAGCCTCAAGAGTTTTGTAGCGACTCTTGCTCGCCAGTTGGCTACAAATGTTCCGGGACTTGATGTACATGTCAAGGCTGCAATCGATGTCGACTCAACTATTATTGACAAACGAGTACAAGACCAATTTAGGAGACTCATCATTGAGCCACTCTCGAAAATTTCCAACGCTCAATCCTCACTTGTTTTTGTCATTGATGCTTTGGATGAGTGTGAGCAAGATAGCGATGTGTCGCTGCTTATTCGGCTTTTCTCAACCGCGCAGAGTACCAGCTCTCGGCTCCGAATTTTTATAACCAGCCGACCGGAACTTCCCATTCGCCTTGGATTCAACGACATCAAAGGCACTTACGAGGGCCTAGTCCTCCATGAAATTCCCGCGCCAACGATTGAACATGACATCAAAGTCTTTCTTCGACAAAAGCTGGACAGCATAAAAAGAAAATCTGACCATTTTCCAGAAGGACCAAAACTACCACAAGACTGGCCTGGCGAAGCTACTATACAGAACCTTGTTATGATGGCCATTCCTTTGTTCATTTTTGCATCAACTATTTGCCGACTGATCGGTGACTATAGACTGGGCAACCCACAGAGTTTACTGGATGAAGTTCTCAGCCAAGAAAACAGGGATGGTTCCTCCCAGCTTCATATGACTTATTATCCAGCTCTGAAACAGCAATTTGCTAGCTTGCCAGATCATCAAACCGATAAGCGTAAGAAAGTCGTCACGAGTTTTCGACTAATCGTGGGCACAATTGTAACCCTTTTCCAACCTTTGTCTACGGCTTCAATATCTCGACTCCTCGATATTTCTGAGGACGCAGTGGCTGATAGACTGAGATTGCTCCACTCGGTCTTGAATATTCCAACGGATCGCGAACGCCCTATACGACTACTGCATCTATCATTTCGAGATTATCTCATCAATCCTCAAACTATGAAGGAGAAGGACTTCTGGATAGATGAAAGGCTGGTGCACCAGAATCTAGCAAGTCATTGCCTACGTATTATGAGCCTTCATCTACGAGAGGATGTATGCGGCCTACAGCATCCAGGCTCACGCCGATCCGATGTCACGATTGAACAAATCAGAATAAATGTTCCGATAGAACTTGAGTATGCTTGTCTCTACTGGATACAGCATGTAGCAGCAGAGAACCTTGAGTCAGATACTACTGAGGAGATTCATGGCTTTCTGCAGCAATATTTTCTGCATTGGACCGAGGTGATAACCCTCGTTGGAAGGCTTACAGAGGGGGTTCCTTTGCTCACAAAACTACGAGACTGTGTACAGGTAAGCAACGCTTTCGAGGTAGCCGGGAACCTACTAACGCTATATAGAGAGCAAAGGAGCACCTCAACCAACCTTTGACCGATTTTATTACGGATGCAATACGTTTCCTGCGTTTGAATTTTTCCGTTATCAATGAATCACCGTTGCAAATATATTCCTCTGCATTGCTTTACGCACCTGGAAAAAGTCACGTTAGAGTGCAAAATGCTGATAAGATACCAAAATGGATTTCCCTTAGGCCTATAGTAGGAGACAACTGGGATCCATGTCTTTTGGTATTAGAGGGCCATAGCGATCGAGTCAATTCAGCTGTTTTCTCACACGACTCTAAACTAGTGGTATCAGATTCAGATGATGAAACAGTCCGCATCTGGAGCACCGAAACAGGAGAATGCAGGCACATCTTAGATGGTCATAGCAGTTCAGCCAAGTCAGCGGTCTTCTCACACAACTCTGAGCTAGTAGCATCAACCTTATCTGATAATACAGCTCGTATCTGGAGCACCGAAACGGGCGAATGCAGGCAAATCTTAAAAGGTCATAGCGACTCAGTCACAATCGTGACGTTCTCACACAACTCTGAGCTAGTGGCAACAACTTCATATGATAAAACAGTTCGGATCTGGAGCACCGAAACAGGTGAATGCAAGCAAGTCTTAAAGGGTCATGGCGACATAGTCAACTCCGTGATGTTTTCACACGACTCTGAGCTAGTGGCAATAACCTCAGATAATAAAACAGTCCAGATCTGGAACACCCGCACTGGAGAAGACAAACTGGTTCGGAAGGGGCAAGGCAATCCCCCCAAGTCAGCAGCGCTCTCTCTAAACTTTAGCCTAGTGGCATTAGCCTATGAAGATAACACAGTCCAGATCTGGAGCACTAATACAGACGAGTGCAAGCATATTCTAGAGGGTCATGATAGCCAGGTCAGGTTAATGAAGTTCTCGAATGACTCCAAGCTAGTGGCCTTGGCTGGGGACGGAACTGTTGGACTCCGGATTTGGAATCTCAGCACAGGCGAATGCAAAGCTTTGGAGAAAATTTGGGTCGACTCAATGGCATTTTCACATGACTCCAAGCTAGTAACAGTAGCCTCGAGCGAGAACAACATCCAGATCTGGAGCACTTATACAGGCGAGTGTAAGCAAACTCTGGATGGCCATAATCGTCGGGTCGAGTCAGTCATGTTTTCTCATAACTCTAAGCTTCTGGCGTCAGCCTCCAACGACGGCACAGTCAGGATTTGGGACGTCACTTCAAGCAACCGCAGAGTTCCAGAAATTCACAGCAATAGAGTTTGGTCAGTGGCATTGTCTCCTGATTCCAAGCTAGGGGCATCGGGCTCAGAGGATCATACAATCCGGATCTGGTGCACTGAAACAGGCGAGTGCAGGGTTCTAAAAGGCCATAGCGATTATGTCATATCTGTGACATTCTCGCATGATTCAAAGCTTTTATTATCATTCTCACATGATCATACAATCCGGATCTGGTGCATTGAAACAGGCGAGTGCAGGGTTCTAGAAGGCCATAGTGATAATATCTATTCTGTGGAATTCTCGCCTGATTCAAAGCTTGTAGCATCAGGCTCACAGGATACAACAGTCCGGATCTGGAATACTGATACAGGCGATTGCATTATACTAGAAGGCCATAGCGGTGCTGTACGTTCTGTGATGTTCTCACATGACTCCATGCTCGTGGCATCGGGCTCATTCGATAAAACGGTCCGGATCTGGTGCACTAAAACAGGAGAGTGCATTTTTCTCAAAGAGCATAGCTCTGAGGTCTATGTGGTGGCATTCTCACATAGGTCTAAGCTAGTGGCATCGGTTTCGCTTGATGATACAGTCTGGATCTGGAGCGTCGACACGGGCGAGTGCATACAAGTGATCCAAGTACCATATCGTGCTGGAAAGCTATGCTTCAACGCCACTGACACATCCATTTCCACAGATGCCGGAACTGTACCCTTGAACCTCCAACCCAGTGCTATATCATCTAATCCACCTTCTATGAGAGACTCATCCGCAATAACAGATCTCTCTATCGATGAAGAGATGGCTTGGGTTAGTTGGCGCCAAAAGAAGATCTTGTGGCTTCCAACAGACTGCCGTGGAGGGGAAGCAGCTGTCCGCGGATCAATAATCATTTTAGGATGCCGGTCAGGGAGAGTGCTTCTGATACGCTTTTGTATAGAGGAGCTTGAGGCTTTGGCTGGTTAGTCTTTCTAGTCGAAGCAACTAAGCTAAAAGGCAAGAGACTCGTATGAATTGATACCTTTTGCTGCAAAATCACGACAGAAGACTGACTTTATTTTTGCACATGTGATTCTGATAAGCAGCTGCTACTTCTATAAGCATGCCTACTGTAATTACGATGGGCAGCCTGCCATATTGCACTGGTAGCCAAACAGAATAGCATTGAAATTGTTACACACAAGACCAGAAAAGAAAAACCACAGTAGTCTGTTGTATATTAGATCAACAGCGCAAAAGAGTACTGAATACGTAGCAACAGCACTCATCCTGACAGAACCAGCCGTTTTAAAACGATCCGTCTTTTACGCTACAAGGGGCTAGGTTGGAACAAGAGTATTTCCATAGTTACAAATTTTGTTATGATAGATGCATTAAAGAAAAATGAAAAGTATTAATTCCAGCTTTGCTACTATAGTTTTTCTCCGTCTTGGTTTCGATGCAAAAATTTTCTTAGCTTGGTGATAGTCGCCCAGTGTTGTAGAAACAAACATTTGCTTTTCATCCCATAGGCATTATTATGCCACTCACTGCTTCAATGATGCAGACTATAAATATGCGAACTTTTTTCTTATCGGAATTTCCAAGAAAAATGCATTGGCCACGTTATTTGTGAAGGCGGCGCGGCGCGCTTGGAACGCTACGTAGCCTACCCTGTAATACTAACTCATGATCTTCTTATCGATAGCGGTAAGATAAGGCGGCTCCGACAAAAAAAGTTTCCGTTATCTCTCTATACACGGCGAGACTCCAGTGCCAGCGCTTTGAATCTCGACGTTGATGAAAATCCTTGTTTCACTATAGCATCTGCTTTTATCGCCACAATGCCTTCAAGAGCTGGTGCGCGGCAGCCGCCAAAACACAAGCCAAACAAAACAGAGATCAAAAAGCAAAAGAGGAAGCGCGATCATGAAGACCTGCAGAAGATTGAAGAGGCCATCCAAGAGCTGGTGGGTTGCATGAAGCGCAAGCAAATTCTGGTATGCATTTCTCTCTGGCTGACCTCGACTATGTACAGGATCCAAAGTCTGGCAAGATTAAGACATTTGCCGACCTGTCTTCAGCAATCTCGCCCGCGACAGCATCCGGCCTGCATTCATCGCATTTCACGAATATGACCGAAATCCAAGAACAAGCGATCCCGTTGGGGTTGAAAGGAAAAGATATCCTCGGCGCAGCAAAGACAGGTAGCGGCAAGACGTTGGCTTTCTTGGTCCCAGTGCTGGAAAAGCTCTATCGTGCGCAATGGACAGAATTCGACGGCCTCGGTGCGCTCATCCTCTCCCCGACTCGCGAGCTGGCAGTTCAGATTTTCGAAGTCCTGCGAAAGATTGGTCGACACCACGCATTCTCAGCTGGTCTGGTTATTGGTGGAAAGAGTTTGAAGGAAGAAGCTGAGCGATTAATCCGAATGAACATCCTTGTTTGTACGCCAGGACGAATGCTGCAGCACCTGGACCAGACGGCCGGCTTCGACGCGAACAACCTGCAGATTCTGGTGCTGGACGAGGCGGATCGCATCATGGATCTAGGATTTCAATCTGCGGTAGATGCGCTGGTTGAGCATCTGCCCAAATCTCGCCAGACCCTCATGTTCAGTGCCACACAGAGCAAGAAAGTCTCAGATCTTGCCCGACTCAGCCTCAAAGACCCCGATTACGTCTCTGTGCACCAAGATGCAACAGCTGCCACTCCCGCCACTCTTCAACAACACTATATCGTCACACCCCTCCCCGAAAAGATTGATACTTTGTATGGATTTATCAAGGCAAATGTCAAGAGCAAAATCATCGTATTCCTTAGCTCCGGTAAACAGGTCCGATTCGTCTACGAAAGTTTGCGTCATCTTCAGCCTGGTATCCCGCTACTCCATCTTCACGGCCGTCAAAAGCAGATCGCACGATTGGAAATCACAAACAGATTCACAGCTGCAAAGACGTCATGTCTGTTTGCGACTGACGTGGTTGCGCGAGGTATCGATTTCCCGGCTGTCGATTGGGTCATCCAAGCAGACTGTCCCGAAGACACCGATACATATATCCACCGAGTCGGACGGACGGCTAGATATGAGAGCAATGGCCGTGCTGTTCTCTTCCTCGACCCTAGCGAAGAGGAGGGAATGATTAAGAAGCTGGAGCAGAGGAAGATCCCTATACAAAAAGTACACGTCAAGGACAAGAAGAAGAAGACTATCAGGAATAATCTACAGGACATGTGTTTCAAGAATCCCGATCTGAAATATCTGGGCCAAAAGGCCTTCATCAGTTATACCAGATCAATTCATCTGCAAAAGGACAAAGAGGTGTTCAAGTTTGATGCCCATGATTGGGATGCCTATGCTGCGAGCTTGGGTCTGCCCGGAACCCCACAGATCAAATTCCAGAAGGGCGAGGATATCAAGAGAATAAAGAACGCGCCTCGCCAAGGAATGTTGAGCGATTCAGAGTCTGACATGGATCTGGATGGAGCGTATGATAAGAAGAAGAAGGACAAGAAGAAGCAAGAGGTGCGGACGAAATACGACAAGATGTTTGAGCGAACAAACCAGGACGTTTTGTCGAGCCATTACTCTAAACTTGTGTTGGACGGAGGCAAAGCGACTAAAGAGGGTGGTGACGATGACGACGACGACGACGACGACGATTTCTTGGCTGTAAAGAGGCGATTAAACGACGATGATCTTGATGCAGTCTCCGGGAAAGCACCCGTCAGTGGCGCCAAAGTCATAGAGCTAGGCGGCGACGACCTCTACGTCGTAGACTCAAAACGCCGCGAAAAGGCCCTTCAGTCCAAGAAGAAGATGGCCAAATTCCGAGGCAACTCCTCCAAATTGGTCTTTGACGAGGACGGCAACGCGCACGAAGTCTACGAGCTCCAGGACGAAGAGGACTTCAAACAGCAAGGCCCCGCGGATGAACAGCGACAGAAATTCGTCGAGAGCGAAACAGTACGTGTCAAGGAGGCCGATGTGGACGACAAGCTGCTCGCGAAGCAAAAGAAGCGAGAGAAGAAGTACAAGAAGAAAGAAAGAGAAGCCATGGAGATGGCGGGCGGAGCTGACCCGAGACTGGAAGGCCCCGAGGACGGAGAAGATCCGCTGGCGCTGCTGCGTTCTCTGCCCATGGCTGGAGAGGACCGCAGTGATGATGGCGCTTCTGACGCCGAGCCGCCGAAGAAGAAGGCCAAGAAGTGGTTCCAGGATGACTCGGATGAGGAGGATGCCAAGAAGAAGAGCAAGGGCGGGAAGAGGAAGAAGGTCTTTGAGGTGGATCAGGAGCCTGAGACGCTGGAAGATTTGGAAGCTTTGGCTGCGGGCTTGTTGGATGATTAAAAGGGAGCATTGTGTTATACCCTTGGTTGATGTGGTTGTTGATGTTGTTCATTGTAGATGGAGGGGATGTAATATAGAGCATAATTCCGTATTTAGATGTAAAAGCATTGACAGTTTTCATCGCAAAAAGAAAAGGAGAGTTTGTATCGGTGATATATTCTCCATTTTCAACCTATTTTTACCCTGCGTATTCAAACGCACTTTCATTGAACTCTTCAACTCCCAATGCACACGTAGTGTCATGAAATCTAGATAAGCCATCCTCCCAATAGTATCTCTTCTCAGAGCATGAATAGAGAATTGCAAAAACAGTGACAAGAAGCACATGCACAATACTAGTATTAATACCAACAACACCATAGTCACGAGCAGCCCCCAAAACTCTATTGTTTCATTCAAATACGTAAGAATAAGCCACATTCTCATCCGTACAAGACTCGAAAAAAGGCATTTCTCTATATGGGGTATTCTTCCTATATAATACTAATTCATCTCTCTCTCATCTGCCTATTTGTAATTTCCGACCCTACTCTGCGTGCGCCTGGCTACCACAAAGCAAAAACAGCACATAAGATGCTTAACCCACTAATAAAAGGGAAAAAGAGACAAAAATTCAAGAAGAGATCAAGCATAAAATAAATAAAAAAAACGCTCCTATGACGCCGCCAAATGCATTCCCCCCCTTCATTTCCTTTCCCATTTTCATACATCATCTTCTTTGTACCCATAGAGACGAATGCGGTAGAAACACGTGTGATTCGGAGCACCGTAGTTGCTTACGGCCCGAACAATCACCTGGTCCGTCTCCGCGTTAAGAGCCACGAGTTCGCTGCTGAGGCGATGGACATGAACGCCATCGTGCAACTCTGCGCCCTCGTACACGAACTGCGAGACTTTGACAAACTGAAAAGGCAAATCAGCCGGCGTATAGTTCCAATCGAATTGATCTTCGGGGTAATTTGCCGCCGCAAAGTCCAGGAGGCGCTCTCGCACAGCTCTGTCCTCAATCTTAATGTACACTTCGATTTGGCGAGGTCGGGCTCCGGGGTTCGTCGTCGCGCCGGGCAAGATGTGTTCAATCACAATGTGCTGAGGGATGATGGAATGGCCCATGATGACGCTCAGCTTAGCACCATGTGGATTACCGCGCTTGTTGACCTCGCGCGCAGCACACCAGCAATCACCGTCGTCATGCCAAGGGAGCAGAGCCTCTATAGGTGGATACGGTTGAGCACCCTTGAGACCTTTGTCGTTGAGGTATTTCGCATCGGGCTTGAATGTCGTAGAGGTCTGTTTGACATCCACAATCGCTCCTGCGCCGACTCCAAAGTAGTTGACTTGGTTCTTCAGATCGGTGTCCCAGTGTGCACGAATCTGGCCCTTGGCCATGGCCTCCAAATTGAGATCAGCAATAGCCTTACGTATTGATCTGTCAACAAGTTTGGTGACTTCTGCGCGCGTTAGGCTCGAAGAATCATCCTTCTTGGCGAGCTCGAGAGAGTCACGTATCTGTTGCTCTAGCCTGGGCTGTAACTCGTTAATTTCAGCCTTCATCTCGGTCCAGTGAGCGGCAAACTCGTTCTTCAAGTATTGCAAGAAATACTCGCGAGTTACGACAGTGCTATCGCTCTTGGTACTCTCAACATGCTTCTTGATTATCTGATCAAGGCGCTTATCAAGGTCCTTATCGGAGAGAGATCCGGTGATTTTCATCTTGTCGAGGATGGGACGGAGTGTTTTCTCAACTCTGCGCTGATTGTCGCCTGCCCATGCTTCCCACATGTGCGGTAGCTTTTTGGCAATTGCGTCGTTCGCTTCATTAATTTTGGAAGCGATTTCAGGACGTCCTGCCACCCACGCGGCAATATCCTTCCATTGCTTCTCTGTCGATGGTTCGTAATTATTGCCCTTCTTATCTAGCATTGGGAAGCTGCCGTCCTTCTCGATCAAATCTCGCATGGCATGCCAAAACTCTTGTGTGATGACTGGTTTTCCGTCTTTGAGCGTCATGTGTACCATCTTGGGAACGACTGTGTTTAGCTTCTCGATTGATGACTCGTGAAGCTTCCCGGCACCCTTCATCAGGCGGAGATCTCGTAATACCTGGTTGATTAGACCCTCAAACTCAGCATACTTGGCACCTCGCAGGTCATCCAGTTCTGGAAACTCATCCCACGCGCTTCGTGAAGGCCAGGAAATGGACGGCATGTAGTTTCCAATTCGAGAAGCAAGGTCTCCAAAGCCAGGTGGCGTTGGTATTGACACTGATGGAACAGAAATGACAGGTAGCTCATCCAAGCTTGGTAAATTGGCAAGGGCAATGCTGGATAGGACAACGGCCAGCATCAGGATAGAAAAGCCACTAACGGTGTATACCAGAGCCTCGCCGATAGCCGAGAGCCGCCGCCGAATAGTCTCCGAGAACAAGCCAGAGAAGAACTCAGAGACAAAGCTGGTGATGCTGTCTATCATGGAGCTGAAAAACCAGTAGATGGCTTGTAAATATGTGAGCGGATTGAACAGCTGCTGCAAGTTGATGGACTCGTCAGTGGCCGCGGAATCGAGTTCTGAATCAAAATCAGAGCCAATATCGGAGGATGCAGTAGAATCATTGTCTCCGTCTCTATACTGCGCGTCTCTAGGTTGAGATCGCGGCCTAAAGCCCCAGGGAAATAGGGACGCAAGAATTCGTCGCAAGGTTCCTTGACGCATATGTAGAGCGTAGCTTTCCGCCTCTCGGATGTTATTCTGCACGGCATCATCCAATTCGCTGTGATCTGATGCAAAGCGAGAGCGAGGTTGCCTAGCACCGGTGGCTGGGGGCAAACGAGCAGAGCTGCTGACATTCCTTTGAGTAAGAACCGCCCGTTGATCTGTGTCCTGCGATTGACTTGCTGTATTTATAGTGGCTGGTGGTTTCTGACTGCGTGTCCTCGCTGTAGATTGATTCTGTTCGGTTGGTCTGCTCGTGCCAGTCGTCTGGCTTATCTGAGAGTCAGACTCGGGAGGGCTGACAGGTCCAAGAATCCTTCCTCCTAAAAGGCTCTTGACGGCGCTCCAAGCTCTGTTTGGAGTCGGATTGACTCGATCTGGGGTGGTCCGATCATACTGGTCTTGTGTTGTCCCCAGAGACGAAACAAGTGGTCGGCGGTGATTTGCCGTTCTGTTTAGCGGAACAGGTAGGAGGGCTGGTTTTTGTTGCGGCATCGGTGAAAGTCTTAATGAGGCATTACCAAAATAATCGCCTTCAGCGTCGAAGCTGCGTAAGTCAGAGTCATCACTTTCGGTGGGAGTGAGTTCTCCGTCCTCGTCATCTCCTTCGGTCTCATCTTCATCTTCATCTTGGTGGAATGATATGTCAAAGGCCATTTTTGCGGTCGCATCTGTTTTCGCTGCAAGAGTGATCAGTTTTCATATTGATCACTGAAGTAAACCGTTCAAGTGAGAATACATACCTAACTTTGAAGAACGCGGTTGTTGATTTGTCTCATCGTCTGAGCCCAACTCTGAGTCATGGTCGCTTGAAGTAGGTTCTCTTGTGAGATCATATCGATGAGCCGTTTGTGAATTTGACTGAAGTCTCTGCAGCTCTCTCTCTTCCTCGGCCTCCTGAAGTTCTTGTCTCTGAAGAACATTGTTCATAGCCTCCTCAAGGCTCAGGGGCATTCCGTCATTGCTGAGGCGACGAGGGGCAGAAGGCTCAGTTCCGGCGCCATATGCATACTGGCGCCTTGCGCTGGGCGCGCCTTTTAAAGTAGGAAGATTTGGTTTTTTGAAATCTTCGACTTCCGTCTGCGTGGGCCGTCGCGCAGCATTTCCACGATCCCTTGACCGTAGTCTCCCACCTCGGCCTACTCCATTCATCGTGATAGCAAAGTGAAAAGCGTCTTAAGCTGCGGCGTATAAGGAGACGAGGGAGCAGTGGTTGTGTTGAACAGGATATAAAATTTGGTGGGTATCGAAGATGAGAATGCTTGAGGGCTGATATCTTCAAATAGCAGCGAGTCTAGATCTGGGATTGACTGAACAAAGGCGGCCGTGATCTAATTTTGTCTCCAGCTCAAAATCCGGGTTTGTTGGTGGCTGGGCCCCAGATTCTTTGTGTCCTTGCCAAGATGAATCCTTACTGGGCGAGAGCTGCGATCAACAAAGAGCATCTTTGTGAACTTTGGGCACGACGCATGGCACCTGAGCCGGCGGTAGGGCGATGTCAAGACGCTCGCTTGGTTTGTATCCAGGCCGAACAATGAGGGCCTTTGAGCAGATCGGGATTGAGGCCGTGAGAAATTCGTTTTCGGAAATGCAGAGCTGCTTTTGTCGTATTCTTTTTTCCCAATGAGATGCCTTTGAGCCTTAGTTTGCGCGGACGACTTCACTGAGGCGCGCAGGTAGCGTGACGCGCCGAGGCTTAAGCGGCGCATTTTGGGCGAAACATCAGGCACGATTCATCACGGTCACGTGCGCGTCAGGAGATGGTCTATTGCGAAGTACTGGCAGTATTCGGCGTTTTTAACATGGTGTAGGAATTCTTTTTCTGAGTATATGGTATTTTCTTGGCAATTTCTTCTTCTACGAATGATTGAAATGCACATGCAGTGGCCAGCGGTCCTCAACGATTTAGTGCACGGCGCCTCGGCGAGGGTCTTTCAGCGCATTGCCCTGCAGCTGCGGTGGGCTTTATTGTTACTCAAGATCAATGAGCAAGGAAGCACAACAGGGAAGATTGGCTTATAACCATAAACGGACATGAACTTCGTCAGATTATAAAATCAAGTTTCACCTAGATGAGACGACATATCGCAGTCAATAATACAAGCATAAGCTGATTCCGCCAGCGCAGATCTTGCCAACTTTGCGCATCGTCGGAATCGAGTCTATCTGGAAAACATGGCGAACAGGGGCCATGTCAGATATGATGATGTGCGTCTCATCTTAGAGACGAGCATCAGCAACGCAAATGATCTGCAGGCAACACAAGCTTCGCATCTCCTATTTTGTGACATGTTTATTCGAACATTGCAGAATAGAATCAAGGGGCAATGACTTTTCTTTGGCATGAGATTACACGGTACCATCCGGGCAAATGCATCATCGCAAGTTGGTGACAACTAGAACGGGGCACGATCGTGATGCAACAAGGAATTTAACAGGGCAGCATCGTTACAGTAGTGTTCAATATTTAGAGGTTGCAACAGCAATTTGAGCTTATACGACTAGCTCATGATAACGGGCTGCAACGTGTTTTAGACTGTGACAATGAATAATGATGCCCCATTTGGCTTTTGCTTCTGGCGTCTTGTCGAATAATAACTCCCCGCTAGAAATCGTGGCAGCACGAGTAGATTGAAACTGAAACGAAAATGTGGGCTTGCTCCATGCTCCCCGTAACATCCATCCGTCTGCGTCTGCAATCCCGTCCACTAAAATCGCCTGCTTTGCTCAATCAGCCATTGTCCAGCCGTCCACGAGTGTTACGAGCATGATTTCAGCCTTTTGAAACATGTCGTTCCGCGCTCAGATCCGGGCTCAGAACAGAGGGCTCAGCTGGATCGGTAGCCAAGTGAGGCTCTCAGTCACGAGCAGCAGCATCCCATTTTGCGCATTTCCATCTCCGTCTTCACGCTCATCCACATCCTTGTCTCTGCCGTTGTCGCCTTCGCCGCCACGTTTGAGATTTGCGGTGGTCGGAGCTCAAGATCGTCACCGGTCCCAGCCAGCGCCCCAGCGGCTGCACCGCTATAACGACTGCTACCGGCACTGCCCCCAGCGCCGCTACCAGCGCCAGCGCGCTGTCGATCCGCGCCTATCAAAACCGCTAATATCAGCCGTATCCGCAATCCGCATAGCACAAGCACAAGCGCAATCACAAGCTGCAACTCCATCGTCGTCTCGCAGCAATAAATTGCGCTCCCCCCTCTTGCCTCGAGCTAATCCTGTGTTCTCCAATCCCGCGACTCCTCACCGCAGACTCTCTAGACGTCACTTCTCGAGCTCTCCAACCACAACCACAATGCCTGTCGGAACTGTCCTCGTCACCGGGTACGACCCCTCTCTCCCATCTCGCACCTCGCGGCTTCCCCTCCATCTTGCTTCTTTTTTGCTTGCGCGCTTATTGCCAAACTTGTTGCGCTGCTGTGCGCGCTGCGTCAGCTTGGTGTTTGCGACGCGCCGCGATACGATGCGAGGCAATGCGATGCGATGCGATCATTGCCATTTGGATTTGTTGACTGACAAACAATTCGCAGTGGAACGGGCTACATCGGCTCCTTCACGACTCTGGCCCTGCTGGACGCCGGCTACGATGTCGTCATTGTCGACAGCCTCTACAACTCCTCCAAGGTCGCCCTCGACCGCATCGAGCTGCTGGCTGGCCGCCGTCCCGACTTCTACCAGATTGACATCACCGACGAAAAGGCTCTGGACGAGGTGTTTGCCAAGCACCCCTCCATCGACAGCGTCATCCACTTTGCCGCATTGAAGGCAAGTTTGGCCCCGCACTCAGTTTCGGTTTGCGATGCGACACAGCAAGCGACAGCAGATGGGATTGAAAATGAAGAAGAGAAAGAGAACAACAAGTTAACATTATCCAACCGTGTTCCAGGCCGTCGGAGAGTCTTCCGTGATCCCTCTCGAGTACTACCGCGTCAATGTCGGCGGCAGCATTGCCCTCCTCCAGTCCATGTCCCGCAACAATGTCACCAACATCGTCTTCTCCTCCTCCGCCACCGTCTACGGCGATGCTACTCGATTCCCCAACATGATTCCCATCCCCGAGCACTGCCCCATTGGCCCGACCAACACTTACGGCCGCACAAAGTCCATGATTGAGGACGTCATCTCCGACTACATCAATGCTCAGCGCAACAACCTGGAGAAGGAGGGCAAGCCTTTCCAGCAGTGGAATGGCGCTCTGCTGCGCTACTTCAACCCCTGCGGTGCCCACCCCAGCGGTATCATGGGCGAGGATCCTCAGGGTGTTCCTTTCAACCTGCTCCCCCTGCTGGGACAGGTTGCCACAGGCCAGCGCGAGAAGCTCCTTGTCTACGGAGAGGGTGAGTGGTAGCATTTTCTTTAAATGCGCCTGTGAAGCGCATTGCGCGATATCGAAACTAACACATTTTTTCCTATAGACTACCCTTCTCGCGACGGAACCGCCATCCGAGACTACATTCACGTTGTCGATCTTGCTCGAGGCCACTTGGTCGCTCTCAACTACCTCCGCGCCAACCAGCCCGGTGTCAAGGCCTGGAACTTGGGTTCTGGTCGTGGCAGCACTGTCTTCGAGATCGTCAAGGCATTCAGCGCCGTCGTTGGTCGCGATTTGAAATACGAGGTCGTTGCCCGCAGAGCCGGCGATGTCCTAGACTTGACTGCCAACCCCACTCTGGCCAACACCGAGCTGAACTGGAAGACTGAGCTCACCATGGAGAAGGCCTGCGAGGACCTCTGGCGGTGGGTCAGCAACAACCCCCAGGGATACCGACAGGAGCCCCCGGCTGAGTTGTTGGCTGCTGTCAAGAAGGCGTAAAGAAAAAAATGAAATGAAAATCTAAATGAAATGTTATAGCGAAACAAAGACGCGGAAGAGAAGAGTTGGATGAAAAGCTTAAAATAGACATGAATAATCGATTTGGAATGTCGCCAAGAGGAGCGTTATTTACAAAATTGGATTTGAACAAAGAATTCCCCCGTGTTTCACGATAGAATGAAGGAAGAGAAAAGAACAGAAAATTAATTACGAAAAAATATACTCAATTAGTAAACAGACAATGCTTCATGTTTAGTTTTATTTCATTCTAAATAGCAATGCTAATTTTATAATATTTTACAACAACTACTCAATCTTAAGCAGCAGCTTGCCGGTTGTTCCTCTGCTCTCGAGGTCAATGTGCGCTTGGGCAGCGTCTTTGAGCGAATAAATGTTGTGGATCTTGACCGCGACCTTTTTGGAGATGACAAGGTCAAAGAGCTCGGAAGTGTACTTTTCAAGGTCTGCTCTTTCAGCGACGTAGCCGTTGACAATGGGTCTCATCAGCTTGACGTTTTTGGGGCCGAGCTGCAGGATGTTGACGGGGGGAACGGCTCCAGACTGGATATTCATTAGCACTGGCTTCATTCTCTCATTTTCTTTGTACATATTGTTCCTTTTTTCTTTGTTCCTTATGATCGGGACAACTTACTGCATTGCCGAATGAGATGAGGTGTCCCTTGAGGGCAATCATCTGCAAATCAGCATCAAACGTGGCCTTGCCAACGCCGTCAAAGATGGCATCAACGCCATGTCCGCCCGTAATCTCCTTGACCTTGCTCACAATGTCGTCATTCGAGTTCACCAAGTAATCCGCGCCGTAACCCTTTGCCAGCGCCAGCTTCTCATCCGTGCTCGCCGTCGCAATGATCTTGGCCCCGACGCTCTTCAGCATCTGCACCAGCAACGTGCCCACGCCGCCCGCCGCAGCATGCACCAGCGTCCACTGGCCGGCCTTGACCTCGCCCGCCTCGCGGATAAACGTCCACGCCGTCAGGCCCTGCAGGAAGATCGCCGCGGCCTCCTCGCTGGACAGCTGCTCGGGAATGGCAACGACCTTTGCGGCGTCCACAGCCGTGAACTCTGCGTAAGCGGCGGAGGGGGCGCCGGCCATGTACGCCACGCGGGTACCTGGAGCGAGCCCCGAGACGGAGGCGTGCGCGGCGACGACTTCGCCTGAAGCCTCACGGCCCATGACCAGCGGCATCGACGGCGCGGGGTACAGGCCGGAGCGGAAGTAGGTGTCGATGTAGTTGATGCCGGCGAAGCGGTTCCGGACGAGCACTTGGCCTGCGCCGACGGCCGGCACGGGGATCTCGGTGTACTCGAGGACCTCGGGGCCGCCAATCTTGGAGATTTGGACGGCCTTCATGGTTGCGGGGATGGGAGCCATTTTGGTGGTGGAAAATGATCTGGTTGATGGCGATGACGGAGTTGAGTGAGACAGTGATGGAGATCGAGACAATGAGGGGGAGGGGCGGCTGAGGGGCAGATGAAGTCGACGATGAGGGGCGCTGAGGAACTGGCGACAGGCTGCTGGTCTTATAATTGGCCTTGCAGTGAGTCTCTGAAGGGGGCGAGACGCAATGGTAATTGATCTCGACATTTGAAAATTGATGTTTTTAAATTGATAACCCAATTGACTATCGGAGATATCGAGTTGATTTAGGACTGCCGAGGGAATCGCCGCGTATTATTAATGATAGCCCGGGAAAGCCCGTGTTACTTGCAAGGCTTATAAGTTGACACGCAGGGCGCAAGAGCCCACTGTATTCTACCCTTATCCACAAGCTCTTAACGGCAAACCACAGAGTCAAAGTGAACAACACAAAATGGGAAAGAAGAGCAACGGCATCCTAGATAGTATATAATTCTGGCCTGTAAATATTTCTTATGGCAAGTAAAGTATAGCGAAATTTAGTTATTGACGATGTATTCATAGGATTGTTAGAAAGACTTGTGAAAAACTACAACAGTGCTCCTTTGGGCTAGGCTTATCTTGTGCTTGATCTCCTACTGATTTAGAAAATGCAATTTACCACGAGCCTCCAAATACTAACATGTTTTTTTTTTTAAATATTGCCACCCGACCCCCTCCTTTGAAGGAAAAAAAAAGGAAAAAAAGGAACAGTTTTCCAGCAACCCAGTTCTAATTCCAGCCATCTAGTAATCTCAACCGACAAGGCAGGTAGTCTACCACATGGGTGAAATATCCAATTGCTATATGCTTATACCTGCACTTAAAAGTAGCAGAAGTAGCAGAAGTAGTACATATAAGTAGCAGTCGCAGTAACCCATGCCATAACTGGATTGCTGGATAACAGCTGGGGTTCTGCATAGCTTTTGCCCGAAAGAAAAGCTTCCCAGGAACGCGATGACTTCCGCCCTAAAACCAAAAAGTACTGCTTCAATCTTCGTTTTCTTCCTTTTTCTGATAGTTTTTTCTTTCCTTTCCATTTCCCCCTTGTGTAAGTCTAGATAAGCTCACCTACTGTAAGGAAGAGACATTTAGAGAAAGACAAAGAGAAGAAATAAGACAAAATCGATAACACTTGCCAAGCGCACATAAGAGCAAAACCATTGAATGTCTTTTTTTTATCATATTCACCAACAACAGATTCCAAGAGCCAAGACCAGTCAACGAGTCTATAGTCCCACAGAACCAACGAATTTTGGTTGGCCAGTCTATTTTGCCAAAATATTGATCTTATCTTAGAGATTCTGAAAGAAGATGTAGCGTGCCATCTTCTCTACTGTCGAGGGGATGATACAGTTGTATTTGCCCGTAACAGTTGCTGCAAACTTCAAAGCTGATGCAAGATGAGCAGTTATACGAACAACCAAATAGTGTCTATCAAAAGGGCGAGAGAGGCAAGACAGGTTCCTGTCGGCTTGATTTCAACATACACTGCCAACGTGTCCGGTATAGAAGTGTTCCTAACGTCTTGTCTTCTCGCACAAGCAACAAGGAAGCCGCTTACTTGCAATATGTGCCATGCCTTTCTCATAATGCCGTTTGAGCCCTTTCCGTGTTGCCACTGTCCTTTCCGTGTTGCCACTGCCCACGTTCTTTAATACATGCTGGTTCCACAACACCGGAACAAAGATTCTACACACTCAAGGGACAAACTGATCTTTCGATTCTCAACGACTGGTGATTTCTCGAATTAAGATTAGAACAATGGATGCGGATTTGTGGCATTTGGCGGCAGACTTTGAATGACATCCCAATGCTCCACAATACAGGTACCCTCCATCCTGTACAGGTCGGCGAACGCACCGATGGGACCCGTCTTTGGTGTTATCTTTACGTGAATAAATGCAAAGTTGTCCTGTACAACTGTGTGAACTCTGTCCAGCTGTGACCCTTCCAGTAGTCCCTCGATGACTGACACAGCAGCGTCGCGACCATCAGGTGTGTTGGTGTTGTGTTGAATGAGGTTGGAAGCGACAAATTTGTCGTAAGTGGCTTTAATCTGAAGCTCGTCATAAAATTCATGAATGAATATCTTCCAAATCATGGCCTGTTCGCTATCTGTAGCAGGACGGGGCGGGCAGAACGGTTCATGTGTCGACAATGTGGATGCTGCTATCGAAGGAAATAAGACCGTACAGACGGTCAAGACTGGCAACAAGGCTTGGGAGTACATCTTGTGACGAAGTTTCCTCGCTTATTCGATGCGAAGTTTATATCAGAGGAGAGTCTTTGAGAGGGACTAGATCCAGGAACTCAAAACTTCTTTTCCCATGGCTGCAGGGCGGAGGAGTCATCTAAATACACTAAGATTTCTTAAAGTCAGTCAGCATGCACACACGCCTGTTCTATCGACTTGTCTTACGGAGCAAGGCGTACAAAATTAGCAACATATAGGGACGTGGCACAGTTACCGACATGCCGCCAGGTTTGGGAAACTTCAAAAGAAGAGATCCGCAAAGGGCAAGTGGAGTCTTGTGAGCCTCACGTTCCCACTCTCCTAGAATGGCAGAGAGGCGCATCACTAAACTTGGGCCTGCAAGAGTGCATTCGGATTTTGATTCCAAACATTTCAGGCCACGGCGGTGCCAGCAGTGCAACTCCACTGCACGGCTTCGACGGTGGTCCCTGATAGGCAACGATTTTGTCTTCGAGGGCTCGGCATTCCGTAAACAATATAATATCTAGACTCAATGAATCTCAACAGTTGAATCCCTTTGGATATACTTCATAACTGCTTTCGTAGAGGTCGATACTCGGACAGCTTTGGATGCAAATCGTATTTCTACTTGCTACAGATTTCTATTCAGATACCTGGTACAAGTCAATTGGAAGGACGACAATGGCCGATCACTGGCTGGGCTGTTTTCCTGCATCCTAAATAAGAAATTGCGACAAGGACATGGTTTGAATTTAAACAGGGACTTTCTTTTAGCCGAGTGAGATTCTGTTACTTTAGTAAGCTTTTAGATATATCGCTCTTGGTGTTGCTTTGTATATGCTGAAACGCCACTGCCCGCTATGTTGCATTAGTTGTTGCCCACTATGGGGCGTTATAAATAGAAAGTGTTCTCATTTGAGGTAAATAAGTTATTCTTGGAATTGTCTTTGATGATATGGTTGTTAGAAACCTTACCATGCTAAATACTGGGGAAACCCCCAGTTTATTGGCATGATAATTTTTACGTAGAGAAATGGTAACACTCTAAGGAAGATTGCTGAAAAGGGCAGTTAATGGTATGGTACTCTAGCTACTCGGCCTTGTTCCCCAGTAAATACCGGAGAGGGGATGAAGTGGGATGCAGAAGATAATCAAATCTGCTAATCGGCCAAATTCCGTCTGGATATACGTATACTTTGGAGAGCCATTAGAATAGATATACAAGGGGCGTGGGAAAAGGTCCAGTCTTAAACTGAGAGACATGGGCTGTCTAAATTTGAAAATTTGCAACTCATTCGCTAATTGCCAGTATAAGGCACACACACTAAAATATACCCATCTAGTATGAAGCCGAACCGCTTCAAAAGTTCCTCCCCAATGTATAATCTACTGTAAAAAGCCAATGTTCAAGGAAAAGAATCAACTGTGCTGACGTTTGGTTATCTATCTCTGCAGCTTTCAGGGGGGGTAATCCTCTCTTTTCCCTGCCAAGATGATTACCTCTCATTCATACGTCCACCATAATCGCAAACAGCTCTCGCTATCTCCTTAACCCAAGGCAATGAGCCTTTCAATTTACAATAGCATAAACCAAGAGGCGGAAGCCGTCAGCAACAGCATCGCCCCAAGACTAGGCATAGAATTGATACTAGCAGCACCGGGATGATCACCATTTCCCTTGTCTCCATCGTCCCCATTGCCTCCCTTTTTGGGAGCATTGGGGTCTCGGCTACCGCTGGCAATGTTGTTGGGACGGAGGCAGCGCAACGTTGATGCGCCCTTGGTGGTGTTGTCTGGTGGCGTACCGGAAGTGTGGCTCCACGTGAAGACTACAGGCCAGATGTTCCTAATGGCAGTATCGTACTCAGTTTCGTCATTCTCCGACGCTGGTGCTGAGCCAAAGGTAAAAAAGCGGCTGCCGGTGAGCAGTTTCTCGGTAAAATCTTGAACGTGTCAGCCCTCTTTCCCCTCTCTCTCCCTCTATGCGCGGCGGTGCCATAGACTTACCAAAAGTAACCATTTGCAAAACTCCGTCTCCAGACGGGGACAGGCCGAGCCAGTCGTTGCAAGAGTCTGGTATAGTGGGTGAACCACAGTCAGTTGCGCTGTCCAGGGCCGCGCTCTGCAAGTCCTGTCGGCACTGCGGAGAGAAGAAATCACAGTTCCCGCCTTTGCTCGCATCATCCTGGTTGTCTTCTGTCGAGTTGGAATTGAGACCAGACAGGATGAAGCCGCACATCTTGTTGCCACTCGCAATTTTGGCGACTTCTGTTGTGTCCACGTTGTTGAGACTCATGGAAATAAGCTGGGTGAAGTCCGCCTTCTGAGCAGCGCTGAGGCTTTTGTCTGTAGAGCCATTGAGTGCAATGTTGGCCTGGAGCGAGATTTCGATACTCCAGTTAGGCCCACCACCTCCTAAGGACGGATTTGACGAAGACAGGTTGAATGCCGGGATGTTAAAGGAACCGGTGGCATTGGCCTGCGACGAAGGCCGGAACGAACTGTCTGGAAGACCCCATGGCGCATCATTACCAACCGCTAGGAATCCCCCGATGCCAATGTCTGCCTTGACCAGTGGTACCAGACTCGCGATGTAAGCTGCTTGGCGCAAGATAGCCATCATTGTATTATGCTGCGTGTGAGTATGTTGTGCGGTTGTAGTAGTATAGTGGGATGAGGTTGGAAACATTGGAAGTGAACAGGTATTTTATAATTACTGGTGATATGAAGGTGAGTTTATGCTACTGGGCTATGCAATAGAATAATACATAAAAATGGCAGCCCCCAATACCCTTATACCGTAAATAGTATCTGCCTATTTCCTCAAAGAGTCAGTTTATGCGCGCTGTCCAGGTCTGATCAGGAGATTGACAGGTCAGCGACGCCAGTAAGCACTGAGAATACACTAGGGACAAATCGCGTCTGAACACCAGCAACCAAGAACATGATCCAGGACCAGCAGTGGGCCGGGGGGTTTGTCTGTAAATAGGCTTCTATTACGGGGTACTATTCTTCGTCGCCCAAGGTGGGGAACAGAAAAACAGGGACTGCAGAATGAATAGGTACCTCTGTAACCAAGTGAGGTTAGCTGCCCTATGTGTATATCTCTGTCGTTTATGCTTAAAATATCCTCATTCCGCTGTGTTTCTGTTTCCTTCTCGCCACCCTCAATAGACGTAGCATACACTAGAGATCAGATATAGTATGAAAGGTGTAATACGAGGTCTGTCATTTGCGCGGATCTCTGGCTTTATGGCTTTATATGTATAATTTTAATATTGCAGCTCATATATGCGAGAATACGTCTTTCGCTCGTCTGAAGACTAGGCTCCTTATTGCCACTAGTATCAATTCTTTGATCTTGTGTTTCAGTGTTGGGTTGTTCCTTTGCAGATTGAGCTAATAGTCCATTGGTATCTTAACGACGTAAATTGAGGCAAGGGAGGGACCAACGCATACCTACAGAGACCTCAAAGAAATTGAAAAGCATCATCATCTCTATGTAATCCCGACATCCATGGTATCCTCCTTGTGACATGCCACTAAGACCTCGACATACATACCCAGGTCAAAATGCAGTAGTAAAGTCACCGACGGATCGTAAGCGATCAGTGCAGTGTTTTGCTGAGACATATCTTCGTAACAAGCCTCGTATATCGGCGTTTAGACTACCGCTCCTATGTCGGCATTGGTCAGCCTAGTGATGGGGTGGTAGATATGGTGGAAAAGTCGTTGCGCCTATATAGCCTCTATCTGACTTCATGCTCTTTGATGTTTGATCTAATTTACCCAGGAGACCACTCATTCATTATCTTTCGGGTTTTCGCCACAGCTCTCCTCATTAACAATAAAGTAGACCAGAGAGAGGTTGGCCGGATGAACTTTAGATCGAGCTCGAAGGAGACGACCTCACTCTTTTAATCGCAGGACTTGCTCAAAAGAACAAAGATGAAAGCAAGAATATCATGAGCACCCTACTTGTCAAATATGTCAATGGATTATTGAAAGTCACCTATGCGGCACTGCTGCTGCCTTTTGAAGTATATCTGGTAGTTATATATGTATATATACACTTCTATGTGAAGACTGATTGCTTTGTTAAGCTACGACTAAAGTGTTGGAAAATGAAATTAGGCTTAAGTTTTAAAAATATATATCCAAGTTCATTGCTTTAGGACAATTGACTAATACGCAAATTCAGATTCTCATACCCAAAATTACCCACGGAAATATGTGGCATCGCAGTTTGATTGAAGGAATATGATGCAATGAGTTGATTGGAAGCCCGCTTAGAAGACAGTACATTGCAAGGGAACGCGATGCTACTTTAACATTCTCGGGCACCGTCGGGCTGCAGCCTGACTTTTATCTCTGTCCTACAGGTAACAGAAAATACCACAGGTCATTCATTGGTAGCTATCAATCACACATCAGCCTTAGTCATAATGCAGTCTGATCATGTAATTGGACGATAACATTCGGTGCGACGTATATATATCTAAGGCAGTAATTGTACAGACCTTTGCAATTAGGCTGCAACTCTTACCTTACATTGCGCATTTTCGTCCAACAACGCAATAATCTTCGCAAACCACCAGCCATGAATAGTTCTCGTAACCTTTCAGGAAATGTCATTGGAGACAATGCTACAATCTTTCAGGGCAGCTTCAATTACAACACTGGTATGCTCCACTGAGGACTTATGGTACTTTGGTATATGTACAATGCTAACCCACATCTGGTACAGACTCCTCGAATTTAGAGTCTGCCTTTCTTGAGAAAATCAGTCGAACGGATCCTCTCTATGATAAAAGGCGAATTCTAGACCTCAAAGGTCCCTTGCTCTACGAGTCCTTTAGTTGGATCCTAAACCATGACGACTTTAGCAAGTGGCGCTATAGCCAAGAGAGCGGCGTATTTTGGATTAAAGGAGATCCCGGAAAGGGAAAGACAATGCTCCTTTGCGGCATCATCGAAGGCCTAGAGAGCATTTCCGGAATCAATCTCGGGTATTTCTTCTGCCAAGCCACTGATTCCAGGATCAATACTGCTCAGGCTGTTGTTGGAGGCTTGTTACGTTTCTTTTTAGAGCGACGCACAAAGCTCCTAAAGCTTATCTGCGAAAAGTTCAAAGATAAGCTGGATCAACTCAGTGGACCCAATGCATGGGCAGTTCTGCGCGACATATTCGAAATGGTAGTTCAAGATCCGACGTTGCCAGACCCTATCTGTATTGTTGATGCTCTAGATGAGTGTGAACACGGCTGCAAATCACTTCTAAGTTTGATCGTCAAAACAAGCCCCCGAGTTAAGTGGCTAGTTTCAAGTCGAAACATTAAAGATATCGAGCGGAAATTGCAGTCGATTGACCCTTCCCAAAGATTAAGCCTTGAGCTAGGAGGAAACGCTTTTTATGTCTCCCAGTCTGTTGACGCATATATCAACAAGTCGATACAGGATATTGAGGCACTGGCACATAACGCAAGTCTTCGAGCTTCCACAGCCAATGTCCTGAAAAGCAAAGCAAACGGCACATACCTCTGGGTTTCTCTTGTGGTTGGGCAACTACAAAACACAGACCAGCGGAATGTGAAACACATACTTAACAAAATGCCAGAGGGTCTAGAAAGCCTCTATGGCTTGATTATGACTCAATCTTACGAAAGATTAGGTCAAGAAGATAGAGAAGCCTACCTTATAATACTTTCAACTATTACCACAGCCAAAAGACCCCTACAGCTTGAAGAGCTTTTAACTTTTACGAAGTTTCAGTGGAAATTTAGCGAAAATATATACAGCACTCGCGATATACAAGATCTCGTCAAAGATTGTGGTGCATTTTTATCTATAAGAGATAATTATGTTTACTTCATTCACCAATCAGCGAAAGATTATATCATGGACAACGCCTCTAAATTAATATTCCCTTTAGGAATTCAGTTCCAACACGCTAGAATGGCTCATACATCGTTATATACGCTATCTGCCACTCTCACATACGATATATACAATCTCAAAGCTCCTGGTACAGAGATAAATGAAGTATCTCCACCATGCCCTGATCCTTTGGCTCCCATAGCATATTGCTGTGAATTTTGGGTCAACCATCTAGTACACAGTTGCGAATCCAACGAATCGGAACCTAACAAATCAAAATCTGAGGAGCTTTTCAAAGAAAACGGAATTGTTCACTCCTTTCTGAAGGATAAATTCCTTTGTTGGATAGAAGCTCTAGCTCTCTTACGTAAATTTACGCCACAAGGAGTAGATGCTGTTCAAAAGCTCAGGCGACTAGCTAGTGATATCGCACACTCGAAACAGGAGAGCGAGACGAGCCGCCTTAGGGCATTTATAGATGACGCATGTCGATTTGTTCTGCAATATGAGAATATTGTGTGCAAATGGCCATTGCAGCTTTATTACTCGGCCACGGTCTTTGATGACAAAGACAGAATAATCTACCAAACGTTTCAGCAAACCATACGTGCCGAGTTTCCAAACGCTCCTATCATCATGAAGAGACCATACGATACCTTGTCTCTGCAACAGGTCATGGAATCTGAGAAAAGAAACAAAAGCTCATTCTCGCTGTGCTTTTCCCCTGATTCTAAGTTATTAGGTTCTTTATCAAGGACTTCAAGCTCACCTCGCTTTTCGATCTGGAGAGCAGACTCAGGAGCCTTAGAGCAAGTGATCGAAATGAAGTCAGATGAACAATGCGAGACAGATTGCCCTGATGAGGATTCAGAATATTATGTTGCCTTTACGCCTGACTTAAAGCACTTGGTTTCAGTATCTAGCACAGGTGTTGTGCAAATATGGGATATCAATAGCGGTTCTTCAACAAAACGTTACTCTTTACCGCTCAAAATGCGCGTATACCCTTTTGTGCATAAATATGAGCGGGAAGATGAGTCGGAAGACGAATTGGAAGATGAGTCGGAATATAAGTGGGAATATGAGTCGGAAGATGAGTCGGAAGATGAGTCGGAGGATGAGCTAGAAGACGTCCAACTCAACTTTCTTGAAGAAAGAGTAGTTGCTTTATCACAAAATGGCGATCTGATAGCATCGGCCCGTCGTACATCCTCGAGTGGAGTACGCTCAGTTAAGATATGGTCAACAAAATCTGGCGACTGCCTATTTGAAATCGAACAGTCAGTCGAGGTTAAAGATTATGTTTTTTACACCATGCTTTCAGTTTTCTCACCAAATTCTGCACTGTTAGCACTGATAGATGCGTCGAATATCAGGATCTACTGTACTCAGACTGGAAAAGAAATTCATCGTCTGGATAAAAAATTCAAAATGAGTTTAAGAAAGGGTACGTCATCGATGGCCAAAGCTAAATTTTTGCCGGATTCTCAGACTCTGGCTCGGGTTAATCATAATATTATTGATGTTTCCCAGATTGGAACGTGGACAAAAATTTGGCACCGTACATGGAAGCAACTAAAAATGGGCCTGATAGAAGACTTTGACATCTCGCCCGACTCAGAGATCTTCCTGGTACTCTCTGAGTCCTATCTAACTATGTGGAGCATCCAGGGGGGAGGTCTTTTTCTAAAAATTTCAACAGCTGAACATCTTGTCGCTTTTTCTCCTCATTGGTCAGCTTCATCGTTTGCTCTAGCATCTTCTTCTTTGTCCGGCGTTCGGCTTTGGAAGGTTGATATCAAGAACGTTTGGGCTGATGTAAACGACTTTATTGGCGTTCACTCTATAGCTATATCACCAAATTCCAAACTTTTGGCAGTGGTGGATCTCGAAGGACACAATGTCATAATATGGAGTACAGATAGCGGCAAGTGCATCCAGGTTCTCGGAGGCAGCGATCACGATACATATTTTGCTGCGCTAGCCTTTTCTCCCAACTCAAAACTTCTGGCATGCGGGGAGGAGAAATCTGGCGGTGTTTATGTCTGGCGCATCAGTACTGGAAAGTGCATCCATATATCTAAAGGCAGCGGCCGGGCTGGCGGCGCAGTCTTCTCGCCCGATTCGAAAGTCATTGCATACATACATGGTGACCACAGCACACCAGGCGATGTCTGTGTCTGGCACATTCGTACTGGGAAGTTTAGTCGCCTGCTTGGTGGTCGCAGTGCCATACTGGCAGTCTTTTCAGATGATTCGAGGCACCTATTTCTCCGAGTCGACCAAGGGTTGTCTATATGGGTCTACTGCATGGAGTCTGACCAATGCGTGTATCGGTACACACGCCAAAAAGGGAAATCTGGCATTTGCGAAATGAAAATTTCTCCCGATTCAAAGTATATTGCCTTGGCATTTGACCATGATAATGAGGTACAAGTCTGGGATTGGCGCAAGGATCACCGCATCTCTTCGATTAAATATAAGTATCACGCTAAAAGATGGCACACCATCAGCCTAACCTTTTCTTCTGATTCAACCGTTTTGGCAGTCATCTACAGTGTGTCGGGTGGATATGAAGCACAGATTCGCGAAGTCGCCACCAGTCGTTGCTTGGCTCGCATTGCAATTGCAAAGAATAAGTGGTTACGCTGGTACCATAAACCATCGTTTGATACAGTAGAGGGCTGTATTAATACTTTTTGCGGGACTTTCTTTCGCAAAGAGTCTTCATGGGAGCATTGTGACAAGACTCTGCAGCCGACATATCACTTATATGATGCGGATTGGAATAATTCTGAATGGATTCACTTTGGTAGGGAAAAGATATCCGTATTTCCCTACGATACTAATCATCTGCTCTGCACTGATATGCAGACAGGTTCCTTATTAACGCATGTAACTGACGAATGCCAATTGATTATCATTAAATTTCCTAATAGTAGAAGAGAAGAAGGAGAAGAAGGAGAAGAAGGAGAAGAAGAGCTTTGATTCGGTATGGCAACAGATAGTGACAGTGGCACAGTACACCCCTTTAATTTAGTAGACAAAATTTGTACAATTTATAGCCGCTATCGAGGAACCCATGCCTGTTATTCAGCATTCCAGTCATGGATAGCTTGGGAGGTTTGTAGTTAATTCAATATTTATACTGCCTCTACTTCCTCTACTTTGGGAATTATACATTTTGTTCTTATTTGTTTTTCCTTTCGGATTACTGGCTCCTAAGAATACAGCTAGGGCACTGGATAACTAACTTAGGGTGTTGCATAATTGCATGCAATCTCTAGATTGATATGCCAATAAATAATTTTTTAAATTCATACTCTCTTTCTTTTTCATCGCCAGGCTCCTTGTTTTTGTACATGCATGCAATACCTCTCAGTCTTTTGCACAAGTCCAAAGCCGTGCAGTGCGCTGTCGTCGTAGGCGTTGGAAGTGGTGCCCCGCTAGTCCCGCAGGCATTACAATCCAGTGGTACCTACATTACCTACTACCTATAACGTTCAATTGCAACCAGGCTTCAATGTTACTCCATCAAACCTCGAGTAGTATGAGGGTTACTTTCTCTTCACAACGATAATCGCCTTCTACAATATCCTCATTATATCCCTATAATATGCCACCAAGACAACCTTTAAAGGGCTTCTTAGCTGCCGCCCGATCTGCCTTGACGGCGCCTCCAACCCAGAGATCAGGGCCTCTGACCTTCGTCATTGGGAATGAATCCGCAGGTACCCATGAACAACATGTGCTCCCTTCGCTTCAAATGAACCTGGCTAACCGTCGAAAAGATCTCGATTCTCTCTGCTCCGCCGTCGTCTTGGCATATCTTCGCTCCAACTCATCGCCTCACTCCCTACACATCCCCCTCTCCAACATCCCCAGGTCTGACCTCATCCTGCGAACAGAGATGACGGCCGTCTTAGAGCGCTCTGGACTCTCTCCCGCCGACATTCTTACGCTGTCCGAGCTACCTGATCTGAAGCCCGAAGACACGCGCTGGTTTCTCGTGGACCACAACGCCTTGACGGGTAAACTGCAGAAATTTCAGTCCCGGGTCATTGGCTGCATTGACCACCACGTCGATGAGGTGGTCACCAGCCGCGATGTCAAGCCGCGTCTCATCGAGCCTTGCGGAAGCTGCATGAGCCTCATCATCGACGAGTCCCGCACGGCGTGGGATGCGTTGCCCTCTTTGGAGACTGAAGACGCTACCGTCGCTGAGGACGATAACCTTGCGAAGCTAGCTCTTGCGCCTATTCTCATAGACACACTTGACTTACAGGAGGAGCACAAAGTAAAGCCAAAAGATATCAGTGCAGTGGAATACCTCCATACAAAAATTCAGTCTCATCAATTTAGCCAAACCAATTTCTTCCAGGAAATCACAGCTGTAAAGGAAGACATCGCACAGCTCAGCTTCTACGACATTTTCCGTAAAGACTATAAAGAGTGGGAAGAATCAGGCCTCAAACTGGGCATCAGCTGCGTCGTCCAAGATTTCGACTACTTGCTCGAAAAGGCCAAGAATCCCAGCGTCTTCATCGACGAACTGGCTGCGTGGGCGAAAGAAAGGAAGCTCGACGTGGCAAGCGTCATGACCACGGCAAATCCAGGCGGGGAGTTCCAGCGTCATCTTCTGGTTTGGGGAATGACGGATAGAGGAGTGGTTGCCACGAATAACTTCCCAGCTATTGCCAAGGGATTGCAACTGGAACAATGGAAAGATGGGTTACTGGATGGTGATGGTGGTAAGAGAAAGGCGTGGAGACAGAAAGATTTGTCGGCAAGCAGGAAGCAGGTTGCGCCATTGCTTCGTGATGCGTTGAAGAGCGTTGATGAAGCCTCACAGTCACAGCTATAGAGCACTAGAATCAAGCACTTAAAATAAAAGGGTTTCTTTCCGCCTCGTACCTAGATGTGCAGATATACATCATGTCAAATTTTAGTATATACGAGTGGCTCTATAGTACATGTATAAAACGTGAGAAGTCAATGGAAGCGCTAAATTCGCATAGCTATGAATGCCTTCAGAGTAGTATTTATTGTTACATGATCTCATTCCCTTTTATATTCCTAATCTTACATCGTAATGCCCGTAAATATATATGTATTCATGTTAAACATGCATCAATCATTCTAATGGTTAGACGGCATCTCTCCAGATATTTTGCGTAGCGCCTCCGCTCTATGTGCTCTGGCCTGCTCTCCAGCGTGATGGTGCCGCAAATTTTCAACTTCTCTCAAGACACGCAGAAATTCTCGATGCATCAGCTGCCGTTGGCCCAACACATCCAGTGAATCTTGTGGTGGAGGATGATGCAGCAAACTTTCGGCGCCCGGGTCCGCAACTAGAATGCATGCTTTCAATGACATGTAAAGTGATCCGACAGGCCATATTTTGGGCTCTTCCTTGAGCATCTCGGGATACACCCAGCGCAAAGCATCGGTGCACAGCTTTCTATCGCCAGTGGACGCCAAGACGCGATAGGCAAGCTCATAGAGTTCCGGCGATCGAGGCGTTTGAAACCGGGATGGTATGCGGAAAGCGTTCCAGAATCTGTCCCAGTCGAGTTGATGCGCATACGCTGTCATGAGCCGCAAAACTTGCTCATTACTCAAGATATTTCCTCTTCTGTTGGATAGAAGATATTCGATATTTGTTAGTGCGCCTTGCAGCTCTTCACCGTATGCCGGAGAGGTGACGATGCTCTCAATGAGCGTAATTAGCCACTCTTGAGAGATGACGGAAATTCCACGCTCTTCAGCTACCAGATTGAGCTGATCTACAAGAGCTAGCCTCTCTGACGCTGTGTCTCCCCCAGCTGCTGGGGCTTGAAATACTGCGGAGATGAGACTTTGAATCGTTTCTTGGCTTACAGGAGTTCCAGCTACCTGGAAATCGTGTATGTGCCGTCGCAGCGCATTCAGATCAAAGGAAGGGGTACCCGGCTGATCTTCTGTTACTAGAGTTTCAGAATGAATTGCAGTCGCCTGAGACTCACTACGCTGAGTACGAGCTTGAAGGCGTCGCGCCATGGTTGAAAACTGGCGTTGTTGTTGAGAAGCTAGTTTTAGTTTCTGCCACTGATGGGCGGCAGGGTTGTCGGGCAATTGGATTCTTGATGAGACCAAAGCCTCAATTTCTGAGGGGTCCGATGTCGTCTTTCCCCTCACTCTCTGCATCTCTTCGAGGTTCCGCTTCAATATGCCCCTCCAAAGCGTTTCCAAGTCAAGTTCGTTCCGCCTCGACTCAGTCATACATTGCACGACGACGGTTGATCCCGTCAGCGGGGCGCCAAATCCTGAAAACCGCCCACTGTCGTCGAAATTCGAAGACTCTTGTACTCCGTGGTCATGCGTCGCAAAATTGACACAGACCCATCCCGTTGAGATGCCATTGTCGGCGCCAGGCAAGATTGTAGTGTTGGTACCAAGCATCTTTGCCTTTTTCCTCAGCCGGCGGAGCTTCGTCTTGAGTTCCCCTGGCCCAATCAAGCCGTCCGCTCGGGCACCCACTTGGTGATGTCTTCGAAGCCATCGTACAAAGCGACCTGCAGAAACGTGCAAGTGTCTTTCACTTCGCGCTGTCCCAAAAATCATGATGAGATTGGGGCCAAGCGCAGCAGGTGTATCGAGGTCGCGGAGATCCAGCATTGTCAAATCGTCCAGTCCCATGTCTTCGTGTACGTATTTTATCATCGGCTCGAGGAGATGAGGAGCGCCTTCGGGCACTTTTGGCAGCGAAGCGATGTGCTGGAGCGGAGCATGTTTGGGCGGTTCAACATCCAGAAACCACGGGTTTTCAGGGTCGTCGTCATCGAAAGCGTCGTCATCGATTTCCTCCTCGATTATCTGTTGCTCGATATCTGGCCTTGCTTGTGCGTCTTTGGCATTTTGCGCAGCGGTCCCAAACTGCTTGCTTGGCGGAAAAGTTCGCAGTATTGCGCCGGGCACTGGTCTCATTCCCCGCGCCGCCGATTGTCCAATGGCCGGCAGTGGCCTGGACGAAACAGCCCTCAGGATGGCATTTCGACAGCCGCAGCACCCCAGCGCCGCAGTCACCGGGCGAGTAATCATCTCTGCTCCTGAAGCCCGCTGAAGACGAAGACGATGCTGCACAAGTGAAATTTCCGGATACGGCAGCGCTTGGCTCTACAGAAAAGCTCCCGCGGTGGCGTTGGTGGGGCTGCCATTCAAAAGCGCCATCTCCACGTGACAAACTGGTCAATTCAGCCAATCATATGCGGCGGACAATGTGAGCGAGAAAATCTTTTTGGCAGCTTCGGTGGGGTGGCGCACTACTATGAAACTTCTTATCGTGCAAACTCGATACTGGAGGAACATTTCGTTCCTAGCCAGCCCGTTTTCTCTCTGTTTTCTTTTCATGCTGGAGGTTGCCTGTTTCTTCTCCAGTTGCCCTTTTGCTTGTGTATATCTCGACCGTCTTCACTGACGGTGCGATTGATATCCCTGCATTTCAAAATGCTGCCGAGGCACGCGGGCCGCAGCGCCTCGATACATCATGCCACTGCTTTGAGATCAATTCGAGCCTCAAGGCTCCCGGCTCTTCAAGCCTGCATATCGACTCTCAGCCCGCGAGGAGATACAGCAAAGCACTTGCGACCATGGCGTCGAGGGCTGGATCTTGGCTTCGGCTCTCACGAGCGAACCCTCGCCACAGCTGTTGACGACTTCAAGCTGGAGGGAATGCCATATAATCACATCCCAAACCCGTCAATACCGCCTTTCCAGGCGCCACCACCCCCATTCGAGCTTCGCCCCTTCGACCCATCCTCTCCTCTGACAATTCCTGAGCCTGGCCCTCCGAAGCCTGCCTCCAAGATGAACACATACGGCATCCCGGGAGAGCCAGAGGACATGTTCATGGTGTTTGATGCATGCATCAAAGTAGGCAAGTTGGAAAGAGCTGCTCTAGTCTTGAAGCGCCTCAGCTCCCTGGGATCGATATCAGACGAAGAACGAATCATCCTTAACAACAAATATCTGAGAGCGTCCCTCAGTCAGATGCGAACGAATCCCGACCGAAGCCAAGCTGAGCAGCTCCACAAATGGTACGAGCTTCAAATCAGAAGCAAGAACTTGCCACATACGGCCGAAACGATTGCCTGCATGTTAAAGGCGTCCCTTCTCTCCGAACGAGGCGCCAGATTAGACCGCCTAGTGAAACGATATATGGGCATGGCCCCAGACGAAGCGGGACTACGAGTCCTTAGCATGGACGAAATCTTAAGCGATCAGGATCTTGCAGTCATAACTGAAATCTGCCCAACTTACAACTTTGCGGCAGATGAAGGGGGTTTGGAAGATATGGCGCTCATGTCCGACAACCTTCAAGAGGCAGACGCTTCACCTGCTCTTACTACCGACTTAAGCCAATCTGCAGATTCGACAGTAGCCCCGGAGCTAATCCCAACACCACAACGAGGCGAGGGACTCAATACATTGAAGAGAGGCCTAGGACTCTTACTGGGACTTCAAGAGGTTGATATTTCGAAGCTTCCTCATTCTGACCAAATGGATATACAACTTCAGCTGGAAAGAGATTCAATCAGCTCAGCTATTGAGAAATGGCGGCTTGATAACAAGACTCTGCAAAAGCGGGGTGTTAGCACAGCCTTGGCGCCATCAACAAAAGAAGGTTCCATGTCACAGAACATGGCGTCGTGGATGAGTGCCATGGAAACCCGCATCGCGCAGGAATTGAGACTGATTGAACAATCCGAGGCAAAGAAGTCAAAATCAGACTGGGATCTAACAAGGTGCATTTATGGCCCGTTTATCCAGCAGGGTGATCCAGCGCGTCTGGCAGCCGTAACAATTCTCTCCGTCATCAATATTGGAACTGTTCTAGGTGTCGAGAAGGGTACTCCCATCAGCCGGTTGATTACCCACATTGCAAAAGCCGTTCAGGAAGATACCGAAATGTATCAGAAAGAATTGGCTGAGAGAAAAGCTCGACGACAGCGTAAACTCAAGTTTGTCGGAGATAAATCCAAAGACAAGGCAGAAGCAAGCGAAGACATCAAGACGCCCCTACTCGATACAGCAGAACAGGAACGTACCCTTGAGGAAAACAGCAAGAACCCTTGGACTCTGCAAATCAAAGCCCAGGTCGGCTCGATTTTGCTACAAATGCTGATAGAGTCAGCCAAGATCAACGTTGTGGCAGAGAGCTCGACATCCAAAGAGCTGATTAGCCAATACCAACCTGCTTTCAGCCATCAGACACTACTTCGAAAAGGCAAAAAGGTCGGAGCCTTGTTTTTCAACAATCACTTGATTGAACAGCTTAAGCGAGAACCTGTCGGCGACTTCATTGCCAAACATCTACCCATGGTGGTCGAGCCCAAGCCTTGGTCTTCCTTCACTGAAGGCGGATTCCTGGATTGCAAGACTAGCTTTGTCCGTGTTAAACCAGGCGATATCGAGCAAAAGCTATACAGCACCGCAGCGATCAAACGCGGAGATATGGAACAGGTATTCAAGGGCCTAGATGTGCTGGGTAAAACGGCATGGGTGATTAATAAGGATACTCTGAATGTTATGATGGAGGCCTGGAACAGTGGAGAAGAAATCGCAAACATACCACCTCTGCATCCGAAATTTGACGTTCCCCCGGAACCAGATTCTTCAGCAGATCCTCTAGCACGAAAGTCTTGGATTAGAGCCGTCAAAGCGATTGAAAACGAGCGATCTGGTTTACATTCTCAGCGCTGTTTTATGAATTTGCAGTTGGAGATTGCACGAGCATTCCGCAATCAGACGATATACTTCCCACACAATGTCGACTACCGAGGGCGAGCATATCCAATGCCGACCTACCTGAATCACATGGGTGCCGATCATGCGCGATCCATTCTCAAATTTGCCAAGGGCAAAGAACTGGGCGTCAGAGGCCTGCGGTGGCTGAAGATTCATCTCGCCAACGTTTATGGCCTGGATAAAGCTAGCTTCGACGAGCGCGAGGCCTTTGCAAATGATAACGTGGCTAATATCATCGACTCGGCGACCAATCCTCTGAAAGGCAGCCGATGGTGGCTCAAGGGAGAGGACCCGTGGCAATGTCTTTCTGCGTGCTTCGAACTGAAGGCTGCGCTCGAACTCCCCGATCCAACAAAATTTGTCTCTAATCTTCCGGTCCACCAAGACGGCACTTGCAATGGACTTCAGCACTATGCCGCTCTCGGTGGCGATACATGGGGAGCGAAGCAGGTTAACTTGGAGCCTGGAGAGAGACCCGCCGATGTCTATTCAGCCGTGGCAAATTTAGTAAAGGAAGCGATCGCCAAAGACTTGGAGGCCGGGAATGCATTTGCCAAAGCGCTAGACGGAAAGATCACTCGCAAGGTCGTTAAGCAGACTGTGATGACAAACGTATACGGCGTTACATTCTCGGGAGCGAAGAAGCAAATCTGCAAGCAAATTGACGCTTTGTATCCTAACCTAGGAAAAGAGTGCGAGATTCCTAATTTGCTATTGTCGACATACATCGCCAAACAGGTCTTTCAAGCTCTTGCAACCATGTTTCGAGGTGCTCACGACATTCAATACTGGCTTGGAGAGATTGGAGGACGTGTGTGCCGCGCCCTGACTCCAGCCCAGCTACAGCAAATCGTGGATTCATACGGCGAAGGTGAGGGAAGCACCCCTCGCTCCTCCAGATCCAAGGCAAAGCCGTCTTCCGGCAAAAAGGTTGAATTTGATGATCTCGTTCAGCAGTTTCGGTCCTCCGTCGTTTGGACAACACCCCTCAAAATGCCTGTCGTCCAACCTTACCGAAAGACTACAGCACGAGAAATCAAGACATGTCTTCAGGCTGTCATATACCCTATGAGCGACCAAACAGATCCTGTCAATAGGCGGAAGCAGCTTCAGGGCTTTCCCCCTAACTTCATCCACTCGTTGGATGCTAGTCACATGTTACTGTCAGCCCTGGAATGCAACGATCGGGGACTCGATTTTGCCGCAGTGCACGATTCCTTCTGGACACATGCCGGAGATCTCGACGTTATGAATGAAGTCTTGCGCGAGGCCTTCATCCGAATTCACGAAGAGGATGTAGTAGGCCGCTTGGGCGCTGAGTTTGAAGCTCGCCACCAAGGATCAATCTACCTTGCGAAGATTGACCCCGATACCCCAGTAGCGAAGAAGATCAAAGAACTGCGCAAGAAGAGCAATCTTTCTCCAAAGGAAGAGCTTCTTCTCGAACACAAGCGTAACCAGCTGAAGCTCTCTGGCAATCCCTGGGACCTTGAGGCTGCTCAGCAAATCGTCACCCCTGCTTCGATATATGAAGACATGATGGCCGCTGAGGTCGACATGGACATCCACGAAGATGCTAAAGATATTGGCTTGGGCGCCATATCAGAAGACGAGGCTAACAGCGTTGTTGATGAGGATATGGAGGCTCAATCTGAGACGTCTTCTGAAATCCTAGAGCTAACTAAGCGCCTCATGGATGAGATGAAAACATCGTTTTTTGAGGCTCACATTGCGAAACCGAAGGCTTCTGCTCGCAAGCAGAAGAAGATGCCTCTTCCCGTTTGGCTGCCGCTGACTATCCCAAAGGTTCCCGAGAAGGGTGACTTTGATGTTAAGCGTTTGAGAGAAAGCAAGTACTTCTTCTCATAAATGGCGCCAGTATTACTGAGTATCTCTACTATTTTTAGTCTGCGACAATGTATAATGAAAAATGGGTGTTTTGGATATAAAAAGGTGAAAGAGCAGGGGGCAAGGAAGGAGTGGCGTTGACATTTTGTGCATCAATACGGAGTTCAATCATGTGCTTGATGGAGTTTGTTTTGAAAGATAAAAGGGGTGGGCATTTATAAGCGACATTGTATACAAGATATATGTATGATAGGATTCATAAAGGGGACAGATGAATGCATCACGAGAGTGGCTCGTGGATGCTATATACCTACATAAAAACAGCCTATCGTCATGGACTGGCCATGAATGAAACAACAACAAAATCAAAATACATATTAAAACAAACAAACGAAGATATTGCGACCACTCCTCGCAATGGACTCGAATCATGTACAGTAATTCATTTATAATTTATCGTGTCAGCTTCTACATGAATCTATTTACCGAACCACAGCGCCCGTCAGAGTCTTGACTGTGCAGACGCCACCGCTCTCAGTAACCAGCTTGCCAACCTCCTTCTTGCCCAGCTGCTCAACGACACTGGCATCAAAAGCAACCTCAAGACTGTCAGTAGTAGTAAATCCAGGCTGGAACATCTCCCAAATCTTCTTCTTGGGGTTCAAAACACCCTCAGGCTCGCCCTTCCATCCCTCAAAGTAGACTCGCTCACCGGCCTTGGAGCCCTCAGGAGGAGTGACAAGCTCAACGGGGCCCTTGTGGTCGTCAACCTCGCCCTCCTTGAGCTTGGGCGATGCGGCGAGAACCATAGCGCAGGACTTGATGCCGCGCATCTTGACAGGCTTGAGGTTGGCCACGACGACAACTTTGCGGCCCTGCATCTCCTCGAGGGGAATGAGGCCGTTGAGGCCGGAGCAAACGGTTCGGCAGATCTGGCCCTCGTACTCGGAGGTGTCCTCGCCGGCGGGGTCGCCCATGGCAATGGTGGAGACGAAGAGGGAGTCGGCGTCGGGGTGGTTAATGGCCTTGAGGATGTGGCCGACACGAAGGTCGATCAGGCTGGGGGACAGGGGAGCGGCGGCAGCGGGAGCCTTTTGGGGCTTGGGAGCCTTTTCCTTCTTCTCCTTCTTGGGCTTGTCGCCGCCAGCACCGCCGGCCACAGCGGCCTTGGCCCCGCCGACAACTTCCTTGGCCTTGTCCACGACTTCCTTTGCCTTTTCCTTGGTGCGGTCGGCGATAGTGGCCTCGCCGCCTCCAGTGCCGGCAGCAGCAGCAGCTTTCTCCTTCTTGAGACGCTCCTTTTCGGCCTTGGCATCAACGGGAGGCTTGACATACAAGACCTCGTCCTGGTTAACCGCGACCTTTTGCTCGTCCTTTACTTCCAGGCCAAAGACGGCAGCGTTCTGGACGAAATCAACATGGCGCACAATATTGGGGTATCCCTTCTCGCCAGTGCGCTCCTCGGGCGTCCACTTGGAAACAATAGGAGCGAGGGTCTCGTAGATGGCGACGTCGGCCTTGCTGGGCTTGCTGCCGAGCAGCGTGGTGCGGCTGGACAGGTGGCCATTGAGCGTCTCGAGGATCTCGGATTTGTTGTCGGCGGACTTGAGGCGCTCGGAGGTGGTGAGCCACTGCTGGATCTCGGCCTCCTCGGTGGGAGTGTACTTTTGGGAGCTGAGGGCAGACATTCTTGCGATGATGGAGCTGGAGCGAGGAGAATAAGTCGGGATGATGATGCGCTGGAATGACGGGGTGCTCTGAAAGGAGCGGAGGGCTCGACGCAGGAACAGCTTTGCGTTTCGGGGAGGGACGAAGCCGTGCAGGTGTGCGGGCTTCTCTTGTCTTGTTTTATATGTTTTTGTGTTGTACGAGTGGAGTGGAGTTGAGAGTTGTCGAACAATTTTGAGTCACTACGAAAAATATGTCCGCGACTAGCGCTTAATTCTTACTTGCTGCAAGTCATGGCATGGATATTCTTTCTACAGCGATTACTACTACCTTCTTTTAACTGCCTACATTGATAAAATCTGACAGTTGCCCAATCAGAGCCCAATCACTTAATGTCATCCTTGAATAATCCCGAAAACCTCCACTGCATGCTTACAGGTAGGATTATGCTCTTATTTTTCTCCTTCTATAGCGGGGTCGATGATGGTGGGATGGAGGGGCAGAGCTTCGTTTCGATTCTCTTGTGGCGCATGCTCTGCTGTGGCGCCTCACCAGCCTCAGGCGAGCCGAATGCTTGACAAAACGCGAAATTGTTAAGAGCAGGCAGAACAGAGACAGGCACTTAACGCGCACAGGCACGTGATCCCGCTACTCTTTCGCGTTCTCTACGTCACGGTCGCATCGCCCTTCACGAATCGCCCTCTTTTTTTTTGAGATCGATCTGAGGGAACGGTGAGTGAATCAAGCATCGGGATTGCGGTGCGATTGGTCACTTTCTTTTCATCATATATGCTGGCACACCTCAATTTTGGATCACGTTTTCTTCCTGTCTTGTTCCTGCATAAGCGCACATCTCAATCGTTTTTTCTTTCCTCTTTGGATGCTTGACGCGCGCTTCCGTTGTATGACGCTTTCTGGCAGGCCGTGAACTCTTGGCTACTCGGCTGCACCGGACAAGATCTGGCCTCACACACTGGACAGTCTTTTCTGCTTGCAATCCTTGTTTCTTGTGTCATTCAATTTTTGAAAAGTGTATTTTTGTAGCATCATCGTTCATCATGGCCAATACCTCGGCGTCAGAGGTCGAGTCCATCATGTCCAACTCAAGGGCGCCCACCACCGCGCCGAGCTCGCCGCCTGCGGATCCCTTCGACGACCAGAACGATGTTGGGCTCGTTGATGAAGACATCATCAAGGAGGAAGCGAGAGCACGATCTTCCAACAATGCAATGGAAGAGAAGCGCCGTGCTGCCTTGATCAAGCAGCGAAAGAAGAAGAAGGCCGAGACAAAGTCTGAACGAGAGGCCAAGGCACGGGAGCTTGACGAGCTCTTGCAGAAGAGCGCAGCCTTTAGCGACATTCTCACCAACAAGACGCAAGTTTTGGGTCGGGTTGGAAGCAGCCTGGACGGCAAAAAGCTCGGCGAGCACAATTTGCAGATGGCTGCGCAGCCAAAATGCATGGTTGGCGGCACAATGAGAGAGTATCAGCTAGAGGGACTGACCTGGATGTATGAGATCTGCTCGCAAGGCATGAGTGGAATTTTGGCTGACGAAATGGGTCTTGGTGAGTGACACGTCTCTCTCGTCTTCTTACAAATTCATGCACATTTTCTAACCCTGCGCAGGAAAAACTATACAAACAATATCGTTGATTGCTCTTCTTCGAGAACAGGAACAATATTTGGGCCCGCATCTCATTGTGGCACCTCTTAGCACGCTTTCAAATTGGATGGACGAGTTCCACAAGTGGGTGCCGTCAATACCAATCGTCATGTATCACGGAAACAAGGCCCAAAGAGAAGACATCTTTCAGAAAAATATCATGAGCCATCTCAAGTCTGGCCGGCCTACTGCAAAATTCCCCGTCGTGTGCACGTCATACGAAATGGTCATTAATGACCATCACAACTTGTCGCGTATAAATTGGGAGTTCATCATCATTGTAAGTGCTTTTTTCTCACTCTTCTTCAGCTTTAAGATCAGCGACTAATACTTTGCAACAGGATGAAGGCCACCGTATGAAGAATTCAGACGCCAAATTATTTCAACATCTCCGTCAATTCTCATCAGCTACTCGTCTCCTAATCACCGGCACACCTTTGCAGAACAATCTCAAGGAACTCTGGTCGTTGCTGCACTTTTTGCTGCCAAACATCTTTACCAACTGGGAAGCTTTCGAATCCTGGTTCGACTTTTCGGAACTGGAAGATGAACAAGGAACGCAGCAGTTCATTGAGGACCAAATGAAGCAGGATTTGGTCAAGAAAATCCACCTCATTCTGCAACCACTTCTACTGCGACGTGTTAAGCAAGATGTCGCCGCCTACCTGCCCAAGAAAAGAGAATATGTCTTGTTTGCCCCCATGACCAAGGAGCAGACAGATTTGTACAATGTGCTTTCCAACAAAAACATTGATACCAGGTCATATCTGGAGGATAAAGCGGTGGAGATGATTCAGAGCAAGGCTACTTCTCGGGCATCTACTCAAACATCGACTCGAGCCTCGTCAAGAACAAGATCCACGACTAAGAAGAGTGGCAGTAATGACAAGCAAGTTTCGCTACCCGTTCGAGAAAGCCCTAGAAAGAAACTTCAAGATCGGCCAGCGTCTCCCGCAACTAATGCTTTCAGTCTGATGATGGGCAAGCGAGGACCGGGACGGCCCCCTAAGAATGCCAAGCCCGACCCCGTTTCAACTCCATCGCAGAAGCGCAAGAGCCCTCCAACTTCCATCAAGTCGGAAACGAAAAGTGCAAAGTCTAGTCGACAATCAACGCCCTTGAGCGTACGCAGCCGTCGACAGGCTAATCAATCATATAAAGAAGCCGACTCTGATGAAGAAAAGATGTCGGATGATGAATTTGAAGCCAAGCTAGCCAATGAGATGGCCAAGGAGGAGGAAGAGGACAAATCCACAGACTCTATGACTCCAGAGGACATGGAACTAGCTCAAAGCTTGGAACTGGCCAGTATGCTTTCCCTTAAACCAATTTGATTGTATGGATGCTGACCAACTAATAGAGAAACAAATTGCCCGAAAGAAACTGGGAAATCCTCTAGCCCAAATGCGACTTGTTTGCAATAGCCCACACAATTTCTATAATCCATGGGCCGTGGCGACAGACACTCCCGTTGATGAGACAATTGTCACAGCATCAGGAAAAATGCTTCTTCTCGACAGGCTACTCAATCATCTCTTCGAGAATGGCCACAAAGTGCTCATTTTCTCGCAATTTACCACGCAGCTTGACATTTTGGAAGATTATTGTGCAGAGCTGCGAGGATGGAAAGCCTGCCGTATCGATGGCAGCATTGCTCAAGCTGATAGACGTGAGAGCATCCGACTGTTCAACACCGACCCAGAATACAAGATTTTCTTGCTGTCCACTCGAGCAGGCGGCCAGGGTATAAATCTTGCATCGGCAGACACTGTCATTCTTTTCGACAGCGATTTCAACCCCCAGCAAGATCTGCAAGCCCAAGATCGAGCCCATCGTATTGGTCAAACACGGCCGGTCATCGTCTACCGCCTAGCCACAAAGGGCACCGTCGAAGAATCTCTATTGCTATCTGCGGATGCCAAGCGACGATTGGAGAAACTCGTCATCCGCAAAGGCGGATTCAAGACAATGGGCCAAAAACTCAACGACAAAGAGGAAGACTTGGATCCTGAAACATTACGAGCTTTGCTATTAAAGGACGGCCAAGTCTACGAAGCATCTGGTGGAGACGGAATTCTAAGTGATAAAGATTTAGAAACAATCTGTGACAGGAGCGAGGAGGCCTTTGAGAAGGCAGCCAGAGGAGATGGCGATGCCAATGCAGATGCATTTAGAGTTGTTGAGACGGGTGCAGACTCTATCAAGATGACTAGGAAAAGCTGAAGTGATTGAACTTGCTGAATGGATTTATATGGCTTTGAATGAGCGAATGATTTATTAGGTATAGGAATAAGATAGAGTAGGAGTAATTATATAACAACTTGCTTAGAGTATGGCTATTATATGATGAATTTCACTATAAGGATTGACAATCAACGCTTTTATGACCATTTTTCTTATAGAAAATGATTCATTATTGCGGAGATCTGTGTATTACACGTGCGTATACGCTGATTACAAGCAATAACGTCAAGGGTAAGTGAAAGCGATGGATCACAAGGCACTCGACCAACATTTACGTGTGGATACAGATAACTTTGGAATAAAGGTAGCTGTATTTCAAGCGAAGAATATTATAAAAACACAATCAAGCAACCATGGAATTAATCCAATAAGCAATACTAGGTATATCGAATGCCAAACCAAACACTTCATGAAAGTCATACCCACAATCCAAATACGCTCGCTTCCCCAAAAAAGTAAAGAATCTCAAAAAAAGAAAAATTCCCTACGCCCAACGGAATGCAAGAAAGCAGTTTCCTCCCCCTATTATTCAAAAGTCTCAATTCAGCTCCGTCACATACCCAATCTGCCTCCTAGGGTCCCCCGGTGCCGTCGGCGCATCCCCCAATCTCCTCGCCAGCTTGTCCTGACTCTCAACCAGCCTCCTCTGCGCCTCCAGTCTTCTCTGGATGCGTGACTCAGATGCCACGTCAATGCGCTCCAGTTCTTCCCTCTCGCCGATGCGCATCTCGATGAGCGCGCGCGCATTACCCGCTCGCTCCGAGTTGAGCTTATTCTCCCACTCGAGCGCCTTGCGCTGTCTCGCTTCTTCGGCCTCGAGGTCGGATGCTGCGAGGGCCCGTGAGCTTGCAAGCGTAGCTTCCGTTACGGCTCGCTGCTCAATGAGGCGGCGCTTGAAGGCGTCATTTGCGAGGCTCTCTTCGAGCTGTGCCTTGGCTCTGATGGAAGAAAGATCCTCAGACTGTAGTCTTCTACGGCGCGCGTCTTCCATCTCTACCCTCTGACTCTGTATTTGTTGATCCACGGAGGCGATTTCTCGCTTCCTGGCCATTGCCATGGCAAAGTCCTGTGACTCTTCGACTAGCCGCTCCGAGCGGGCTTTTCGAATGCGTTCTCGAACCTCCATGTCTTCTGGTAGCCCGACGGCTCCTTCAGGCTGTGCGCCTTCCTTGGCATAGTATACATCTGTTGCACGGCTGGCACGAAGAACTGAGAGGAGCTCATCTCGGGCATCGTGTGACGACATAAACTTGGTTACATACGTCGTGGGTGAATATACAAATGTCTCGTCTGCATACTGGTTGGACGGCTTGTTGATGTGTTTCCACATACCGCTCTTCAATAGCGCGCGAGTCGTGGCTACCGGGTCTGTCGAGTCGAAACAAAGGTATAGTATAGATTTGCCATCCAGCTTAATAGATAAATCGGACCCGGCATCCACCAAGAAAGTCATGACTTTCTGCATCCTTCGTTCTCGTTCTGGTGTCATATCCCCAGCATCAGCCCCATGCAAGCAAACTTCTCCAAGGGCGCTTCGACCGTTGTGAAGCGGACTGGGAAAATCAGGATCGTGATCTGCTTCCATAAGAACTTTGACCGCCGCGAGGTTGAGGTCTCTGGCGGCATTATGCAGCGACCCGTCATCCTTTGACGGCTCTGCGGCAAGGAGACTGGACATCATTTGAATAGCAACTTCACCACTCAGGTGTGTAACCATTGCCATTGGAGTTCTCCCAAGAAAGTCCATGGCATCGACGTCGGCCCCCTCTAGTAAAAGTATCTTTACAATGTCTGGGCGACGCTCTCGCACAGCCAGCATAAGGGGCGTTGTTCCTGAGATTTTGGTTCCAATGTTCACCTTGGCTGCAGTGAATGTCAGCGCTGTTCAGCCACCGGTAATAAATATTATTGTTGTTCACTTACCTCCTCGTTCCACCAAAATTTGAATCAGAGCAGTACTGACTTTCTTTTGCGGCTGTGCAATGGCCCAAGTAAGAAGTGTCATCTCTTCTTCCTCTTCAATTTCTGGATGAAGCTTATAGAGCATAGATTGGTCATAGTAGTATCCTGCATCTAATAACGTCGTCAAAATGGTTGAAGAGCGAGGATATTGCGAAATGGCCCTCCCGAGCACCGGCATATGGCCAACACGTGTAGCCATCACATCGACACGGACATCTCCTTCGTGATAATCCGCAAACATTTGGAAAAGTTCCAAGACAAAGTCCTGAGTAAGTTCAGTATCAAATATACAGTGAAAAGCAAACGTGAGGGTTTCCGTGGATGGGTGGCAAGCAAGAAGTCTGTGAGTCCAGTCAATGTTTGCTTGAGACGCAGCCAATCGCAACGGTTCTCCCTGCTGATAATTAACATCTGGATCATGAGCACTGAGGACGTTGAAGAACTGATCAGTAAGTTCTGGGTTACCAGAGCTCTTCATGACTCGAACAAGTGCTTCACTCAAAGCGTCACCCGTTGCCCCTTTGTCAAGAAGCATATTTGCCGTCTCTAATCCAGATTGTGTAAACCAAGCGTCGAATTTTTCAGCCTTGAAGGAATTGCTAAAGGCCATGTCAATATCGCATTGAGGAATATCAATCTCCAGTAAGAGGGCTAGTGACGACGAAAGCGCTTTTTCTGCGGCGTCGATTAAAGTCTTGCATCCGTTGGCTAAAGGAGAAGCGCCGTACTCTAACAAGAGTTTTACCAATCTATCCTCAGAATTTTCTTCGTTGACCGCATCATTCAATGTAATATGCAGATCCTCAGCAACGGGAAGACCCGCTTTCATCAGATCTTGGATTATGAGATATCGAGTGTCGCGATTAAGACTCCAGGACGCTTTGAGCGCCCGGACAAGTGTAGGGGGAGATGCCTTCTTCTGCAAAGGTCATGCGTTTAGTCAAAGTCAAAACATCAGGGCGTGAAAAGGGGGGGCTGTATTACCTGACTATCACCTTCACCCCAAAGTCCAAGAAGGAGTTCTAAGTTCTTGATAAAAGCACTTCTTGTTGCCGCTACGACAGCCTCGCCGTTGGCATAATTGGGGTCCGCTCCGGCAACTAGCAACACCCTCAACAGGGCTTGTCCATCTTCTCCGTATCTTGCCGCTGATTCTAGCTGCGCGTCAACGAGCTCCCCTCTGAGCCCTTTGCCGAGAATCTGCTCGAATATCATGGCTCGTTTACTCAAGTCTCCAACCTCAGTAGCTGCTTGAAAACCTTCTTCTAGAGTCGTGTTATTCACAGTCATGTCTGTTCCCAACAGGACTTTCAACACTTCGACAGATCCTCCGCGACATGCTTCTATAACCGCTTGGCCGTTGTTCTGCGACATACTCGCGCCATGAGACATGAGAATATCGCCAAGTTTGACATCGCCTTCACGAGCAGCAACTAGCAGGGCATTCGAAGCTGCAGTAGGGGATATCTCATACGCTAAAAGGCGCTGGCACAAGGTATTCCTGTTGGGGCGGTTTTTTATATCCATTGCGCGAGTCAAAGCCAAGCTTCTGTTGTCCATTGAGTGATTGGCAGCTGTGAGCAAAATATCCGTCACATCTACAGACTCTTTTGATATCGCAAGGGACAAAGCTTCGCCGTCCGCAGTATCAGCTTTGCTTGCCAAGGTTCGTATCAAGCCAAAATCCGAGGGATAAGTCTTGATTGCATGTATCAATGCTCGGTTGACTTCCTGTGGGGAGACTCCAGCCTCAACCAATCTTTTTGCCAACGTCAACCTATTCATCGCATCTTGTAGTCTCAGCGCGTGAGGCAGCGCATACCCCAAAGAAGCTTGGTTCAAACGGCACTGGGGGCCAAATAAGAGATCGACAATTTGGATTTTGCCTCCCATAACCGCATGGCACAGAGAGGCCGCTTTATACGCGTTCGGATCGGCCCCTGACTCTAACAATATCTCAAGAGTGGTAAGCGGTGCTTGTTGTCGGCCGGTATCTCGCGCAAGAAACTGTACTTCCTGAGCAAGGATGCCGTTTAATTCTTCCTTTCCTTCAGATTTTGGCAGCAGCACTCGTAGCTTGGATGTTTTCCCTTCAGATGGGGCGATTGAAGCAAGACACTGTAGTGCTTTGGTAATCGTGTTACCAGCAGGTTTACCCAGGTTGATCACGAATTCCAACACCTTGGGGTCAGGATTCTGAGTGGCCTTGGTCGCTATTGCGCCATCCAAAGCGTTGACATCCGCATTGCCTTGTTGAAGCAACAGCTGGAGAAGTGACATATCAACGGGCTTCTCATTCAAGGTTTCCAGCAGTGCAGTTGCAATTTCAACTGCACCAGAAGCAGCGCCTGCTTGAAACAACAACACCATCATGTCAAACCTCGCTCTATGGTCGTCGACTCGCATAACGTCGTGTGTTCGTGCTGCTGCTGTCTGTGGAGATGCCTTTTTCAACAACGGGACTAGAAGATTCACGTCTTTTTGTGCAATGAGAGAGGATAGTCCAGCCCCCTTGTTGAAATTTACATCGGCGTCGTGTTGCAGGAGCAGGTTGATGAGTGCCCCGTCTCTCTTCGATCTATCCTCACCGATGGCATCCTGAAGCGCAGCATGTAAGCTTGCTGCTGGCAATGATCTTTTGAGAAAAACCTCGGCGATATGATATCGATCTGCACCGGACAGTCTCATTGTAAGTGGAAAGGCGATTGCCAGTGTATTGGCCGAAGCTCGCGCAGCCAAAAGTTTTCGTGTCAGCTCAATGTTTGACTGGATAATAGCAGCACAAACCGCTCGTCCATTTTGATAATCGACAGATGCTACCGCGTGGCGTCCGCCGTTCAGAGGCTTGGCACCGTTGGTTTGCGCCGTGGTGAAATAAGGATTGAGAAGCAGCTCGGTTGAGTTTACATCGCCAGCCTCAACCGCGTCAATAAGAGCCTGGTTGAGGGCATCGCCATTGGCACCCTTTTTAAGCAAAAGACAAAGCAGCATATAGCGAACTTCAGCTGCAGCCTGCTTTGGAATCGCCGAGACGCAGCTTGATGCAGCGGGGGGGCTGAGCGCTGTCCTATCATGCAAAAGCGAATTCACCAGATCCAGCTGCCCACGAGCAATAGCACCTTTG